CTTGTCACCCCTTGTGAAACTATTTTTCCATGTCATTTTCTTTCATAGATAAAATTTTATTGTTCGGGAATGAATCAGTTAGAAGGATGCCGTAACTAATTAGTCATCAGAATAATGAATCAAGCCAGCCATTCATCAGTCGCATACTAGATTTCGTTGTGTACGGTCGATTCAATTGGTCGAGAAACGGTTTAGTTCATTATACCAGTATATCACCTGATGAAGCTACTGTGTTAGCGAAACATGTCGTGTGATTGAGAATTTTTACGAAATCTTATCGTTTGTGAAGTATTTTACATTTGCCATGGATTTCCATCAAGAAACGGCCGAGTCAATTAAAAAAAATGGTAGAGAAACATAGCATTTCAAAAAATTAAGTATTCATTCTATATTGATCCTAATGTCAATTTGACATTTCGTATCAACCCTATGTAGTGACCATCATACTGATATACAGTGTCATTCATAAAGTCGGCATCATATGGGAAAAACTTTTATTAATGACTCATTTTGGAATTCGAGTTGGACGTTGAGTTTTGCTTCAGAAAAGATGCAAAACGGCCTACTCAATCGGGGTCACGTGACTTTCGCTACATGTCAAAAGTGACATTTTTTTCAAATTAATCGCTGAAAGTAGGCATATTTGTTCGAATATCGAAAAAGTTTACTTGAAAAAGTTGTTTCTATTTCAATTTTACACATGCTTCTCGAATTTGATTTTTCTATTGCAACTTTTAGATTTTGATTTTTTTTTCAATTTTCACTTATTATGGACAGGAATATGATTTTCTTCAGAAAATGATAATACCCGCTTCCAAATTCTGTTATTTTTGATGCAAAATTGATATATCGTCGTCAAGCATTTAGAAGAGAAATTCATTTAAATTCATTTTTACAGTACTGAAAATATCAGTCAAGCATTTAGAAACGAAATTCATTTGAACTGATATTTTCAGTACTGAAAAAATGAATTTAAAAGAATTTCGTTTCTAAATGCTTGACTAAAACATAAAAGAATTTTGATGTTATGTTTGCATCGAACATAACAGAATTTTGAAGCGGAGATTATCATTTTCTGAAGAAAATCATAATTATGTCGATAATTAATGATAATTAGTAATTGAAAGTAAGTAGCATGATGAAGCTACTGGTATGAAGTAGTTTTATCGAATTTACAATTTTTTTAATATAACAGAAATTTCGAAGATTTTTAAAAAATATCGAAATCTAAAAAATGTAATAGAAAGATAAAATCCGAGTCACATAATGTAAAATTGAAATAGAAACAACTTTTTCAAGTAAACTTTTTCGAGTAAACTTTTTCGATATTCGAACAAATAAGCCTACTTTCAGCGATTAATTTGAAAAAATGTCACTTTTGACCTGTAGCGAAAATCACGTGACCCCGATAGGCCATTCGGTAATTGAAAGTAACTAGCATGAAAAAGCAACTGGTATGAAGTAGTTTCGTGGAATTAACAATTCTTCAAATATTACAGAAATTTCGAAAAATTTAAAAAAAAATCAAAATCTAAAAGTTGCAATAGAAAGATCAAATTCGAGAAGCATGTGTAAAATTGAAATAGAAACAACTTTTTCAAGTAAACTTTTTCGATATTCGAACAAATATGCCTACTTTCAGCGATTAATTTGAAAGAATGTCACTTTTGACATGTAGCGAAAGTCACGTGACCCCGATTGAGTGAGCCGTTTTGCATCTTTTCTGAAGCAAAACTCAACGTCCAACTCGAATTCCAAAATGAGTCATTAATAAAAGTTTTTCCCATATGATGCCGACTTTATGAATGACACTGTATAGTGATACTCAGAATGTAATCAATATGTATTTCTTCAATTTATTTTCAGTTCACATTTCGGATATATGAATACTAATTTCAATGATATTCATATTGACACTAGTGTCGATATAGAAAACGATTATTTTGCTGGATTACAGTATTTTTGTGGCCATTATTCATATATAGTGTGATTCAATTTGATCTATCCTACTATTGTATTTCGAAAATGCATTGCGTATTTTTGAAAATTAATTTAATTAGTCGGACTTTTTATTGATCATAGCTACACTGTATTCTTATTGTGAACAAACTGATATGTTGCTGGTCCTCGCGGGCTCTGCAAGAACTCTTCAGGACCTAAGGTGAGAACTTTAACGCCTTGTACCAACTCAACGAAACGATTTTGGATATAGATAAGTTGACTATAATCAACTTATTTTCATCCCAGAAGTCTACAGTCAAGCCATGTCCCAACCAGATTTTTTTTAATGCATAAGATGCCTCAGATCAGAAATTATTTATTTGCAAATGAACCTCGAGACTCATCAAATTAACACGATACAAAAAATATTTCTGAAGGGAATATCTTTATGGAAAAAAAGTTTCCAGTTTGACCTCTGAAAAGTTATCACCAAATTGGCACGGCAACATGGTTGTTTGAAACACTTGCAGGTCACTGATGATGATCAAAAACATCCCAAAACGTACAGTCACAGAACATGCCATGCCAAAAATTATGAAAATCGATCTCAGCCTACTCTTTTTATGAGCAGAATTTTTTTTTCCTAAAAAACTTCAACGCCTTGTACCAACTCAACGAGACGATTTTGGATATAGATGTGGCCCAAATCAACTTGTTTTTATCCCAGGAGTCCACAGCCAACCTTTTACAGACATCCTGTATATTTCAGTTTCTTATTTCATGCAATTTTCATGATTTCAATTCTCAGTATATTCCTAATTCGCGATATAATACCAACTATGTTTCAGATCGAAGAAACGTCCTGCTATTAATCGAGGGAAAAATTGCACATAAGAGGAAACCAGACCAGAAACCAACGACCGGTGATAAGTTTTTCATTCCTGTTACGAATCGTAGTCAATTTAATTCGAATATTTTTTCCAAATTTCATTTTTGTTATGGAAGGCGATATATCATTTTTTTATAAAATGTTTTGATAGTCACCTTTATGTCTCGATGGAGACACGACAGGTACCCTTACGAGGGGAGAGTATCGACCCTTGGCACCGGTAAACCCTCGTTGCAACCGGGGTAGGCGCCTGATGGGTTAGGTATATACAGTGTTTCTCATTAAGGAGAAAATTGTTGGCTGTTTCGTGTAATAGATGAATATGTCGCGTTTCAGCAACGGAAGTTTAAAAAGTTTTCATAGATATAATACCAACTATGTTTCAGATCGAAGAAACGACGTGTTATTAATCGACGGAAAAATTGCACAGCAGAGGAAACCAGGCCAGAAACCAGCGACCAGTGATGAGTTTTTTATTCCTGTTACGAATTATATATTTTTTTATTGTTGAAATTGAGGAGAAAATTGTTGGCTATCTGTTCCGTTCATATTTGGAGTAATAGAAGAATATGTCGCGTTTCACCAAAGGACTTTGAGAAAGTATTCTTATGTATTTCAGTTTCTTATTCCATCTAACTCATGATTTGAATAATTTTCAATATATTTCAAATTCAAAATATAATTTGAACTATGTTTTAGATCGAAAAGCGACGTGATATTAATCGACGAAAAAATTTCACAGAAGAGGAATCCAGACCAGAAACCAGCGACCAGCAATAAGTTTTTTATTGCCGATACGAATTATATTCAATTTATTTCGAATATTTCTTCCAAATATGGAACTTTTTATGGAAGGTGATATATTATAGACACTTTTTCGATAGTCACCTTTATGTCTCAATGGGGACACGACAGGTGTAGTTTATGCAAAGTCAGTTGAAAAAACACATCAAAGAGTGCTTCAGCGCGGCCAGACATTCTTTTGATGATCTGGTCAACTGACTTTGCATAAACTTTACCCTTACGAGGGGAGAGTATCAACCCTTGGAGTTTCCCATTCATATTTGATATAATATTCAATTTATTTCGAATATTACTTCCAAATGCTATATTTGCTATGGAAGGTGATAATATATCATAGAAAATTTTTCGATAAGCACCTATATGTCTCAATGGATACACGACAGGTACCCTTACGAGGAGAGAGTATATATCAACATTTGGCGTCGGTAAACCCTCGTTACAACCGAGGTAGGCGCCAGAAGGGTTAGGTATATGTATATAAACTGATTGAAAAAATCTAAGGATATTGTTGAAGGCAAACGACATTGATATTATAAGCCATACACATTTTTTCTTGGAAAATGTCTACATAGCTAATAGAAAACATCCTTCACTCACGCAAACTACATAGATATTATCAGCTACATCACATTTTAGAAAAATGTCATCAAATCAAAAAGACAATATCTTTAACTTGTTTCAATCAACCTATACAGTGTTTGTCATGGAGGAGAAAACTGTTGGCTATCTGTTCTATTAATTTTTTATGTAATAGAAGTATATGTCGCGTTTCAGCAACAGAATTTGAAAACAGTTTTCATAAATATTTCAATGTCTTATTCCATGTGACTTTCATGATTTCAATATCTGATGTATTCAAAATAGATTCACTACCAATTATCTTTGAGATCATAGTAGCAACGCCTTTAAAATTGACCATTTAGGTCCAACAGAAAACTTGAACAGAGAGGAAACCAGCAAGAGGTGATGAGTTTTCCATTATTGGTATGAATTATATCCAATTTATTTCAAATTTTCATGGTATTACTAAGATACTAAGCAATTGGATCTTGTTGATTTCTAACTGAATTGTAATCCATAGTATTGTGATACCTCTGATAGTTTATGGTTGTTTATACTGAGCTTTAGTCTGGAGGCTTTAGTGCTCTGTTCCATTCTCTTTCTAACTGACATGAAAATGGATAAAGGTGTAACTCATAGGAGTAGAGTAAAATTCCAGATCCAGGCAACTAATCAAACAACGTACAACCACAGAAATTAAAATGCATTGACAGTGTCTGTTGTCCACGCATGGACCAATGCTCCTTCAGAACTTCTTTGCTTGTTGTGGTCAAACCTGTGGCCGATCAGAGCCTATGTTGCTTACCTTTCCTGTGTTCCTGGTCCAGGCATATAAACATTTGTGCCCTTCACAGACAGCAAATGATTGGTCAGATACAAAATAGTCAGCCATTCCAAATCATAACTGATGTCCATCTTAGCCTTATCATCATGTGACACTTCCATTATCTGCAAAAACTTTCTTTTTGGCAGACACTTATCTAGTGCTAAGAATTTAGTCACAGAGTCATTGTCATGTTTCACTAATGCAGCATATTTACAATGTAGATGGGCAGAAAACCAGTACTTAGGCTTCACTTGGTGCAGAAGGTCTTCACATACTTTGCTTCCCAATTCTCCCTTCTCAACATCTTCCCTATACATAAAAATCAAGTGTTTCTAAGAAAACAGTTACTTGATGATATTATTCCATACCTGAAGAAAGGCTTCCTTTTTAGTAACTGTTTGACATTTCCATGTTTGTACACCTCACTTGGCCAGTCATGGGACAAGAATATATCTACATTTCCTGTTAACTGTTTCAGTCTGAACACCTCCAAATTTCTCACATGATACACAGTTCTCTTGGAGTTTTCATCATAAGGGGGTTTCTCAAAATGACCTTTATTGTAGTCCTTACTTTTGTAGATTCCAGATAACCCAGCTATCCTAACACCTTGAATTTATGAACATAGGCATTGGTAAGAGACAATATTAGAATGTGGAGAGATAACCTGCTATATTGATGACGGCCGCATAACCTAGATAAAATATATTTGGGGCTACCCATCCACCATAAGGGAGTTCTTGCAAGTAATTTGAAGCCTCATGATTGCCACCAATGAATATTGTCAATACAGGAGCTGTCTTTTCACCTGAGTAATACCTATAGGGCAAAGAAGTGGTGATGGCGAAATTCGACATGTACTATCTTACTTGTAAAAGGTGCATATGTTCTGGTACTTTTGGGGAACTGCCATACACAACAGATCATCTTTGTTTCTACACGATTGGAAGTCTCCACAACAAATCAGCAGGTCTATTTTTATCCCGTGTTTTTCTTGTGTCATTTGGATGGTGTCGTAAATGTTTTCCAGCTCGCCATGAGCACATCCTTCAACAGCTATTTTCATTTAAAATAAGGATAATTCAATATAAAACAACGTTTATGTTTTTGAAGCTTGAATGTTTACGTTTACATAACCTCAACGGACTTCACACTTCAACAAAATCTTCCTGGTTAATTTCTTAGTTCTTCTTCTGTTTTTTGTCTCTTGTCCAATTAGAACATCCAGCCAAATTTCTCACGTGCTGGTTTTCTTCTTCTATCTTTATTGAACTTTGCAGTTTATGACTGTTGACATGTTAAGAATAGATTTCAGGTTATGTTTATAAATTGATGACACAAAAATATAAACACAAGAGTCAAAAATAAATCGTTATTCATTGTGTGAAAGTGGTGGAACATTCAAAATGTTACCTGGAATCGGAGTGTTTGGAACAGGTCCTGTAGTCAAAGTGTTGGTCCCAGTATTTCGGGAGAATGGTTTCAAAATCGAAGCTATATGGAGTCAAACCAAACAAGATGCCCAAGAAGCTGCACGAGAGCTCAAAATTCCATTTTTCACAGACACAATAGACGAAGTCTTGCTCCGCAAAGACGTCGATCTTATTTTCGTGCTTTGCCCCCCGAATTTGCATGCGCAGATATCCGTCAAAGCCTTGGGAATCGGCAAACATGTAGTGTGTGACAAGCCAGCAGGTTTGAACCAGGCCGACGCTCTGAAGATGGTTGGGGCAGGACAGTATTACCCCACTCTGATATCCCTCATCAACCACTCATTCAGATTCTTGCCAGCTTTTGTACACATGAAGAAGGCTCTGAAGGAGAATTTCCTGCAGTCACCAGTGACTCTGATCGATATCAGGATTCAGAGCGGCAGTATTTTCGGGGATCTGGACAGCTTTGACTGGAAATGTGATGATACTATGGGAGGAGGCACCTTGAACTTGATAGGGAGCCATGTAGTGGATCTGATTACTTTCCTGACTGGTCAGAAAGCAGTGAAGGTTCATGGGGTAGTAAGGACATTCACTAAAAACACTGATAACATCAATGGAATAAGGAATATTTCCGCTCCAGATTTTTGCACCTTCCAGATGGAACTTGAAAATGGTATTTTGGTGACAGCCACCCTGAATAGTCACACTGTGGGGTCAACATTCAATCAAGATGTCATGGTGTGCAGCAGCACTGGGCATCTTGTTGTTCGTGGGGGTGATCTTTTTGGGCGGAAGAATAAGGGTACTGAAGAGGTCATATATCTGGATGTGGAAGATTTGCAGGTAATTTTTTAGTTGGATGATGATGCCAAACATTTCTAAAATGTTTGTCTGCATTTGCACAGCTTAGGGTGTAAAGTACAAGATCAAAATAGTGTGCTTACTAATGGTTTCAAAGGTAGGTAGCAGCAAACCTGAGCTATAACTCCCTATCTACTTACTGAATCAATAGTAGACATTTGTTACCCCATTTGAAGAAGCAAAGTTATAACATCCATGGGAGGAAAAACATAGTACCTCCCGTTGGGGGTAAAATAAATTGGCTTCAGCATGCTTTGTTGGCGTCCATAAACCTATAAGATCCCTGTTATCCAAGTTATTAGTGACTTCATCACTATTATAAAAAAGATAACAATTTCTTTTTAAATTCCAGTGATCTTGTTCACTTCCTTATACTCATTCCAAATGTACTTAATCAAAACTTATGAATGCAGTTACACAATATACATACAGTGTGGAAACACTGGAAATGATGGAATAAAATCCATATTTCTACAATAGACATTGGAATAGACATGAAAAATCGTTGGGACAGGTTGATTCTTATTTTTGAAAATATTTTTTTGGTACCAAAATAATTGTCTTTTGGAAAAAATTATTTGAAATGAAAAAATATGTGCAGTTGACAAGAAATAGTAGTTTACCTGACGTTCATTTTAGTGCCATTTACTGTCACTTCCAATGATACATTCCAAACTTTTCAATTTATTCTCTATTTCAACCATTTCAACTAATTTTGATCTAATAGTCAACTTGTAATATTACTGTATTCAGACAAAAATCTCGGTAACAAAAATATTTTTAAAAATATATGGTTCTATTCTCCAGAACTTATGATTTCCAAAAGTTCAGAAAAACCTCCTTTTCCTATCCTCCTTGGTAACGCACAATGTTTTTCGGTCATGTTAGGGATTTCCTTTTGTGCGCTCCAATAGATGAATTTTATTTTCAAATTGTTAGAAAGCATAATGATCCAAGCCTACTCATAGTATCTGATGCATCATTCCATCATCTTTTGTTTTTCAAAATCGGGGTATTAATATAGGAGCCCAATTGCTTGTGGCAATTTTTGTTAGTTATCCTGTTTAAATGGCTATTTTGCACTACTGTAAAAAGTAATTCAATGTTCACACTAGCGCAAGTACTTAGCCAACTTTTGGCAGGATCCTAGAAAAACGTTCTGCTACTCCCAAAATTCGTGAGGGTAGACAAAAATTCTCCATAAATTCAATGTGATCAACCAACTTATCAACAGTCAGGTAGTGACAGATGTTCGGACGTGATAGAGGGTATCATTAGGTATATATTTTGATGTTAAAAATATACAGGAAAGAATCCTCCCGGGTTCTTCATGCATTGAAGCGTGTTTTCAAGGTTTAGGTGTACTTATACATGCCCTGTATGCCATTTTTCCGTAGCATATGTATAGCACAAACATGTAGGTATACTTCTTGAAGGCAGCCTGTTTGAAACTGAGGAGAAATCAAGTAGGAAAAAGCCAAATACCCAGGGTGGAATGCACACGGGTCGATCGGCGACATGGGCGACGCGATTCGAATCGTACGACGATCTCCCCTCTACTCGACTTCCTAAGCAAAGCATTTGGATCCCGAACACGGGTCGTTTAGTGGTCGTCTAGAAACGTACGATTTAAGATCTCCTCGTTTTCAGTCTCACGCGATTAGCAATAAGGAAGCAGTTTGATCGAGTGAAACTTGCGTCTCAATGGAGAAAGTTGTTCAATCATTGTGAATATTTGTGTTACCTACCTTAAGTTCTTCACTTTCAGTAACTAGAACATATAATCTTATGTTTCCAATTTATACTCTCAGATTTAGGAACTGTTTGATTTTTTGAAATATATGAATCTTACATCAATGTTATTAGTATGCGTTCTTCTGCGCTGACACATTCCCTCATATTTGTATCCATATAGTTTATGGCTGGAGCAAGAGTTTCCACTAGATCAATATATGATTCCTTCGACATTCTATAAAATGCCAGAAATTTTGTGTCACTCTCTTACGAAAGCGTAGAAGCGCCACATGATATATTTTTTTAATAATTGACAGATATAACTGTCAACTAGCCTAATAGACAGATACTAAGTCGTAAGTAGTATACTTGACAGATACTAAGTCGTAAGTAGCATACTTGACAGATACTAAGTGGTAAGTATAGTATACTTGACAAATACTAAGTCGTAAGTAGCATACTTGACAGATACTAAGTGGTAAGTATAGTATACTTGACAAATACTAAGTCGTAAGTAGCATACTTGACAGATACTAAGTGGTAAGTAGTATACTTGACAGATACTAAGTCGTAAGTAGCATACTTGACAGATACTAAGTGGTAAGTAGTATACTTGAGAGATAGGCCAAGAAACTCGCCATCGCCAAGAAACAAAGAAGATTAAGAAGAAGAAGAATACAATGTCGACATATAAGGATTAGGGAGACAAGATACCAAGATAGGTTGAAAATCACTTCGGATTCGGAATCAGGACGTCCAATTTTTGCAAGACAATGTTTAAATTTATATATTAAATAACAATTTGCTCAATTCCCAACAATTTACTTCAGAATCAAAATCTGCACCATGTACACGGCCATTTCTGTACACAGGGAGTTTCTTAAGTACGTGTACAAAATTCAGGAGCATATGTTGCTGACGTCAAAATAAAAAGAAAAGTTTTTATAAACATATGTCCACAAGTTATTTGTTTCTGAGATACAGAGTGTCAAAGTTTCATTATTTGTCATTCCGGTTTTTGGTGAATTCGAGTGAGATACCAAATTTATTCCCAAAAAACAGGAATAAGAATCCTTTGACACTCTGTATCTCAATAATAAATAACTTGCGGACATATATGTTTATACGAACTTTTCTTCTTATTTTGACGCCAGCAACATATTATGCTCCTGATTTTTTTACACGTACTCATCAAGAAACACCCTGAATATTTAAAGAGCTTCTACAGGGTTTATCATTGAAGATAGAAACAAACTTCAAATACAAAAGTTGTAGGGTGTGTTCTCAACATCCAGAAAATTGTACGAGGTGGAATATAAAGACCCAAAAATACCATAATATTCAGAGAAACCTAAATACGCGTATTTCAGCAACTAAATTGCCAACCTGTAAAGTAAAAATGATTAGCTAACTCCTTCGATTTATCTTTCGGATATTGTCCAGAGGTCGACCTGAATTATCCGAAAGATACTAAGGAGTCAGCCACTATGCGAGTCAGCTAATCATTTTTACTTTACAGGTCTACTGAGGATGGCAACTTAGTTGCCAAAATACGTATTGTTGTATTTTTTGGTCTTTTTATTTTGTATTTTAGCACTTATAACCAGTCTCCAAATCTTCACTGTACGAGGTGCTGATATAAGAAATGGGTACCAACTTCGTTATTTTAAATGGAACACCCTTTACATATTTTTCGAATGAATTGAGAATCCTCCTTTTCTGATTTCAAAAATATATAGGTTGTTGAGCCGGTTCAGCCGTTCATGAGGCTTTACGAGGTCTAACACTAAGAATTAGAAAAAAAAAATGTCACAAGCTTTTATGCAGTATTTTGTTGTATTGATATGTTACAGTTGAATCATCATTGATAAGTCGACTAGCTCTGAGCCAGTATCTGTCATATATGCTACTTACGACTTAGTATCTGTCAAGTATACTACTTACCACTTAGTATCTGTCAAGTATGCTACTTACGACTTAGTATCTGTCAAGTATACTACTTACCACTTAGAGTATCTGTCAAGTATGCTACTTACGACTTAGTATCTGTCAAGTATACTACTTACCACTTAGTATCTGTCAAGTATGCTACTCACGACTTAGTATCTGTCAAGTATACTACTTACCACTTAGTATCTGTCAAGTATGCTACTCACGACTTAGTATCTGTCAAGTATACTACTTACCACTTAGTATCTGTCAAGTATGCTACTTACGACTTAGTATCTGTCAAGTATACTACTTACCACTTAGTATCTGTCAAGTATGCTACTTACGACTTAGTATCTGTCAAGTATAATACTTACGACTTAGTATCTGTCTATTAGGCTAGTTGACAGTTATATCTGTCAATTATTAAAAAAATATATCATGTGGCGCTTCTACGCTTTCGTACTCTCTTGCATTTCACGTGCAACAACAAAAAGTCGAGCGAAAATTTCGTGCTATGTATACGGATGCACCCATAAACTTCGTTGTCTTCTTCTTCTCCTGATCTGCCGGTGCCACAAAAACATGAATATGTCCTCCTCGTCACTGGAACTGCTCATTTTTAGCGAAAACTTTCTGTTTGAAGTTGCAAAAAAGGGAGTAACTAACTTGATCAGACGCGAGTCGACTACACAAAATGTCGACCCATATGCGGATGACACACACTCCCTTCTCTTGAATCGTACGAATGCAGAAATTGTGACGTCATTGCAATCGCCTCGCCCATATCGCCGATCGACCCGCAGATGCCACGCAGAACATTGGATTACATTATATTCATTTTATGAACTATTGTGGTAATGACTTCGAGTTTCTCTCAATTTGTAACCATTTGCATTCCACTTTGGTTATTTGGCTTTTTCCTACTTGAAAATACGCCAGTCGGGCAACCAGCCACTCCCATTTCGCCTGAAATGGGATCTTGTTTTGGAGTTTTTCTTTCCTTGCCCGGTGGCGTTCGGTGTTCGCGTTTCATTTCGCGGACGTTGAACGCCTCGTGGGGCATAAATACTGAGATGCGTTTATGTTGGATCAGGTTCGCACCAGATAGCGGTCAAGAAGCTATCTGGGACAGCCCTGCACTGAAGAGAGCCAACAGCTAGAAACCAGTCTGTAGGTATAGTCACGCGTTCCTGAACCACTAAGGCGCAGCTCGGCGTTTATGAAGGAAACACTGGCGATTTTCTTCGTCTATATGAATTATTGCATAGATTTCGGAAGGATGTAGTCAGGAAGTATGTGTTTCTCCGTTACCACCGATACCGATAAAACAAGGCCTGCATGCTCCGTGGGTGACGTCACTTAGTCAGGCCTAACCAGCGGCTCGAAACGACAAGCGCTTATAGCGCTATAAGGCGACCGCGTATTTCGATTTTAGTTTTAGATCATTATTGAGCCCATTTTGCTTTTTTTTAAGGGCTTCCGGTTGAAAGAGGATGCCAGCCGTCAACTGAGCCCTTCTTCGCATCCAATTCGATTTTATTATGGAAAAACGAAGTTTCAAAGCAAAAACCAGAATAAAACACAAATACCCACCTACAGCAACCCATTCGAATTAAATATATTGGCAAAAATTGTAGTGATTCAATCTCATTAAAGGTAAACTTCACACCTACTTATACAGGGCCCGCAGAACATAAACTTATCATGAGATTGATCTAAAGAAAATTGGGGAAAATGTATTTTAGTTTGATAGACATGCCGTTTGTTATACCTAATTACCCCTCTTTTTCTGATTATCAAGACATTTTCCCGAATTATGTATCTCGTTTTTATCTATTTCAATTAGTAATTCCTTGATTTGATTGATATTATTAGAGATAAAAGGTGTTTTCAGATTGGCTTTTAGAGATGTTTGTATCGCTAGGTCATACAAAAATGATTCCACATTCAAAACAAAATCAATCACAACCGAATATGTAATTACGGGCCCTGGAGAATAAGACAATTTGAATAATGTGACTTTTTGCAAATCGATAATTTTGAACCACTTTTCGGGCAACTGAAAAGGCAGTGATACAACTAGAAATTCTTGAAATTCTGTGTAGCAAAATGATTTTTGGTAATTTTCGAATTCAGTTTTACTTTTGGTAAGTGCTTGTGCCAAATTTTTAGTCTCTAGTATCTCAAGTTTTTCATCACGACTTGTGCGTAATTTTACATCTTTCGATAAATAAGATGGACAGTTGGGAAATTGAGTGGGAATAACATCTCGTTTGAGCCTAGGAATTTTCAAATCTATTGTTACAGTTTTGCCAGTTTTTGAATCGGTTGCAGTAGATGAAGTAATAATATCATCTTAAGTAAAATGTAATTCACATACTTTACTGTACTTAGATGGAGTCGTAAAATCCTTGAGGTGAATTGCATGTACCCACTTTTTCGATAGTTCCTTGTCCAACGGGAAACTAAAAGCATGAACTTTTGGACCACCCACATAATTCCCCCGACAAAAGGGAACACAACACTTGTAAGGCATTGTTATTTCGCCTATCACAACACGAAATATTTCACAAAACAGTAATTTCTCCGCCAGTTATTTTGATGAATAAACAACAAGAGAATTCGAGCACACGCGATTCACCTACGCCACCGTTCTTAAACAAAAACAAACTGACGATCGTTCGACGCGAATGCCTTGGGAGATGGCCTGAGTATGCGACGTCACGAGCTGTTTACGTCAGAGTCTGCTGGCCTTGTTTTATCGGTGGTAACGGTTTCTCTCGTGAACTATTGTGGTAATGACTTGGAGTTTCTCGCTTTGAGTACTTCGCTTTTTCCTAGTTGATATATTTTAATTTCAAAAAAATAATACATGAAAGAATCCTCCCGGGTCCTTCATGCATTAAAGCATGTTATCAAGGTTTAGGTGTACTTGTACATGCGCAAACGGTATGCCATTTTTTCCGTAGCATATGTATAGCACATATGTATTCGCGCCCGAGAATCTGTCACTACCTGCATGATTCACCGATTCGCAGATTCCCGTTGCCAACACTGTCCTACCTAAAACCTTCGTGAAAGGCCTGTGCAAGATGGTGGCCGCCCTGCGCGAGGCTTTCCTGCCGAACAACGAGAAAGAGGGATGGATCAAGGAGCCTGTGAAGTCGGCTGCCACTTTCGAGGACGGCCTGTATGTTCAGGCGGTGCTCAGCGCCATTAGGCAGTCTTCTCAGAACAGACAGTGGGTGAAAGTGAAGGTTCTGACTGAGCAACCGGACAAGAACGAGTTGCTGAGCGCAGTCGTCAGAAGGACTGCCATAACTATTTCTTAAAGTATTTCTTTTACTCTCGAGATTTGAATCGTTCCGGTTAAGGTTGTTGTAAATTTACTGTGATTTCTTTTGTGCCCAAAAAATTAACTTCCTTGATTACTTGGGCCCTAAACAAAAAATGAAAGAAGAATTGAGAATGAAAGGATAAATGTGGAAAGAAGTGTCCATAAGTAAAGATAGTCCTTTAATGTCATTGTTGGTTCACTCAATGAATATTTTCTTTTTCATTTGAAGATATTTGAATATAGAATAAATGTATTTTATAGGTAATGTTGAGTTTAGGAACGCCATAAGGCAGTCTTCTCAGACCAGGCAGTGGGTAAACGTGAAGGTTCTGACTGAACAGCCCGACATAAACAAGTTGCTCACACCGCTAACCTTCATAAATTGTAATTGTGGATGGTGGGGATAAGCCTGTGCGAGGCTATACGGCCAAATACCGGAACACGGATAAATGAATGACATCGTGAATGGTGGGGATAACACTTCACGAGGCGTTTCTTCCAAATAACGAGAAAGAGGGTTGGATCAAGGAGCCCGTGGAGTCGGCTGCCACTTTCGAAGACGGCCTGTATGTACAGGCGGTGGTGCTCAGCGCCATCAGGCAGTCTTCTCAGACCAGGCAGTGGGTAAAAGTGAAGGTTCTGACTGAACAGCCCGACAAAAACAGGTTGCACACACCGCTGATCCTTCATAAATCGTAATTGTCGATGGTGGGAATAACACTGTGCGAGGCTATACTGCCAAATAACGAAACACGGATAAATGAATGAAATCGTGAATGGTGGGGATAACACTTCGCGAGGCGTTTCCTCCGAATAACGAGAAAGAGAGTTGGATCAAGGAGCCCGTGAAGTCGGCTGCCACTATCGAAGACGGTATGACTGAGCAGCCCGATAAGAACGAACTGCTTAGCGCAGTCATCAGGAGGACTGTCATAACTATTTCTCAAGTTCTTTATCCTCGTTCTGGTCAAAGTTATTGAAAATGTACTGTGATTTCTTCTGTGCCCATGAGCAATAATATCCTGTCAATATCACTGTTGGTTCACTTCCATTGAACAATTCATATATCTACCTACCTTTTGGTTTTTCCAATATTCTAATAACTCAAATTAAGTTATTCAACCAATTGGTAGGTACCTATGTCTAAAATTTGAGGAATCTATTCAGATGCTTCCTTACTCACATTTACCTTTTCATCTCAAGATAGACTCTGAAATAAATGTATGTTGTTGGTGATGTTAGCAAGGGGATTGAAGAATATTTTGTTGGTGGTTAGCAAAACAATTAGGAATTATGAATCACTGATAAATATTTTCCTACCACATAAAATCAAAGAATGTTTATTTTTAGTTTTTCCAATGATATATTAAAGCGAGTATTAAAGCATATGTGAGCTGTGATGTTTGCATGTGAAGAAAAGCTCAATGTGTTTGTAGTTTCAGTAACAAGTATTTGGAATTCTTCATGAATGAAAGATCCCAAAGAAAATACTTTGGAAATTGAATTAAATCATTTTAGAGAATGCCAGAATATTTTTTACCAGTCTTACTGTTGAAAATAGAAACACAATATTTGATAATTTCAAAGAGATAAACAAAGATAATAAACAATGAATACCTAATATTGAAAATGTCTACAAATGATACTTTGTAGAACGATGAAGTGCAAACAAACATTAATATAGTACAACAAAACATTTATCTGAATTTGATTATTTTTCATTCAATGATTGATTGAACATTAACGAAGTTTGAAACTATCACGGCTCAACTATGTAGAAGATAACAACATGAACAATCGATAAAATTTTGAGTGCATAATTAATTTAAAACAATAAATAAATCATCATATAATTGACCTATATAAACAGGTTTCTATTTACCAGTAAATTTATCTAAAAATGTATCACTCATATTAAAAATACGCCTAAATGATTTCATACACCTAGGATATCATCAATCAAAGATCAAATAATATTGAACTACTAGATGATCCCAACAAAAGGAGTGTGAGAGAGGACTTGAAAGGAACGTTAAAGTTAGAAGCCAGAACCATCAGGGCGCAAATAAAATTAGATGGATAAGGAAATATGCAAAGTGAAAGCTTATTCAAAGATCTGAAAATGCTTCCCATGACTATTAAGGCGGGCCTTTCGCGACAGCTTTCCGACCGAATATAGCCTATATATATATACTAGTTCAACAACTATTTCTAGGTGTCAGTGTGATGTCGAAATCGGAATAAAATAATTAAATTACAGCTTTCACAGCTATTGTAGAGTTCTTCGATTTCGTCTGTTACAGCAGGTCACCAATAGGTGGCACACAATTGAATGCAATCGTAGGTAATTGTATTATGTACGTGCAGTGTTGCCAGAGCTACTGCTCCACGGGCCTGCTCAACATGATTCCACTTTTCACTCCATTCAAGTCAAGCAAATACCTATATCTCGCTACAATGAAAATGTATGTCATGAGTCATTTTTGAAACTGTCTTCACAAGTAGTCTTTCGAATATTTCTTTTCCTTTTTAATTTCATTTCCTACTAATATAACTTATCATTATTGGCGTCGCCAGAAAAACTTCCAAGGATGGGGATCGAAATCATTGTTCAGGGCAAAATACTCAAAATAGTCTGTGTAATTCAGAAATAATGTGTGCAAGACTTTTTATCAAGTTCAGATGGCTATAAATAGAAATTTCGTGTTTTCTGTGTAGGGTATATACGAGACGATTGCCTAGTTTCAAATATCTTCATTCTTACGAATTCACACTGCTATTACTGATAATAAGGGTTATATTGATATATACAGTGTGTAGAATGAAAGAAATCCTTAATTCAAATTTCATGTTCTCTAATTCAGACCTGCTTGCTGAAATACAAATTTCGATCATAATTGCACTTATGAAAAAAACAATTTTTTCGAAGTGAGAACTTTTAGGCGCGTTGAGCACTTTTTTGGGTGGAGAAAAACATTGGATTTCGCGTCATCGTCACGACCCGTTCCGTGTCCCGTTATCGCGAGGTCAATGAATAGCAATAAATTTGAAGGGTGCAGTATCGCATCTCATCTTATATTATGTAGTATTTTGTAATTATGATTAGATTCTATTCTAAATTGGTATATGGAGGTTTTCGGGGTCGGAGATTATGATTCTTTCGTGAAAATTAGGATATTGAAGATGGCTGACGAGTTTTATTTATAATAATTATGATCCCATTCTATTCAAAATTGGTGTCTGGGGGTTCTCGGCGTCGGAGATTATGATTCTTTCATCATGGCTCCACCAATATGGCGCACGAGTTTCGTAATTATGATTCTATGCCATTTGAAATTTGTATCTGGGGTTTTTTGGGGTCGGAGATTATGAATCCCGAAATGAAAAAATTCAAGATGACGGATTCAATATGGCGGACGAGTTATGTGATGCTGATTCTATCCTATTCAAAATTTATATATAAGGGTGTTTGGGGTCGGAGATTTTGATTCTATCGTCAAAATTGGGAAATTCAGGATTGTAGATCCATTAAAGCGGACAAGTTTTCTAATTTTATTATCCGATTCTATTCAAAATTTTTACTGGTGTTTCAGGGGTCGGAGATTTTGAATCATTTGTCAAAATTAGGAGATTCAAGCGAACACCATCTCAAAAGTTTTTGTTAGTCTATCTTAGACAGCGAATGTTTTTAGGTAATAAAGTTTGTCGAGTTGATAAAAATTCTGTTTGATAGTGATAAAACAGTGTATAGTGTGAGTGTGATTATATCGTACCAAAGTTTCCAGGATTCCCTGGTTTCGGTCTTCAACATAACGGTGAGAAATTGATTTGCCATCATATGCTTTCTATATCTCACAATCCATTTTGTTTTAATGGTCAACTTTTTTTAAATCATTTAAAAATCGAATTATAATGAAAAAAATATAAGAAAATTATGTTCATGCTGATATAAAACTCACAAAGTTATTGTATGAGGAATTTTAAAATGAAATATTTTTCTTGAACAACCTGTTTCTCCAAAACTAACAACATTTTCTATGAGAGATGTAAGGCTGCATCTTGATATTCTGATGTTTACTATTTCTAGCTCACACATTGACCATTTTCATGCTGATTCAAAACTTACAAAGTTATTGTATGAGGAATTTCAAAATAAAATATTTTCCTTGTACACCCTGTTTCTCCAAAACTAACAGCATTTTCTATGTGAGATGTGAGGCTGAATCTTGATATTCTGATGTTTACTATTTCTAGCTCACACATTGACCATTTTGAATGAATAACCCTGTATATATTTCAAAGAAAATTTTAATATCACGGAATTCATTGATTTTCAAAAATCTTCCCCAAAGAAGATGTAAGTGGAATATGAAGTATCTACCTACGATAATTCTCTAAAACATGAACTGGATGTTCGATAACGTCTCCAAATGTCTCGAAAAAAAAGCGGCTGCTATATTTTCAAATATTTCGTATGTGGCTGACTTTCCTGTTGCCTCGCTTTTCTGCCCATTCTTATGAATTTTTGCGACATATCATTTGCAGCAGCTTGCAACACTGGCTTTTCAATTATTGATTATATGCCGGTTAGTTTGAAGTTCATCTGAAGTTCACGCAATTCAAAGTGGCACGTGTCGGACTGCGGAAAGACGGGGAATCACCGCGCGACCAATGAATATCCCCCCGGTTCGCCGCGGGAGGGAGAGAGACATAAAACGATTTCTCGCTCAGTTTTGTTTTGTTGCCGTGGCGGTATTATCCTTTGTGAATATCGCCATATCAATGGATCCAAAATCTGAGAACTGTACTCTGAGAGTTCTGAGACGAATGTTTTTGCATGAGTTTTAGAGTGAAATAACCTGAACTTTTGACACAGATTAACAAAGCTTTTTGAAGTTTGTTCCACAACTGTGCCATTCCTATTATTTCCATCCATATGCTGACATAATTATCGATCTCATGAATAGAATTGAAGAAATTCTGCTGAATTTGTATGTTTAAATTTTCAGGTCTACTTATATAATTATAATTCAGTGACAAATTCTAGGCCGTTTCAAACTACTCTATTTATTTTCTAGTTCTTTTTAGTTCGGTTCTCTATACCTCTTCATTTTTTCAAACTACTCTTTATTATCTACTCACCTCTTTTTAGTATGGCTATCTATAAAAAGGTGTTTCATTAGTTTTTCAAACTAATATTTATTACAATAGCTGATACCCGGCAAACGTTGTTCTGCTATATACAATTATTTCCAGAAAATATTTTTTTAGTTAAATATTTATCAACATACTTATATTCATTTGTTTTCTAATTCTTCTTCGACGCCGAAAACACCCAGATACAAATTTTGAATAGAATCGGATCATAACACTCAGTTGCCATCCTCCATCTTCAATTTCCTTATTTTGATGAACAATCATAATCTCCCATCCCAAAATCCCCCATATACAAATTTGGAATGGAATCGGATTAAGTTACAAAACTCGTCAGCCATATTGAATCTGCCATCTTGGATTTCCAAATTTTGATAAAAGGATCATTATTTTCGACTCCGAAAACCCCCCGATACCAATTTTACATAGAATCTGATCATAATAATTAAAAAACTCTTCCACCATATTGGATCCACCATTTTGAATTTCCCCATCTTGACAAATGATTCATAATTATCTACGACCTCTAAAACCTCCAGATACCAATTTTGAATAGAATCTGACCATAATTACAAAACTCGTCCGCCATATAGAACAATTATAGAACAATTATAATTATAAAATTATATTGGATCCGCCATTTCGAATTTCCTAATTTTGATAAAAAATCATAATCCCTGACCTCGAAAACCACCAGATACCAATTTTGAATCGTATCTGACCAATCTGTTCTGTTCAGCACCAAAACATACACTGATGCTCTTAGATTCCATCCAGAGAAGAGCCATTCGCCTGGTGGGTGACGCCACACTCACTCACTCTTTGACATCATTGGAACACCGTAGAAAGGTCGGCGACCTTTCACTTTTCTATCGATACTTCCACGGGAAATGGCTATCATCCCTCCACTAGCAATACCAGACGAAGTAGACAAGCCCAGTCAGCACATCCTTTCGTTGTCAACCTCGAAAGATGTCGAACAGCACTTTATCAAAACTCCTTCATCCATAGAACGGCTAGGCTCTGGAATTCAGTGCCCGAGGAAGTATTCCCAACAACATATAATCTCCAGAAGTTCAAAAAAAAACTCCAATACCTACCTCCTGTCCCTATCCTCCCTAGGAACGCACGATGTTCTTTGAACATTATAGGGATTTCCTTTCGTGCGCTCCAAGCGATAAAAAAAAATAATTACAAAACTCGTCCGCCATATTGGATCCACCATTTTGAATTTCCTTATTTCGATGAAGAAATCATAATTCCCGACCTCGAAAACCCCCAGATACCAATTTTGGATGGAATCTGACCATAATTACAAAGCTCGTCCGCCATATTGGATCCGCCATCTTGAATTTCCAAAATTTGACGAAATATTCATAATCTCCGACCCCGAAAACCCCTGAGTACCAATTTTGAATGAAATCGGATAACTATACTCGGTCGCCATATTGGATCCGCCATTTTGTATTTTCTATTTAAGAAATAGATTACGACCGATTCTCATACCTACCGAATACGCACAAAAAAATTCATACGAATCGGTCGAGCCGTTTCGGAGGAGTTCGACCACTATGACCGTGACCGTGACAGGAGAATTTTATATATTAGATTTGTTCGTCTTACAAACACTCGGAGAACCTCCCCTTGAAATATGCCCAGATAATTGAATAATACCCTCTGTATCATCACGTCGCCTAGATTTCATAATATGTCCGAGTAATATGTATAACATTGGCAACGGTGTAAACGGGTTTGAATTCATCATCTCTCCTAAGCGCCATCTGCTTGCAATACAATGCACCATTCCTCTCTGCCGCAGTCTGTCATTTCGAACACTGCCATCTCTCAGGTAGTGCCTGAACTACCACATCCTAGTTTCCTGCATTATATTCTTTCAATAAATGGAGTTTACCGAGATCAGCTGGGATGAATGGATATTTTGTTGACAGAATAATCGTTTTTGTTGCTTCCTGTCCGAATGGAAACATTTCAAGAGCTGATATTCCAGTGACACCTTGCCGAATTTCCAACAATTGTACTGAGATCGAAAATATTTCAATTTGAGACAAAAAAATTTCAATGTTTACGTTTTTCAAAAATCTGTATCTTCTATAAATAAATGAGTTTCGACTCCGTATGATAACCAGGCCCTAGTCCCAACCTTCTTCTTTACGATGATTTAATCAGTTTTTCAATTGAATCATTCATAAGCCCATATAGGAACATCTAGTGAAGGCCTGCATGTCGATTTGGTTGAATCTCTCCTCTTAATTGATTTAACACGTTGAAAATTGAAATCAAACCTCTAACTGCTCTCAAAGATGATAATGAAACTATAGAGACAATGAGCAGCTACCAGCTGATAGTTGGCTAAGGGCTGGTTGCATAAAGCTCTCTGTTAACTTAACGAGGTATCCACTCTTTTAACTCATCAGCTAAGGTAGACGTTGCTATGGATACAATAAATCAAATATGTAATCGTCTGTTAAATGCTTCATGCAATATCAATCAATCTATCATATTTATCAATGGTTCTTTCTCTTTCTTTATGTTACTTTCAATGCTTCATACAAGACGTGAGACGTAAGGACACATCTATACTAGTTCAATATCATCATATCTTTGTTATCTTCCAGATGAAATGGATTACCTAGTCTAGCTAGCATCAATTACCTGTAAACAACAAATGGAAGGATTATGCTAATTGTTTATTTTACGCTAAATCTGGTTGACGAGTCTGGGCTGTGCGTACTGGGTCGGCATTACATTTGTTGTTTATAGGCCAGTGGCTAGCATAGAGAGGGAAAACATGTATCTTCCTCTCATTTACGTATTAGTGAACAATATGGATAATCTATATCTGTTTCCATAGCAAAAAAGGAAGCCGTTTTCTGAAGACAAACGACTATCCATAAGCATAACTACTTTCCTAGTAGTTTTAAAGTAGGATATTATGCAAAAATAATGATTCAATAATATGCCTTTTGATTACGGTGCATAAAAAAATGGACAAGAGTGATCCACATATTAACATTCTTTTTATTCCAACTACTACTGCATTACTGCAATATAACCACATTATCAAATGGGCGATAGGATGACTATATTTCATGATGACTATGTAATAAACAAGAAGTGGTCAAGTAGTTTAGGCAAAGATGTAATTTAGATGGAAATACTCTAAAAATTTATAATATCCATCAAACTTTTGAATTAACATGTCGAAACATAAACAAAAGCCGAATGTGACCTTATGTTATGCACACATACTCCTTTGATTAAAAAGCTGGTAAATGCCATTGTCTACGATAACGCATGTCTGTGATGATAACTATGTTCGCGCATGTGCATCATGCCATCAACCTTATGGATAATCATTTGTTTCATATTTTTAGCTTCAACCTGGCACCCGTTGTTATCCATATTGTTAATTAATACGTATATGCTTCCTCTTTTATTCAGGTTTCCAGTGAAAACTGATGAAAATTATCACAATAATTATTGGACTCGTTCATCATTTTGTGGGCGGGCAGATAAACGTCCTCCATTAACTTTGCATCAAAATAGATCATCTCTATTGAACTATGTTTCATTTCATGACTAACAAAACATTGACAAAATTAAAAATTTCACTGCGCAACTTCAGGAACATTTCATGTTTCATACAAAATCGCCCTTTAAGTACAATTTTCCATTTTCAAATGGAAACATTAACAACCGATTAAATTTTGAGTATAATGAATTTAACAAAATAAATAATCATCCTATAATTCTATAATATATAAATTCTTCTAAAAATGTACCACTCATTGATGATTTGCCTTATAAGTGATTTCATACAACTGGGATACCTCTCAAAAATCTAATAAATTATTAAACTACTAGATGGTGCCAAGCAACAGAAAGATAAGAGAGAAGAGGGACAGTGAAAGAGAGACAGGGATTGAAAACAATATGAAAGTGAGACGCAAGAACCTACATGACGCAATGAAATCAGCTAATGGTTAGGACAAACTGAATGAAAACATAGTTCAACTTGTCTAATCCTGATAAGTAAGAACCGAAAATGATTTTTGATGTTTATCAATTGATTCAACATGTTGAAATTTCTAACCGAACCTTAAATCGCGCTTAAAGATGGTGAGAAGTACTGAAAACGAGAGAAGCAACGAGCAGCTACCAGCTGATGGTTGGGTGATACTGTATATGTCTTAGTTGCTCATGCACTCATATCAATGGTCTTTTCTCTCTCTCATGTCACTTTCAATGCTTCGTTTGAAACAGAAAGGGAATGGCATATCTCTAATCGTTCAGTATCAGTATATGTCCTTGTCGCTCAATAATTTCGATGCTCCTTCCTCTCTTTCATGTCACTTTCAATGCTTTGTTCAAAATAGTAAGGCAATGGCATATCTCTTATAGTTCAGTATTATAAGATCTTTGATATGATCCATAAACAACAATCGGAGGGTGATTTTACCCTAAAGTTGGTTCACAATGCGTATATCGTACTGGGTGGACCTTCCATTTGAATCGCTTAGGAGAAGAAGGGAATAACTACTGAACTGAACTAGAATAGCCATTTTGTTTATTGGATATGTCCACATGAATCTAGCTAACAAAATATCGTATAGTGGAAGAAGGGAATTATATTCCCTTTTTCCACTTCATGCTCATAACGGCCATCGGGCATTCGATGTCTGCCATCTCTGTAGTTCCAATCAGCTGTTTAGTGTTTCCTGCTTCATCAGCTATAGTCTTTTGTTTTTGACACCGTCTTTCTTTTGATTGAGATATCAATCAAAGCATATTGGTTTTTGGATTTGTTTGAATCAGGTAAGCAATAATTTTGTTTCTTGCAAATTTTTGGTATTTACCCAACTAGAAAGTGGTTTGGTTGTCAAGGTTATTTCATTGAAAAATTGACATTTGACAAGGAGTTTTATAGTGAATTTATAGCATGGATCACTCACGACGTAGGAAACAGTGATGTTGAAGTTGTTTAAATATGTGTGTTCTTGTCGACATTCATGTTTTTCATTAAAAAATATTACAGGAATTATTTTTTTTCTTTATTGGCATCAGATTATGAAAGAAATTTAGTGGTCCTGAGTCAATTTCATTGATAAATGTGCGAAAAATGGAAATTACACAAAAATTTAGTGGAATAAAGGAATAACTTTTCAAAATTTCATCCCTAATATCCCTTGGGCATGACTGAAATTGAGAATAACTAGACATTCAATGAATCCATGATACCATATCCTAAAACTTTTCTGTGAATGGACTTCTTGTAGAATGAACTGTCTAAGAGTTATACAGTTTTTTTTGTTTCCCAAAATTTCAGATTTTGTAATTATTATTGCCTTCTTCTTCTGAGCGATTCATTTGTTGTTAATAGGGTTAGTGGCTGTCATTGAGAGGGAAAAAGTGTCTCTCCTTCTCCCCATTTCATCAGGTTTCCAGTGTAAACTGATGAAAACTATCACAATAATTATGAGTCACGTCTTCACGTTCCTCCCACTTCTCTCTTCGGACTCGTTCATCATTTTGTAGGCGGGCAGATAAACGTCTTTCATTAACTTTGCGTCACGATATAGCAGGCTCGGGTTGCGAATGGTGTTGGTCGCGTTGCCCAGCGACGTGAAGCCCATGTCGTACAGCTTGCAATAAGGGACTTTGTAGAAGAGCAGGTAGTCCCATATGTCGGAGTAGTGCCATTCCAAGATGGGGTTGACGCGCATCACTTGTGGCCAGTCTGGATCCGTCATCTGTGCAATAAAAGGGACTATTTAAACAATAATTGACCCGTTAGCCCGCTCGCTTTCCTTTTAAAGTTATGTATAACGGCAGGTTCTTTCCTAGACTACTTCAAATATGCTAAAGTTCTGCCGCTATGGAAAAGAGAAATACATCGATAGTCCTCGAATAACCGCCTTACCTCAATTATCCCAGTTCTGGGTATGATTTTAGAAATTATTCTCAAGAATAGGTTAGTCCGTTATTTTGCATTGAATAATCTTTTCAGTTAGCAAAAGTATGGTTTCAGACAAGGAAAGTTGTCAATCGATGCCATATTGGAGATTGTAGAGTACATAGAGCCATGAGAACGGAGAGCACGTGACTCTTACATCATGTGACCTTTCCAAGGCATTCGATGGTGTATCTCACGCTATTCTTTATGAGAAGTTTGAATACTATGACTATGGATTGAGATGGAATTGTTTGAACCCTACTTAATGGACAAAACTCAATCGGTGTAAGTGAACGATATGTTTTCTAGACAGGTCAAACATGGTGTAACCGAAGGTTTTGTATTGGGGCCAATATTGCTTGTTATAATTTTATAGTAAGGTAATATTCTTAACCATACTTCCTTATACTTACCCGAACTTGTTTCTGTGGAAGTCAGGTTTTCAATAAATGAATAAATAAATGAACGTTGTTGAACCAATAATATTTACCTGGAACACCTTTAGATCTGCTGAAAATGGATCAGTCCTCCTAGTACCCATAAAGCCAGCTTTGAGATTTGGCTTCATCTTCAGTACTCTATCTAAGGCTTCTTTCATGCCAAGAGACACTGTCATCATATCCAAATTGTAGAATATCTGGAACATGATCATTGAAAACAATTTTTTCAAGTCAAATTAATTATTGAAACCATTCAAAATTATTCAGAAATATCAGCATCAAAAATAAAACCTAATTGTTTCATATTTGAGGTTATGTTCGAAACCTAACCTGACATTGGGATATGAATTCATCTTGTTCCGAAAACGCTTCTTTGCTTTTGACATACAGGCAGAAAATCGGACTTTTGTAGTCGGGGTAGTTTATCCTCAAAACTAGGTGGACTAGGTGTAGTAGGACGGTGCAATCTTTACCGCCGTTGAAACTCAGAAAGACGTTTTCTGGGCCATACATTGACAGACATTTCTTTATGCCCTGAAAATAATAGTGGTACTGTGGTAATAATATTCTGTGCTAACAAGGTGTATATTGAATTGTATTCACCACTAGCAATATATTTCAATCATTATAGTTCTGTGATTGATGAAATAAACCTCTGGTGTACGCACTTCAATTCTGTTTTACAATTCCTTGATTTTCGCCTACTTCGATGAACATAACATGGCGTGGGTGAATCTCGCTAAGTTTAGTCTAGTGACAATGATGGAAGTAAGATATGGTGTAATTACTGATGCGCTTTTGTTTCAGAAATTTTACTCGACCTCTCGAGAACAGTGAGAGCAATGGTTCCGTCGATCTTCTAATAGATGGCGATATTGCACAATTATAACATCTGTCAGTTTTGCCATTTGCCATTTTATTTCCACTCGTCACAGCAGCAATAGCAGCATCACCATCTAGCGGAAAAATGTAGAATCAACGTCTCGCTCGTTGTGACGTAGAGAAATCATAGTAGGCGGTCGAGAGATTTTTCTGAAATTATCAATACGTAATAATGACCGAATGCGCGCACCATATCTTACTTCCATCATTCTAGTGACTATGGTCTAGTGCCGTACCAAGATTACAGGCATCAATGTGATAATTGTGACCGAATTGTGACCAATGAAGATAGGGAATACATTTTGCGATTTAGCCGCTTCAAGGTTGGTAGAACTGATGTTGGTCATAAGTCCATTCAATATGTGAACCCCACGTAATCGTCTGAAATTCGATTGTTTATATCGAGAATCAGTCTGAGGAAACAAATGAAGAGTCAGTGCACCAGAGGATTATTTTCATCAATGTTCTGGGAAACATAAATATGTACCTATTGACACTATAAACCACTTCTTTTCAATTCTAATTATAATCTAGAAGCTAGGACATCTCAGCCAGGACCATGACAGCATAGGACAAGACGTTATTGATAAATTCCTACTAGATTCGAGTGCTATTCCTGTGTATCTCGCATCAAAACAGTGAATTCGGGTTAATTATAGGGTAAATTATAACAGAGGTGGCTAGGTCTTTATTGACTAGTAATTCATAAAATGACAAAAACTATCTTGGTAGTAAAAACACACTTTGAGCCTTGAAATTGAGCAAATAACGGTAGATTCTACAGATAGTGGTGGAAAATCAATATTATCTTCATTTCCCATGATCCTCTTTAAAGAAGGCTGTGCATGAGTTCAAAATTAGCACTCCATTTAAGTGGTTATACAGTGCTTTTCATTATTGCCCCCCCTTTTATTTTTCGAACAAGTCAACAGAAAAAATAGAAACTTGGGATAATGATATTGATGCATGAATACTATACAGGGTGTTATTTAAGTACTTGGCCAAACTTGAAGGGGTGATTCTTTGAGTGATTCTGAGACGAAAAGTTCATATAAACATAGGTCCAGTAATGCTTCGTTTTCAAGATACAGGGTGTCAAAATTTTTAAAAGAAATCGTTTTTTTCGTAAATATCTTAATAACCCTTCAACCGATTTTATTGAAATTTGGCAGTGTTATTCAAGGTCGTGAAGGGCTAATTTAACCCTAACTATATCAAAATTATCATGTCCAGTGGCGTCCCGAAAGGCACTGTAACCAATATTTTTGATAGAAAAAATGTGCGCCACTGATTTTTTGCAATTTTTGCATTTGTTTCACATTGTGCAACTAAAATTACAACTTTTTTATATCCAGAATTTTTTCCGTATCTTGCTTTGTTTTTGAGAAAAAACATAAAAATCACTTCATTGCACATCCCTGTGACAACACAATAAAACATTTCAACTACTAAACCATCAAAAACTGGGGTTTTACTTATATTTCTTCATATTGATACTCTTTTGTAGTCTTGGAATTTTCTATTAAAATTAATGCAATGAAAAAACAAAAAACATGTATGTATGAATTGCAGCACTTGCCTTCGGCTCGTCACAGGGATGTGCAATGAAGTGATTTTTATGTTTTTTCTCAAAAACAAAGCAAGATACGAAAAAAATTCTAGATATAAAAAAGTTGTAATTTTAGTTGCACAATGTGAAACAAATACAAAAATTGCAAAAAAATCAGTGGCGCACATTTTTTCTGTCAAAAATATTGGTTACAGTGCCTTCCGGGACGCCACTGGACATGATAATTTTGATATAGTCAGGGTTAAATTAGCCCTTTACGACCTTGAATATTACTGTCAAATTTCAATAAAATCGGTTGAAGGGTTATTAAGATATTTACGAAAAAAACAATTTCTTTTAAAAATTTTGACACCCTGTATCTTGAAAACGAAGCATTACCGGACCTATGTTTACATGAACTTTTCATCTTAGAATCACTCAAAGAATCACCTCTTCAAGTTTGGCCACGTACTTAAATAACACCCTGTATTTTGGAGTAAATTGACAGATGAAAATTTCAAGATGGCGACTGGGAGCCATCTGGAAAAAAAATGGAAAGGGGGGTCTTGTGATACATCCTTTTGAAGCTCCTGACCTGACCAATACTTCACAACCCTAGAATATGAAGTCAATATCTTTACCTACTACATCACCCTCCTTTCCATTTATTTTTTTTTTCAGATGGCACCCAGCCGCCATCTTGAAATTTTCATCTGTCAATTTTACTCCAAAATATAGTATTCATGCATCAATTTGTATCTCCCCAAGTTTCAACTTTTTCAGTTGACTACACCTTTTTCAATTGTAATTCAGAAAGTATAACTTGTAATTCAGATTAGTAAAATGTAAGTCAGAAAGTGTAACTTGTAATTCAGAAAGCATCAATTGTAATTCAGATTAGTGAAATGTAATTCAGGATGTGTAACTTGTAATTCAGAATAGTCAATTATTGTAATTCATGAAGCGTAATTTGTAATTCAGAAAGCATCACTTGTAATTCATAAGTGATACTTTCTGAATTACAAGTTATGCTTTCTGAATTACAATTGACTAATCTGAATTTCAAGTTATACTTTCTGAATTACAATTAACTATTTTGAATTACAACTTATACTTTCTGAATTACATCTTATACTTTCTGAATAATAATTGAAAAAGGTGTAGTTCAAAAAATAAAAGGGGGGACATCAAAGAATAGGATATTCTTATTCTTTTCAGAATAAGCTGCCCATAATAATTATGATTGTTCAACATGTTTTACTACATTGTAGGTACCTCATTGTTTTATTAAAAACAGTTAAGGAGATGAATTTTTTGTGTTACAGCTCTGTTATATCAGTAGAAAAAGGGAATTTTAAGGTCCAATAAAAAATTTTAGACTTTTAAAAAGTAAACTGAAACATAGATTTCTGAAATGTTTGTGTACCTAGTTAGTATTGTCACAGTTTGAGGAATTCCTTAAACTTTGGTATTGTGGAGCAGCATCTACTTTTTTAACAATCATTGAATAATATGTCCTTGATTGATAAGAACTACAGCAAACTATTCAAAACTCCTATTCAGATAATATTTAATGGTTTTTAGGACTATTATGAACATTATCAGACACATTTATGATGAATATATTCCTTATCATCAAATAGTGAAAATTGCCAAGATAAGCCTATGAATTATTGCAAATTCATTTGTTCCAACTGTATGCTTACCACATCATTACCACATATCTTATCTATAGTATATTTCTTTTGTACAGATAACAAGAATTCCATGGGGAAATTTCAGTACCTGTGATGTTATTAAATCTTTCCAGAATTTTCTTGGAATTTTATTTTAAAGTTTACAGGGTTATCCATCCAGAACGTTATTTTCTCATAGAGAAAAAAAAACAATGCAACAAGGCCTTTTCACAGACCTTATTAGAAGTTTCACAGGGTGATTTCAAAAGGCATGACAAACCACAAATCAATTTTTTCAAATCTGTGAATTTTTGTGATCACAAAAATAATATACAGGGTGATATCTTCAATTTTCATTTCCGTATCACCACTCTTTAATGCATAGAAAAACAGTTTTTGTCTGATTAATTGGTGATTAGTGGATCAGTTTGGCAATGTATTCAATAATCTGTAGCAGCCAACACACAAAAATTGTTTTTCTGGTGTTAAAAAAGTGGTGATAATAAAGTAAAAATGGAAGATATCACACTGTAGGTATATTTATATTTCTGTGATCACCAAAAATCAGATTCTAAAAAATATATAAAAAACAGGGTGTTGCATTTAAAATAAATAATTTGTGGTTTGTCACCCTATAAGACATTTGATAAAAGGGCAGGGAAAAGCCTCCTTGGAGACCTCATTGCAGCATTCAACTTCGGCATTTTGTGTTTTGTTAATAAAAATATAAGGTGAATATAGGGGTAGGCCTTTTCAATGGATAGCCCTGTACATTACTGGATACACTATTGAAAATTTAAATATATGGAAATTTATGTAAATTGATCATACTGTAAATAATGATGAGAGAACTACAACTTACAGATCCACTTTGCTAGGAATAGGTGAATACACTCAGATCTATTCTATAACAGAAAGTTGAAAAATAGCTTACCTACTTACTTCTATTGATTGATGAATATGTCTTTCTCTAGAATCATAAATCCTTCTAAGTACATCATTTTCTTCATAAGAACTGATAATATTATCACCTAATTCATGTCTCAGCAGCTTTTCACATTCCACAAGATGCTGGAAGTTTTGATTACTGATGATAGCTTTCAAAACACCTTGAAAGTGTTCTAATTGGATGATTGATTTATACATTTGGAGTTTCTCTAAAATACCCTCAGTATTACCATTCACTTGTATGTTTAGGACTTTCATGTAATTAGAACCCCTTTCATAGTGCTGCAAATGATCTTTCAAATATTCACTAAATTGTAATTCTACATTATCATACTCCAGCACAAAAATTCTCTGGAGGTATATCACAGGGTGAGAAGAATTAACCCCAAGAAGCTTTGCAGCTGGGGGCATTTCACATATGCCATTCAAATGGTGTTCTATAGTCCTAGATTTGCAATTCTCACAACAGAGATTGCTCAAGGCTTTCACAACAACTTCATTATTCGATTCCCTTACTATAATCACAACATCATACTGTTTCGATAAATCATCCAATTCACTGGTCACTATGTTCACGTTTTCATCTACTACTAGAAGTTTCTCCACCTGATAATTGATGGTGTGCAGCTGGTCTATGAGGAATTTGCAACGTTTGTTTTCTTTCTTGCCTTTTAGGATTTGATAACTGACAAAGAGCAGGGCCACAGAAACAACCATCATCCAGGGCCAATGTAGAATAGGTTATTGAGAATTCTGATCAAGAAAGTGGCAAGGAAGTCGGTCAACTACTGTGTCAGCATTGACTGCTATCCTATGGTCGACTGATTTTTGTACTGTTGGAGTGTTCGTGACTGCATCATTAGGAGAAACTAAAAACTCAACACAGCAGTCCTCATTTCTCCAGGATTATTACAGGTTAGATAAGAATAATTAGAAAATAAATATTCACTAATTGGAAAGGTCCTCAAAAGTCACTTCAAAGTTCTGAAGTTACATCATTCATTGTTGACAATTGAGTCTTTGTGGCTTGAATCACTAAAGAAAAAACTATTAAAAGAAGAAGACGAGACGTTGAGAGTTGTCATTTGTGCTTGACACGTTGACGTAATGTCACCTGTCAGTCCTGTCACAAATGTCTCTCGCCAGCAGGGTTGGGATTGTTGTTACAATTGTAATAGAGGGCGTGTTTTTCATTCCATCGAAGAAAGTGCGCACTGATAGATGCGGTTTTTTGTCGTGACGTCACCAATTGTTCTGTTGGAATTTATGCTGGAAGGATTGAACAATTGTTTATACAACACATTGATGGAAATACGGATTTTGATGTGTGTCAGTCATCATGTATCTTGAGAATCAGAAAAGGCTAATTCGACTTTATTGATCAACACTGACTCTTCTTCTAAAATCTCTCAAGAATCTCAAAAATCCTCAATATTGATTGTTTTCTATCAAATCAAAACAAAAAACAACACTAAAATGTGTCAACTGTCATGTCAATCTCCTCCAAACTGCTGGATTCTCGAAATGCGATTTAAAAGTGCGCATTTTATTACAACAGTTTGATGGATGTCCATCAACATTCCAGCGGAATTTTGCAACAGTTTGATGGTTTCTTCGATTCATGCGCATGATAAAATGTTGGAATGAAAAACGCACCCATATCTAATACAATCGCGTCTCAGTTATTACGGTATTACTACATTGACGAAAACAGCCAATATCTATTACACTTTGACTGGAGGTAGTAATTCAAGTTTGAGGGCAACGTCAGGAAAAAACGGCAACGTTAGTGGGGTAATTTTTTCAAACTTGTGTTTTGTGTTCTGTAACTGAGTTTATTTCTTCTTATAATAGTTTTGTCAATTTCTTACGAAGGATTTTTACAATTCCGAACCTAAAAACCAAGACATAATAACTCGTCTAATAATCTGATAATACCGATTTCATTTGGTGACGACTCAAAGCGAGGTATGAAAAAATGAACGAGTAAAACATAAATATTGTCTGTAGGTTATTTTCATCTTATAGAAACGAGGAGAGAAAATCCCAAAAAATCTGAAATAATGAAAGTAAAATAAAATATATGTTATGTTCTGAAACTTATTCTGTTTTTGGAGGTCATGATGATTTGAGATTTTCATTATTCACATTTTTCGCTCGGCTATTATCCATGTATCTATATTTTGTCCTTACATGAAATGTAAAATCCCAAAAAGTTATTCTTACTAGAAATACAATGTTATTATTCATCTTGTCATATAGAAGCTAAACGTTTTGTGAGACTGAGTTAATTCATTTAGCTTTTTCAGTTCCTATTTTATTCTCAGTTTTTATTTATTGTGGAATTGAGTGTGTTGTTTTTTATTTTTTCTTCATTTTTCCTGGACAGTCCAAAATTCCAAGGTACATTGTAATCAAAGAATCTCCTCTTGTGAAATTATGATAGGGAAATTCAAATTTGCCGCGCATTGTTTCAAATCTATTACATTCTATTACATTTTGCTACCAAGATTCAGTACAAACTGACACAAACGAAATCCCAACCCTGCTCGCCAGTCATTCGATTAGTAGCATGCTGCCGTGCTGCGGAAAATCGAAGGTTATAATATCGTTTCTACATGATAGGGAAGGTTTCTTTCGACCGAACTCGTCCTAAATGATCCTTGTTCTGAAAAGTATATTTTTCGAGAAATTGTGCAAAATATATTGACGCCTCGCAGGGATTTGAACGCTAGCCACCGCCATGGAAGACAGATACATTAAATTCATTTTTCCTTCGAGCGTGCGCAAAGTAGTACTTTTTCGCACTCATTTGCGTGCGCAAAGTAATACTTTTCCGCACTCAGTGCGGATATGGGTGATATCCGCACGACGTGCGGATAAGTAAAACTATAGGTACCCATAAATCTCACTGGTATATCCCAGTTAACACAGATTGATCCCAGAAAAGTAAGAGGGCATCACATTCATGCCACACATCACATCTGTGACTCGAAATGAGAGGCCTAGTGAAATCACAATGACTGCTATTTCGGACCCTTTTGGTCATTTTATGATTCACATTATGATGCCAAATGAAAATCACAGTACGTATTATGCGACTCCTCATTCAACATCAAAATTGATTTATTCCGTTCCTTACATAAATAGACAAGGATGTGAGGTTTCAGTGAGTCTCTTGGTTGTTAGGGAGCCTCATAAATTCACCAACATTTCAGGTCTCAAATTTAATAAAATGTGAGGAATATTGCGAATGTTTTGTGAAATAAAGAGTCTCCTGGTAATACCAATGATGTTTTGTTGTGACTCGCATTGTTACCTAGCGAGGCATGAATGTGACATCCCAGGGATGTTTGTGTTTACTGGGATGGAACATTTATATTCATTTTAGTTGCTGTAGACTATTGTATGCACTATAAGAAGCCGTTATATCCTTTTTACCTCTCAATCGTTCTTCCCGATTTGTATTTCACCTCAATATAAATATTAGGAACACATGATTTGATTTTCTATCATTATTATGTAATTGTTTGTTGTTGAAGTATTTTTATCAAGTTTAACTAAAAATTATTCGATAAATTGTAATTTAAGTTGCAATTTTTTTATTTTCGTTATCTGATATGAAGCTCGTAGGGGAAATGTGATTTTCTATCATTATATACAGGGTGTAAATTTGAAAACTTCCAATGCGAATATCTCGCGAAATAAAAACGTTAGAAAAACGCCGCTTGGCAAAGATGCTAAAGAGTTAAGGGGAACTAGAACCACCATATTTCAGTAAAGGGATGAGTCACCCTGTCAGCGCGAAACACCCCAACTTTGAAATATCAAATGGCACTACCTCTTTTGTGATACCTCAAATGAACGGTCTCAGTCAGTAGTATTCACCTGTACAAGACTTTTTTTCCACCCACTACAGGGTGTACAAAAAACATTAATTCGAGGGTCAAAATTTGAAAACATTCAATGCGAATATCTCGCTAGATAAAACAGTTAGGAAAACGCCGTTTGGCACAAATGCTACAGAGTTAGGGGGAACTAGAACCACCATACTTCAGTAAAGGGATGAGTCCCCGTCCTCGTCGGCGCGACACACACTCCATCTTTTAAATGTCAAATGGCACTACCTCTTTTATGATACCTCAAATGAACGGTCTCAGTCAGTAGTATTCACCTGTTCAAGACTTATTTTCCACCCACTACAGGGTGAACGGAAAACATAAAGTCGAATAAAATAAAATGCAGAATGCCGATAATATATTCCAAGAGATGTGTTCCAAAATGTTAGAATGGCATTTGAACTTCGATTATACTATTGCTTACAACAGAATGGAATACATTTTGAACATCTGATCAAATAAAATATCCTTTTAACACAATTCATTTTATTTTATTCGACTTTATATTTTTCGTACACCCTGTAGTGGGTGAGAAAAAGGTCTTGTACAGGTGAATACTACCGACTGAGACTATTCATTTGAGACATCACAAAAAAGGTAGTGCCATTTGACATTTCAAAGTTGGGGTGTGTCGCGCCGACGGGGTGACTCATCCCTTGACCGGTGGATATGGTGGTTCTAGTTCCCCTTAACTCTTTAGCATTTTTGCCAAACGGCATCTTTCTAATTTTTTTCTTTCGCGAGATATTCGCATTGGAAGTTTTCAAATTTACACCCTGTATTTCATTGTTATATGTGATTGTTGTATAGTTACATCATTGTTCAATAAGTTATAATTTTTTTCATTTTCCTTTTTATCTGATATGAAGCTCGCAGGAAAAACGTTGTTCCTAACACGTGCGCAAAGTGTCTTTTCCGCACGCAATAACTTATTCGAACTCCGCTCCGCGTCGTTCTCCTATAACTGTATTTGCGTGCGGAGAAGTAACACTTTGCGCACTTGTTAGGAAAATAACTATATTCATTACTTTCTCTTAAATACATGGACAATTTCAACACAACAAACACATTTAATATGAGTATATAAAACAATCTCCTACGCGGTGGGCGAGTTGGCTGGTGTACCAGGAGGGTATTTGTTCTGCGAATAAAGTCCAAGTCAATGATTCTCATCTCCTGCAGCCATGCTCCTTACTGTATGTATCAAAGGTTCAAGAAGTCGCATATGATCGTAACAATATTTAATTAAAACATGATTAAACTTTTACATTTACAGATATTTACTAGTTGCAGGACTCAGTTTTAAAATTTTTCTCCACAATTCAATCCTGTCAGACTCAGGATTGGATTTCAGCGCAAGATCGTTGTCTATATCCAGAAAATAAACGTTTTTCTCATCAGCAGGCTTCCACGTTAAATTCAGGTTGTTTCCAGGGGGCGTGGGGTTTCCATTTCTGGCAAAATTGGTAAACAATTTCGTGAATCTTCTTATTGTAGTTTCTTCGTCTTTTCCCATAGCGATAGGCAATTTCGAACATTTGAAAATATATGTCATATCGTCTCCGTGGCAGGCACCTGAAATTTTTCATACAAAATGTCTTATATTCGATGTGCAATACTTTATTGGTAAAAGTTGTTCCTATAAGGTACAGTCTTTGGTGAAACCCGAAGATTGAATATAGAACCCAGATTGAATTTGAATCCAAGGTTATAATCGCGTGTGTTGTTCAGCATGGATATACCCAGCGAGCACAAACATCCCTGGGATGTTTTGGGATGTTTTGAAAATGTTGGCATGAAGATGTTATTTTGAGACGTAATATGCACTGACCAAAGAGGTCTTTGAAGGATATTGGAGTATTGTTTTTGTTCTTCTGTGGCATTTCTTTGTTTGCCTACTGAAAGGTATCCCTGGGATGTTTTGGGATGTTTTAGAAATGTAGGCATGAGGATGTTTTTTTGAGGCGTAATATGCACTTCCCGAAGAGGTCTTATATAGAAGGATATTGAAAGTATTGTTTTTGTTCTTTTGTGCCCTTTCTTTGTTTGCCCCACCACAACGTCTCATGCTTACGTCACAATACGATGAATTCTGATTTGTTTTCGATTTTGTTCTTCTTGTTCGCAATTGGCATTCGCGTTTGCAGCGTGTCACGCTTACATCATGCTGCTAACGAACAGAAAGGTGGTGAAGTTTATTGTGTTAGAAGACTTATTTAGTTTGTAATAATGACCATCAGATGCAAGATGTTGTTCGGTGCCTCAGTGTAATCAATATATAAAAGTACGAATTCGTCAATACAGAGCTTCTCCGCAGTTGCAAAATTATGCATTGTGGAGAACATTTAAAAAATTGGGAAACCTCTATTTCCAATTATATGTCTGTGTGTAGTAAGCACTACTCAGAAACCGATTAAGAAGGTAATTTCATATCAAGAAAATATTTTTATGTTCAATCTATTTTTAATGCATTTTTTCATTCAAGGGAAATGGAATCCTAATGCAAAAGTTCATTTTGACAAAAGGCTTCAGAAAAGTACCTCGAAAATGGTTTTTTTACGGCGATTTAATGTGCGCAAGACGCGTTGAAAATGTTCTGTTGTATCCATGAAAAGGCTTTAAAAAGAACTAGGGAGAAGGTAGTTTTGTGACATATCAAGGACATCTCGATAATTGCCGCCTGCGGCGGACATTGGCTATTCTATAATAGTTCTATTCATGTGTGAACAGAACATCGCAGTGGAGGTTCAATGTCTCGAAATCTCGTACTTTTAACATCTCTGATATGTTTTTGTGCTCGCTGGGCTTCATTCAAAAAAAAAAATCTCAATGCCAAAAAATTCAAGAAAGAACTCAAAAAATATTTATTCGTCTGAATTTTGTCATGTGATCCATATTGAGATCATATAACATATCTATTATTTTAATCATTCATTCACTCAAACAACGATCTGCTCAAACTATGAGAATTACTAGAATAATTATTATACCTATTAATACTATATTTTGAATGTAATGTAATACATTATGTTTTTTTAATGTTCCCTGTTATAAACATATACGTCAATTGTTTCTTGGGAATAATAAAGATGATGATGATGAGTTTGCATGGCTGCTATAAAGTAAAGGTGATTTTGAAAATAACTACCAGAAATAATTCGAACCCTGAGAAGGATTTAGGTATACTATCAGCAATAAGGCCCTTTTGTTCATTTTGTGTGCTACTTTCAATACGAATATTCTTGTTGAATAAAAAATATTTGATATCTTGAGAATATTCCGCTAAACTGAATCGTAGTAATGTCTTCAAATGTATATAGGTGGGTGATTGATGTTTATGTATTCTACTCTATTAGCTATCTCACTTGATATTCGTATTACAAAAATGTTCAAAAGGGCATGATTTCCAGACACCCTGCATATACCGGGTGAAACATGATCATGGTACACCCCCTTTTCCTCCTTTAGCTTTACTTGATAAACGTCATATTTTGACATGAATATCTTTCATTTTCCACTTGTGATTTTACCGGAAGTTGTAAAACAACTTTCGATTTTTGTACCTTCTATGTAATTGCATTTTCGAATTCTGGAACATTTTTTGAATCTATTGATATCACATGAGTATCATTTTGAATTTCAATGTTATTGTTTTTAATTTCATTTTTGATTTTACATCTGACATGACTTTGATGCTGATCTAGTCTGATGTACTCATATCGACAGGTGTAAAAGTAATGCTAAAGAAATGGAACCCTGTCAAAAATGTATAAAATTTCTTGATTTATCTTCAAATTAAGTTCATCAAAATGGTTTGGTGTACTATAACCATAATCCTCTGTTACACCCGGTATTTGAAATCAGAAGGAAGCACGCTCTACCGTTTAGGAAAATAAAATACAGGGTGTTCCATCATTTTTAAAATATCAGTTTATGTAGAATTTCTAGGTTTATTACGATGCTTTATTGCATTTTCTTGTACTTGATTCTGAATGCCCATAAATACTTTATTTTTGCCCATTTTTGAACATTCCTGTAAGACCAATATTAAGTGAGATATAGCTATTGAGTAAAAAATAAAAATAATCACCATATGTACATATTTTGAGATCACCCTGTTGATTGTTTATTAGTTCATTTACCTGGGAATTCATCAAGTCTGAACATTTTCTTCAACAAGTTTTGGTTTCCAACGAATGACATTTTGTACAAATAAACCGGGTTATCGCTCGTTTTCACATGGTTGATGACTGCTGCTATTATGCCAGCGATGAAGAAGAAATCCGAGGAGACCTGAAAGTGCGAAAAAAAAACTATAAATATATTGGCAGAGGGGATTTGAATAGCTGTGTGTGAGGTATATTCTTTCGTATTCAAACATTTTTCAACCCTTTCCAAAATGGCGAAAATGACGTCAGAAAAAATAATATTTTCTCTGCAAAGTTAGAATTTTATTCTGTCATTAGAACGTGATGAAAAAAATTTCGATTTCATACGCTGGTGGGTACCCACGAGAAAAAAAAAATCACTCATAATATCACGAGAGCTTCAATTTATTTCCGGATATTTTTTCGAGAACACGCATTTTCAAATATTCGTGTTCGAGAAGAAATTCCCGGATCTCAATGGGGACTTCGCTCCAAGATGCCAACCTAACAACCTCTACCACTGTGGAAGCAATATTATGGACGTTTGATTACTCAAATAGCTTTATTTTGGTGCAATTTGATTGTAGGCGTCTACTCAGCTTTCTAATGAAAGTTATTCAGAAGAAAAATTAGTTTTTGTGAACTTCACATCTGCGATACGTCAATACTGAAATGTCAATACATTTCAATACTTTCAATAGTGTCAGTAGTGCCACGAGTAAAAAATGGTTTATCATGTTATGTTCGAATCACGTTCGAACTATTGAATAATGATCAAGAAAATCTCATGAGAAACATTGTTATCAGATCTTCATATTCATTTTTGTTCATTAATATTTCCTCACTACCCATAATTGGTATATCATGCTATAATAAAAATTGTGATATTCGAATAGTCTCTTGATTTCTGCTACCAATAAACTATCTGTCTGATTATTTGAATAAAGGTATCTTATTTTGATATTGTTGTATTCCGACATTTGTGATGATATCTCGCGTACGGTTGATTTTTGTGATAGGCATATTGGAATATACGCGAAAGGAATGATTATCATTCCAAACAGAGTGTTCCCTGAAACACGGGGTTATTTTGGTATTTAGTGCTGTGGAAACTTTCAAACAATGAAATAGCAGAAGTGGACTCTTTTATATAAATTCATTTTGTTTTCACGGTAGTGACTGTTTCTTTCATTATTTTTTTATACTGTTCTTTTCTCCTTTGCTTTTCTAGCTATATTCTTGAAATTCGAAGTATCGAATATGCTCACTAGAGGGCTGTTTCTCACATTTTAGGTTCTTTTTCATCATCCGGTTTTCCTGGAAATGACATTGACTTTTGATTTTCAAATGGGACACCCTGTATTTTCTCCATACCCTAACAACACAGGGATGTCCTAGGTGCGTCCCTTTTATGTCCCGCGGTACAAGGAAATGATTGGGACATCCAGGGGATGTCCCGCCAGTAGTTGTCCAGTGGACATCCCACCCGGTACATCCCTAGGTTATCCCATTCGTGTCCCTGGAATATCTGATATCCATTCTTCACATCAGAGAGTCATTCAATATCATCAAAATATTGAGTCGAATTTTTTCGAAAATGTATTTCTTCCGGAAAATAATTGTGATGAAAATAAAGAATATAGTCTCAAAACTTCTCAAGAAATGACCATTTTTCGCAAACAGAGATCGTAAATGCATAATGCCCCTCATTTTCAAACACCCAAGAATGATAATAATTATACCCGAATCCTAACAGTTTTATTTATCCAGGTTTCTGTAGTTGTCCTGTTTATAAATCTGTTCAATACATGAATCTTCAGAAGGCATATTGGCCAATGGAGTAAGGTGCGTGCCTGATAAGCTGAAGGTCCCGGGTTCAATCCCAACTAGACCTACTTTTTTCTCTTTTGTCGAAGGGATGTCCCTGGGATATCCTTGGGACGTCCTAGGGATATCCCTTCTTTGTACTCGGTACATCCCAGGGACGTACCAGGAGGGACATCCCTTGGATGTCCTTTTTGTCTGAAAGCGGATGTCCCTGGGACGTCCCTAGTATGTACTTTGTCCCAGAAAAGATATCCCTGGGATGTCCTTATTCGAAATTAGGGACGTCCCTGGGAAGTCCCTAGGATGTACTCGTGTTGTTAGGGTAATGGGTTGGGGATTATCATAACGAATATAACGATACCGGGTTTGATTGGGTTATTTCGAATGATTTCAAGATTCAGAATTCTGATCACCCTGCATCTGTTCCAATTAAATGTCAGTAAATGCTAAATCAGTGTCAATTGTTGCTGAAAATATCTTAGAACGAAGTCCTCCTCAAAAATATAGCTGACGTTGCAGCGTTTTTATATAATCCGGTTCTGTCGACCTAAAGATCCGTTGTTTCGTTTCCACTGCCCCACCAATCTCAAATGTGATATTTTTTAAAACAAAAATTGTTTGCCTGTTTGTCACTATGGTGAATTGTTTCTCGACTTGTATGTGAGAAGCGTTCGATTTCTCCACTACATACTGTCCGGTTGAGTTCTTTCATATCACGAGAGATTTTTGTAAAAGATATATTTTCAGCCTGTGGTGAATTCTTTCATAATATCTTGGGAGATTTTCTGAAAAAAATCCACCACCCTCCGTGTTCAATCCTTCATCTGGTATTTCGTATACTATACAGGGTGTTTGGTTCACCGACGTATATCTGAACGGGGCTGATAGGTAAGAACATTTCGAATATATTCACCCATATAAAATACAATATATGTATTATAAAAAGTTTTACGAACTTTGAGATATATCCGTTTGGTCGAACATTTCATCTGATTGTAATTTCTTCTTTTTCAAGAGTTGGATACGATTTTCATAGATATTGAACAAGTAATGGAATACAAATGTGATAACAAATTTTTTGGCTTGTCAGAATTTTGAAAACGAGTTTCTGTAACATACAACTTCGTATTTATTACAGCGATGATTTCTTCAAGAATGTAACATTTTGTATGACAGAAAATATGTTTAAATATTTTCAGAATCACATCACATACCACCCAGATATACGTCGGTGAACCAAACACCCTGTATATATTTTTCCCCCGTATAATTTAATTATCATCATTAGTTATAGACTCGGTCATAGATGAATCATTTGTTCGGAAATTAATCGGTAAGCAGCATGATTCAACCTATAAGTCATTTATTCGAGACCAGTGGTTAATCAGGACAGTCCCATATTAGATGTCATCACGTAGGTACGGTCGGTTTTTGTGATCGACATCGAAAAATACACGGAAGGAATTGATTATTCTCGTAATTGTCATTCCCAACGGATTGTTTACTGAGGAATGCGTATACATTGCTTTCTCAAAGTACTCAATACATTCTTTTTCCGTCGACCTTTACAAAAAATCACATTTTACGTTCAAATTTCCGAACGAAAGCCCGACTTTTTTCGAAGGCAAGTAGTTTTCGTCCGCAGACACTATCTTTTCGTCCGCAAACGCTATTTGTCCGCTGCAGGGTTGCCAGTTCTACTAAATTTGCAGTAAATTTCCTGATTTGCATATTGATCTACTGATCTACTGGAACATTTCATAACCTACCGATACAATATTTCGACACTGGCAACCCTGGTCCACGTGGAGAGTGAATTGACAACAACTGCATTTGCTGTTGTCTAATTGATTATTCACTAAAAACTAAGTGTTCGAGGCCGACGAAAGAATGTAATATGCACCTTGGCAAAGAACTGTCAATTGTCTCGCCTGATTACTGCAGATTCGACTATAATAGACAGTTTTTCGTCCTTGGTACATGAATAACTATTTGAGCCAAACTATCCATTTCTGAGGAATCTCCTGAAACAGGTCGATTTTTATTTTCAATTTGCCACATTCAAAACGGAGAATTGCATATACAGGGTGATCCATGTTCGAGTTAAGGCAACCGCGACAATTTTTTCTAATGGATCACCTTACATTTGATTTGAATTTTGGAATCACCGTGATTCGATTTTTGATTTGAATCGATGTTGCAATCCAACTACGAACGTTGCAAAAAATATTAAGGTATTGTTCTAATTCAACATCCATGTACCGCATCTAATGATAATCATTTTTGATTCATATGATTCGATATTTGATATGTGATGTTTAGTTGCACATCCGAGAAGCACAGTGTTTGATACTTGACACAAAATCCAAGGAAACCATCCAGTTAAGCCGAACCGAAGGAACGATCCACAAAGAGAAATGACCAGATGAGTATACTTCTCTAAATTCAGATCACCATGTTTGTACGGAAGGCGATATATTGATTTTTTTCCATATTCTCAACAAGCAAACAGATAGACAGATATTCACCTTTATGTCTCTATGGAAACACGACAGGTACCCTTACGAGGGGAGAGTACCAACTTTGGCGTTCATAAACCCTCTCTGCAAAGGAGGTAGACGCTAGATGGGTTAGGTATATACAGTGTTTTTCATCGCAGAGAAAATTGTTGCTTATCTGCCTGCCTCGCATTCATTGAGATAGTTGATTGATTAATAAATTACAAAAATATATCGCATTCCAGTTACGAATATTGAAAACAATATCCAGAATCTTCATTCCGTGTTCGTCTCACGATACGAATTTCAAATTAAAACTTGGTTTTAGGTCCGAGCAGCACAGTGTTTGGGATTTCAGGTCTTTATTATAAATCACGATAACTGGAAATGTGGATGGAGCCTACTGAGGAAACTTCTATTCGGAAACAAAACTTACATGTTGCAAACCTTCGAGTCAAGCCGAACCTATAAGAAACGATTCACAAAGAAAAATGGCCAGATGAGTATACTTCTCTAAATCCAGATCACCATGTTGGTATGGAAGGCGATATATTGATATCTTTTCCAGATTCTCAAGCAAATAGATTGACAGATATTTACCTTTATGTCTCTATGGAAACACGACAGGTACCCTTACGAGGGGAAAGTACCAACTTTGGCGTTCATAAACCCTCTCTGCAAAGGAGGTAGACGCTAGATGGGTTAGGTATATACGGTGTTTCGAGAAGTTCAGGAAGTTCCATGAAGTTTGGGAAGTTCGAGGAAATTTGAGAAGTTCGAGGAATTTTAAAAAGTTTAGGAAGTTTGGGGTAATTTGAGTAACTTCGGGGAAGTTCGGAGAAGTTTGAGGAAATTCGGTGAAGTTTGAGGAAATTCGGGGATGTTTGAGGAAGTTCGAGGGAGTTTGAGGAAGTTCGAGGAAGTGCGGGAAGTTTTGACCCATCGGAAGTTTGATGTACAATTTTTTTCGCCGTGATTTATCCCTCAGATAATATGTATCTCTATTATTGGAAACTTCGACCAGTTTTTATCCAAGGTGAGTGATGTAAGATTTTGTAAGTATTTATTGAACGATTCCTTTCGATATTATCATATCCTTGTTTTTCCCGCACTAGTGCGGGAAAAACAAATCCAAATGCCCTATACTGGATGTTCATTTGAAAACTTTCCACCCGCAATATCTCGTTTGATATATACAGGATGTCCGGAAAGGTCATGTCGTGAATTTCATGTGTAACTTTCAAACGGGGTTGGAATATATTATCAATGATAATCAGGCAGGTAAATAAACTCATACTTATACTGCTCTCCATGCCTAAACGGCTTCTCAGTGAATAATATGTTTTATACATGATTTTTGACACAGGTGACAAATTTCACATTTTGCTTCCACCGTTTCATTCCTTCATCTTCTATCTACAAAAATGGTATACTTCATTTTAATCGATATCGTGTACCGTTCTAGAAAAAAGAACTTGTATATGAAAGGAATATTTTGAGAAGAAACGCGAGTTCGTGTAGCTGAAATTTAAATGCAAATTCGTGTTCAGTTCATTTATACCTACCTGTGTTCTTCATGTATTTCTGCTTACCATGAATTTGTCTTTCAAATTTTCTTCTCTTGTATAAAAATCGGAAAGCATTCGGCAGATTTGCTTTCCAACATCGCTATCCTTGTCCACATTCATCTCATTGTAGAAGAAGCTGTCAAACCCTTTTTCATTTGGAGTTTTGCCTAAAAATTGACTCAATTATTATAAATGATCCACATTATCAAGAATCTAGGGGTATCTGTTCTGTGAGCTGCGCATTCCACATATTTTCCATTTTCTATATTGTACAGGCTAGAGGGTCATTATTCCGTATATTTAAACAGCTTCTGCAGGGTTCATATCATTGAGGATAAAAAAAAAATGGGTAACTCACGGCAAAGCAGGATTTTTCTGACAATTTCTCAAAATTGCGATGTTGCCGTTTCTATCAAAAAGACCTAGCAACTTCATTTTTTTAAATATGTACAGGATGTTTCTCAAGCACGTGTAGAAAATTCAGGAGCATGTTGCTGACGTCAAAATAGGAAGAAAAGTTGGTATAAATATATGTCCGAAAGTTATTCGTTTCTGAGATACAGAGTGTCAAAGTTGAATTCTTATTTTTGTTTCTTGTTATACGACGCTATACATAGTGGAGTATACTACGGCCGTGCCAAAAATGCTATCTCGGAAACTAAGCGAGATAGAGGTATAGTTGCTTTGGAGAAAATGATCCCCATCGAATTTTGAGCAACTTTGGTTTTTGTGTGTGGTCTGTCTGTCTGTCTGTCTGTACTCTGTGTTAATCATAAATCGATATATCTCCGGAACCCTTTGACATATCGACTTGAAATTTTGCCATCTTATTGTACTCAAAACAATATTATGTCATTAAAATATGAAGGGAATCGGAAAACTCTAAGGTGGTTTTTCCGGGTTTTTTCGATTTTTCACCGGAAGTTTCTTGTAATCACTCTACAAATCGCAAAAGTGGTCCGATCGATTTCATTTTCTGTGAAAAATAACTTTATCAGGAAGAGACGAAGCCTATTGAAATTGAGCAGGATCGGAAAATTCCAAGTGGGTTTTTCAAGGAGATTTTCCGAAAAACACGGTTCACTTTAAAACGACATATCTCCTGAACCAATAGAATAAATCCAAATTTGAAAAATGCACCGTATGCCTCTTTGATGACGCAACAAATTATTATTCAACCATTTTTTCTTGCATCCATCGGAAAATGGAAAAACAAATGAAAATCAAAACATCAAAATTTGAAATCCTTTCAATTCAATATATATCGAAAACAAATGGAAAAATCGAAAATTATCAAGAGTGCAAAGTTATCCACCGGAACATTTTCTACAAATTATTCCCCATATTTTTTTCTGTAAACCCAATAGTACAGGAAATAAAGTGAAAAATATGAAAAAAAAAATTTTAACGATCCATAGGGTACTATGAAGATATATTAAAAAACAAAGATTATCCATAGATGAAGCTCATGCACTTCCACTGAACCATGAAATATTTTCTCATTTTGTTGATTGGAAGATGGAACAAAAGTGTTGAAAATTTTATTCTCAGATAATTCCAAATATTTCGAAAACAACTGTAAATATCTGAAAATGTTATAGAACCAAAATTATTCATTTTGATAGAATCTACAAAAAATCCATATAACATTTTTCTCTGAATTCAATAGTTCGGGAGATACGATGGAAAAACTAAAAAATTTACAAGTTCCTAATCACTTGCCAATAGAAAACAAAACGAAAAACAAAAGGAAGTAAAAAAAGCACACTCGACTGTCTTGATTTTTTTCTCATAAACTACGTACCTAGCTCACTCGACCGTCTGGAAAAACCAAGACAGTCGAGTAGGCTAAGTACGTAGTTTGTGGGAAAAATCTCCAGTTCTCTGAACTTTCATAGCGTCGTATATACATCTTTGGTGCCCAATGATAGTTTCAATATAAAAATATGCTCATGATATGGTGCCATGGCCTCTACTTCCATCTTACATGAGCAATGATAAAATATCATCTGCTTTTATAGCGTCGTATAAATTATCTGACCTCTATACTAATCTAATACCTAATGAGAACTACATCAATACTAATCTGATACCTTTCAAAAACTACGTACCTCACTTGTTAATAAACTAAACACTAAACTATAGGGAAAATGGTTCTCGATGAAAATCGCTGAATTTTTGGTATGTTGCAGACTTTGATATACTGAACAGATATTCCATTGAAGGAACCTCAAAAAATGGACAGTTTTTCCGATATAGACCTCCAACTGAAAATGGTTGAATTTTTGGCATGTTGTAGATAGGAATGAACTGATGGAAAAATCCAATTGACCTAACCTCCAAAAATTTACAGCTTTCGCGATATTGACCTCCAAGTGTAATTTTTTCAAGTAACAAAATCTCTGAAAATGGCTGAATTTCTGGTATGCCGTAGATAGGAATGAAGTGATGAAAAAATCCAATTGACCTAACCTCAAAAAATTTACAGTTTTTCGATATTGACCTCCAAGTGTACGTATGGAAAATAAGATGAATGGAACAATAATCAATAGACAAAGTTGCTGTTTTCAAACTAGTATTTGGCCTTTCATTTTTCTAAAAACAAATCTTCTTCATATGATACATGCACAGGTGAAGGAAACCGAAGAGGGATGTAATTAAATAAATATTATTTAAAAGATGGTTATAGTCTTTCCGAAATCGATTTTGAATTCAGACTTCTTATCATTCCAAATTACTTGCATTGATTATTTCAAATCCCAATAACTCGAAAACAGTTGCTCGCAGCGACCTCTATCACGAATATATTTTTTACACAAAAGTGTACTAGAAATCTATTTACCTACTATAACACGTTATACAGGTACGCACAAAAAAGTTATGACTTTTCAAAAGACTCAAAAGAAATGTAGTTGGCGCCATACCCACGAAAGAGACAAACTAACATAGAATTCGATATTGTCATTGAAAAATACCCTTAGATACCAAGGTTCATTTCAATATCACAATTATTCTGGAATTCATTAACAGAAAACAAAAATAAGAATTCAACTTTGGAACTCTGTATCTCAGAAACGGATATAACTTTCGGACATATGTTTATACGAACTTTTCTTCTTATTTAGACGTCAGCAACATGCTCCTGAATTTTCTACACGTACTTAAGAAACACCCTGTATAATGAATTTTTAGAATTATTTCTTCATTACAATACTCTTTCATAGATGAACCCCTATACCTATCTTTATCGGCATATCCCTCAGGGCTCTCAATTCATGAAGAGTTGGCATTTTAGTGGTGATTTGGACATACAGGGCGTGCTGAAATTATTATTATATCTGTTGAAAAGAGACACCCATTGAGCATAATTATGGAGACTTCGAACACAAATATCTTGGTAATTGTTTGAAATAACCCTATCAAACCCGGTATCGTTACCATACAGGGTGTCCCATGTAAAAATCGAAAAATGAGGTCGTTTCCGGTGATATTGGAAGTGATAGGAAAAAAATGTTTTCATCAATCAATGAGCCATTATTTGGTATACTTGCTACCCACCAATTTTCAAAACCCTATCTAGAATAATTCAAAAGTTATACAATCCTGGTAGTTTTTTATGCGCTTTTCTGTATATATCCATTTTTTTATGTTTATAATTATATCTGAGAATATTCCTTTTCAATACTTTCACCCAATCAAGGGGTTCAAACTTGCACGATGGGAACTTGTTATTTTTATAGACCTCATTCGCATATTCGTGATTAGGTTTGTTTTCAATTCAGAATTTCTTTCCACGTCCTGTATGATGAATATCAATTTATCATATATAATACCACAAGTGATAATATTTAGCCGGAAATATTCGGTGATTGTTACGACAGTTTGTTGCCTAGTAATTTCGTGAATGACATTGTTATCAAAACTACGAGCCGTAGGCGAGTAGTTTTGGATCAATGTCATGAGCGAAATTAGAGCAGCAAGCTGGAGTATGTCAATCGACGAATATTTCCAGGAAAAATAGTATCACGAGTTGTATTCGTATGACTATTTCATGATTGAATGAGACAATATATATAAGAAATAGGAAACATAATTGAAGTATATTCCAACTCGAACTGCGAAGAAGAACATAATGATAGTAATGGAATACAGAATTTACTTTTTTAGAAATTAACTACCTACTCATATATAGTTGTTCACAAAGTGGAATGTACAATTTTGATAAACAGTATTTTTTTTATTATCTTGGAGATGGTTGCTCTCAAAAGAGTGTATACAATTACTATCCAATTCAAACAAAATAAATTTAATTTATGTGGAATAATTAAAAAAAAAATATCGTCGCCGTGGGCTCGAACCATCGACCTTCGTATCCTCGCGCAACAACCCTAACATTTGCGCCACATCAGCTAGTTATTATAATAGTCAGTCACAATTACTTGAGTATTTGAAGAAGATTATTTACTTCAAAAAGAAATTTGAATTCTATTATTGTTTTGTCAGATCGTCAACAAATATGCAACTTTTTATAAATTACACATGAAACGTCCAGCCAGAATAAAATTGTCTCGCCTTTCGTACAAAATATCTCACTAACGCAAATTATAAGTAAATAAAATAAAGTATAGGAACTTAGGTTACTGTCTCAGATTTGAATCCAAAGCAATCTTGACCAGTCACGATGTCAAAATTTTATCGCTGATAAACGAGATTAGTTGGTCACGTGTGGGTCAATTCGGCTTCTGTATTGGTAGAGCAAGTCCGATAAAATTTAATAAACAAAAAATATCGCTAGAATACAGAAGAAACCATGAAAATGGTCGATTCTGATTGGTTCCCGAGATCAAAAGAGTGGGATAGTCATACATAAAAAAAAACTGTTTACCTACCTGCTAATCTAGTTAACCTGTCATATATCTCTATCAGGAGACCTTCATTCGAACAGTAGCTGAATATCATGGGGACCTTGTTATACTCCCCTGAAGTGATGAGTTCTATGGGGTGTTTGGTTATGAACGCTGTCGGATTGGGGTGCTCGATTATCGGTGCAAAGGTGCCCAGCTCGGATTTATCCTAAATGAAAATGAAAACGTATCAAACATGAAAACACAAAGGCATCTCTACCATTTTTATCAGGATGATCAATCGAAAAAATTCGAGGGGCGATTCCTTGTGATATTTTAGGAAATAAAGTTCATATGAACATGTCACAAGAATAAAATCGAAACAGATTTGACTAAGAACCAAGGGCGTCGCCAGAGAGGGGCAGGGTGGGGCAGCTGCCCCCTCTACGATTAACGCTCACCAGTCACCCTGCTATCATTGAAACGACTATTTCATTCATCACATAATCTGACCAATCACAAGCCAGAGAAAACGTGTGCTTATCGCGAAAACTAGATGTTTTCAATGAATGTAACCATGGGTAGCGAAGCGAAGTCTGTCAATTTGGCAAAAAATTATGACTGTACTTATCAGAATGAATCATTCATTCAAAATAAATGCTTCTTTGCTTCGTGAACGTGAAATAGTCTCCACTCTGTTCTGAATATATTCTCATAATTCTTCATTTCCTTGTCAAATCTATTGTGTTGCCGTACAGCCCTACCTTTCGTCCTGACTCGTGGTGTTGCTCAGCAACACAATTTCCTGAACAATAAGGCGACAGAATTATCTCGAATATTAAGAATATCGTGATATTCTTATGATAACGCTCACTTTGAGCAAAGAACTTCCGAAAGTATATTTTTCTCCTGAAGTTGAGAAGGCTCTGAAGATCCTTGTTGCCTTTACCTTGTAAGCTTTGTACAGTTGAAAGGTCATTTAGTAGCCTTAATAGAATCAAAACCTGGTTGAGGAGCACCATGTATGATGCTCGACTCAATGGCCTCGCAATGATGAGTATACATAGGCAACATATTTTCAAAAACTTGAACGATTTCGTCAAAAAGTGACCAACGAATTCCCAAAGAACCCTATAAGATTATTTTTCAACTGATTAACGTGTTAATAGCACGAGCGATATAAAAGCCTGCTTTACGCCCTTCATACATAAATAAGTATAAAATATTGTCTTATTCATTATACACCCGAATAAATAACTATAGGTACCTACTTACAATTCGATATTTCTCTTGATACTCGTATAACTTCTCGATTGGGACGTTTCTCAATACTTCCAAAGCCTCTTTTTCGGTTTTGACTGTATCATCTATCGTTCGGGCGAATTCTAGCACATTTCTTCGTCCATAAGGCCACGGATTGAGTACTGATCCGCTTTGACAGATGGCTTTGTGGAAGAGACCTTTGGCCGTTGGAGACATAACCTGGAACAGTTCCCCATCATCTTTAATATCTAGACCAGACCATTGGTATTTTCAGTTTTTTCATCCAATTCGATAATGTTTTGATGAGAAAATAAGTACTTATGGTGACTAGCTATGTTATACAGGGCTGGGCAAAAGTATGGAACCAGGTGAATATCCCGGTAACCGTTTGTAAGATTTTTTCGAATATATGTACGAAACGTGGTGGATTCGAAAATTTTATCGTCGATGTTGCCACTTTCTCAGTTATTCCGGAATTATTATAAACTTCCTTATTTTAAATACACCCACCCTGTATTTCATTGAATTTTCAGATTCTTCCCGAGAATTATTTGATACATACATACATACATATCATTCGTACCTATATGTACAGGGTGATTCACCCTGTAGCTCACTTATTTGTGAACCGATTTAAAAATTTGAAAAATCATCTAGAATGATATTTCAGAATTTTTTTTCCCTTTGCATCAGAAAATACAGGGTGCTCGGACCAAACGATCTACAGAGTACTACTTGATTTTTTCAAATGGAACATCCTGTATTTCATTGTATTTTTATATTCTCCCTGAAGAGCTGATTTTATCAATGCATCACACTTGGGGTCTAGCGGGAATGATTACAGAGATATAGGGTGTTCAAAATCGAGATTTTTCAACTCTAGGATTTTTTTGTGTCGAAACTATTCATTATTGGTCAAAACGGCTTCAATGTCCCTATCTGAACTTTCGATTTACTATCTACTGACATTCAATTGGAACATATACAGTGTGATTCAAGATTCAGAATTCTGATCACCCTGTATCTGTTCCAATTATTAAATGTCAGTAGATAGTGAATCAAAAGTTGAGATACGGACATGCAAGCCGTTTTGACCGATAGTGAATAGTTTCGTCCTCGGTTTCGTCACAGAAAAATCCTAAAGTTGAAAAATCTCGATTTTGAACACCCTATATCTCTGTAACTCTGTAATCATTTTCGCTAGACCCAAAGTGTGATGCATTGATGAAATCAGCTCTTCAGGGAGAATCTAAAAATACAATGAGAAATAGGGTGTTCCATTAAAAAAAATCAAAAAGTACCCTGTAGATCGTTTGTTCCGAGCACCTTGTATTTTCTGATGTAGTGGAAAAAAACTTCATCGAAAATCATTTTAGATGATATTTAAAATTTTGCAATCGGTTTAAAAATAACTGAGCTAGAGGGGGGGACATTTATGGCGAATCACCCTGTACATTTATTACTTATTTTGTAAAATTAACTTAAACAGAGCGTGCCGAAATATCATGCAATTTATGAATGTATGTGATTAATCAAAGATTAATAATAATAAAGGTAATTATAATAATAAATGAGTGTGAAAATATTTTTAGTAGAATATGAAATGTTTCAGTAGATCATTAGATCTATATGCAAATCAGGAGATCTACTGAAAATTTAGTAGATTTGGCAACCCTGCAGCGGACGAAAAGTGTTTGCGGACAAAAAGTTAGTGTTTGCGGACGAAAAGTACTTGCCTTTGGAAATAGTCGGTTTTCCGTTCGGAAATTAGTACGTAAAATTTGATTTTTTGTAGAGGTCAACAAAAATAGAATATTGTTCAACGAGCACGGAATGATAGTTATTTCTCACGAGAATGAAGTTTGCAGCATAAGCCGTCGGCGAATGCTGCAATCATTCGAGTGGGAAATTGGCATTCCGTGCGAGTTAAACACTATAATTTTTCTACGGCTGTAACAGATAACGGCAGCATTCTGGATTTCTTTGTCTTGCAGCCATTTGATTTCCTGTCAAGTAATCTATCAGACAGAGTTGTCATTGCTTGAAATTTGACATTCCATGAGCGATGAGATTTTCTTGAAATGATAACACAATGGAGTAATTCTGATATCATATACGGAATAAAATTGATGACATACAAAGTACCTCATTGATATATCGAACACAGTAAAACAAGTGAGGTACGTAGTTTTTGAAAGGTATCAGATTAGTATAGATGTAGTTTTCATTAGGTATTAGATTAGTATAGAGGTCAGATAATTTATACGACGCTATAAAAGCAGATGATATTTTATCATTGTTCATGTAAGATGGAAGTAGATGCCATGGCACCATATCATGAGCATATTTTTATATTGAAACTATCATTGGGCACCAAAGATGTGTATACGACGCTATGAAAGTTCAGAGAACTGGAGATTTTTCCCACAAACTACGTACTTAGCCCACTCGACTGTCTTGGTTTTTCCACACAAACTACGTACCTAGCCCACTCGACTGCCAATAGGGACTAAAAAAACAAAAACAAAAGAAAGTTAAAACAATGCCATATTTCTTCTTTGTGGGAAATCAAGACAGTCGAGTGAGCTAGGTACGTAGTTTGTGGGAAAAAATCAAGACAGTCGAGTAAGCTATGTACGTAGTTTGTGGGAAAAAATCAAAATAGTTGAGTAAGCTAGGTACGTAGTTTGTGGAAAAAAATCAAGACAGTCGAGTGAGCTAGGTAAGTAGTTTGTGGAAAAAAATCAAGACAGTCGAGTGAGCTAGGTACGTAGTTTATAGAAAAAAAATCAAGACAGTCGAGTGTGCTTTTTCTACTTTCGTTTGTTTTTTGTTTCGTTTTCTATTGGCAAGTGATTATCTAGGAACTTGTGCATTTTTTAGTTTTTTCATCGTATCTCCCGATCTATTGAATTCAGAGAAAAATGTTATACAGCTTTTTTGTAGATTCTATCATGAGGAATAATTTTGGTTCTATAACATTCTCAGATATGTCCAGTTGTTTTCGAGATATTTGGAATCATCTGGGAATAAAATTTTCAACACTTTTGTTCCATCTTCCAATCAACAAAAGGAAAAAATATTTCATGGTTCAGTGGTAGTCGATGATCTTCATCTATCGATAATCTTTTGTTTTTCAATATATCTTCATGGTACCCTATGGGTTGTTCAAATTTTTTTTTTCATATTTTTCACTTTATTTCCTGTACTATTGGGTTTACAGAAACAATGTTGGATAATAATTTGTTGGAAATGTTCCAGTGGATAACTTTGCACTTCTGATAATTTTCGATTATTCCATTTGTTTTCGATATATATTGAATTGAAAGGATTTCAAATTTTGATGTTTTGATTTTCATTTGTTTTTCCATTTTCCGATGGATGCACGAAAAAATGCTAGGATAATAATTTGTTGCGTCATCAAAGAGGCATTCGGTGCATTTTTCAAATTTGGATTTAGTCTATTGGTTCAGGAGATATGTCGTTTTAAAGCGAACCGTTTATTTCGGAAGATCTCCATGAAAAACCCACTTGGAATTTCCCGACCCTGCTCAATTACAATAGGCTTCGTCTCTCCCTGATGGAGTTTTTTTCACAAAAAATGAAATCGATCGGACCACTTTTGCGATTTGTAGAGTGGTCACAAGAAACTTCCGGTGAAAAATCGAAAAAACCCGGAGAAACCACCTTAGAGTTTTCCGATTCTCTTCATATTTTAATGATATAATATTGTTTTGAGTACAATAAGATGGCGAAATTTCAAGTCGATGTGTCAAAGGGTTCCGGAGATATATCGATTTATGATTACCACAGAGTACAGACAGACAGACCACACACAAAAACCAAAGTTGCTCAAAATTCGATGGGGATCATTTTCTCCAAAGTAACTATACCTCTATCTCGCTTAGTTTCCGAGATAGCATTTTTGGCAAGGCCGTAGTATACTCCACTATGTATAGCGTCGTATAACAAGAGCAACAACTTTGTGTTATAGCCGTAGAAAAATAATATAACCTCATTGAGATTTCCCCCGTGTTGTCCAAAAGATATTAGAATTACTGACCAGCCATAGAAGGTATCACTTTCGACTTGTGGTCCTACGCACACCAGTCTTATTTTTTTCTAGTTAGACACCTACCTGATAGTGTACAGAAGCTCCACCAGCACTGATCCCGAATATCGTCACATTTCCAGGATCTCCATTGAAGCTCTTGATGTTCCTTTGGACCCACTTCAAGGCCAGCGTCTGGTCTTTGAGGCCTGCATTACCGGGAACATCCAGCGAGTCGTCTTCGGCGCTCAAGAAGCCCAACACGGCTAGCCGATAGTTGATGACCACCAGGACGATGTCTTCGGTCATCAGGTAGTGGGGACCTTCGATGGAGGACTTGTTGGAACCCGAAGTGAACGCGCCACCATGGATGTAGACCATCACTGGCTTGAGGCTGGAGTGTTCTGAAGGTAGCTAGAAATGCCCAGAATAGTATGGTCAAGATCCTTTTTTTTATGTTCTGGTTCCCACGAAAAGGAATATCCTGTAATGTTCAGAGAACATCGTGAGAACCAAGGGAAATAAGGTAGGAATTGGTGTTCTTCTTGAATTTCTGGAGGTTATATGCCTCGGGAAACACCTCCCTTGGCAATTTGTTCCAGAGCCTCGCTGTTCGTTGGATGAACGAGTCTTTGGAAAGAGATGTTCTGCAGGTTTCTAAAGTGACCACGAAGGGGTGCGAAGCTTCAACTCGACGGGTTAATCTCGTGGGGACTGCCAAGTGAGGAACATTTGTTGATATTTCGAAAGAGCATCGTCCATGAAAATATCTATAAAATAGAGCCAGATCGCCAACTTTTCTACGGTGTTCCAGAGAAGTGAGTGAGTGAGCCAGCGGCCATTTTTTTTTTAATTTTTTTTTTATCGCTTGGAGCGCACGAAAGGGAATCCCTATAATGATCAAAGAACATCGTGCGTTCCTAGGGAGGATAGGGACAGGAGGTAGGTATTGGAATTTTTTTGAACTTTTGGAGATTATATGTTGTTGGGAATACTTCCACAAGCAATGAATTCCAGAGCCTAGCCGTTCTATGGATGAAGGAGTCTTGATAAAGTGCTGTTCGACATCTTTCGAGGTTGACAACGAAAGGATGTGCTGATTGGTCTTGTCTAGTCCGTCTGATTGGTATTGCTAGTGAAGGGATGATAGAGCAGAGATTTCCGAAGAACATTTCCCGTGGAAGTATCGATAGAAAAGTGAAAGGTCGCCGACTTTTCAACGGTGTTCCAATGATGTCAAAGAGTGAGTGTGGCGTCACCCACCAGGCGAATGGCTCTTCTCTGGATGGAATCCAAGAGCATCAGCGCATGTTTTTGGTGCTGAACCCCATATGTGGGAACAGTATTCTAGAACAGGCCGTATCTGCGCTTTGTAGATCATGAGAAGCTGTTGAGGTGTAAAGTAGCTTTTCGCACGGAACAAGAATCCGAGTTTTTGTGAAGCAGCTTTTGCGATGGATCTGACATGATTATCCCATGAAAGAGTGTTGCTGATGAAAATACCGAGCATAGATATGATTGGCTTGGTGGGGATGGTGGTGACAGACATTACAATATCGGGCATACTGAGTTCCGCCTTTCTAGAGAAAATACAGGCTTGAGTTTTGGTGGCGTTGAATTCAACTAGGTTATTGGTTCCCCAGGCTGTGATTTCAGCAAGATCTTCATTGACAGCATTGACCTGCCTGTGCCGTGAGTTCTTAGTTTCCTGGGAAGAAATGGGAATTCTGGAAGAAAACGCAGTATGTAGGGTACTATCATATGTAAAGCTGTGGATGGAGCAAGTTGTTACTCCCAACAAATCATTGATATAAAGAAGGAACAATGTTGGTGCCAAAATTGATCCTTGTGGAACGCCGGAATTGATGCCAATGGTATCAGACGATACACCGTCCACCACCACGTGAAGCGATCTGCCTGAAAGAAAACTCGATAAGAGATGGCATAGCTGAGGTGGAAAGCCGTATGATGGTAGTTTGTGGAGGAGTCCTTCGTGCCAAACACGGTCGAATGCTTATGATATGTCCAACGCGACAGCTAGAGATTCCTCGTGTTTTTCTATTGAGGATTGCCATAAATGGGTGACGTAGGCAAGTAGATCTCCAGTAGATCTTCGGTGGTTCCTTCGTTTATATTTTACCAAGCTGTAAACACCAACAAGGATCAATTCTAGCACCAACACTATTTCTACTCCATATCAACGATTTGTTGGAAGCAACTTCATGTCCATTACACAGCCTAATAATACTAGATAAAACCCTCCATACCGCCTTCTCTTCCAAGGCTCCAATACCAGCCAGACAAATCAGAAACGAACGAGGGAGAAATGTTTACAACATAAATATGGACTTGGCGACAATTCTCGAAAGTGGATCCAATGACTTGGTAGATTTCAATGCAAACAAAACACAAGCATACCTTTTCTATAGAAAAGCTGATCTCATTGTGCCCAACATGAGCTTGTCAGGAGTAACCATACCTTTGAAGACATCCATTTCGATGCTTGGTATTACTATCAGCAATGAACTTTCTTGGGAAAAATCACGAGAGATCAATTTGCTAAAAGTGCATCCCAAAAACTTGGTTTTCTGTTTCGGGCCAGGAGCTATTTCAGTTACTTATTATTCAAATCGTCATTCTCCTCTAAAACTGTTTACTTCAGAGCATTGAATCAGGGGAACATTTTTTGTGTGAAAGATATTGGCGCTTCAGAATGTGTTTCGAAAATTACAATTTCCCTAATGGCATGAAAGTTTGGGGGGTTAAACCCATACGAGGCGTTGAACTGACATGTCCAAGGAAATTGATCAAGAGCTTTAGAAGTAGTCATTATTAACGATGAAGTGTTCCGTAGCTCAAACGGTTCCTGAGATGAGAGCAAACAACTGTATTTTTTCATTTTTTTGACGCCCTGTATCATGAAAACGGAAGCACGGAGAAAAATTTCGTAGAGGGAAAAAACATTTTTTTTATAAGGAATCTAGGGTTTCCCGTTGTGACACTTATTTGTTAACACCCTGTATAATACCCTACTCTGAAAATCGTGATATTCGTATATACCGGGTGGCTACGGAAGTATTGCCTACGGAATATCTCAGTTATTGTATGAAGTAGGTTTGTGAAATTTGGAGCGTCGATATAATGACATAAGAGCTAGAATTTGAGCATATTGACATGTCGAAGTTAACTTCCGGTCTGACCGGAAGTAACATCAACTTTCTTATTTTAAATGGAAACCCTATTTTTTTTTCTTTTCGCTTTATTCAGCATTCAATTCCCTTTCTAATGACATATCACAAGTTGGTATCTAACCAGAAACTAGATCAGAAAAAAATTATTATTGAAATTCACCGAGTAGGCCGTGGAAGCAAAATGAAAGCCAAAAAATGACTTTCTATTATATCATTAGAAAGGAATGGTTATGCTGAATAGTACAGGCAAGAAAAAGTTGTATGTTCCTATTTAAGTTATGGACCTACAGAGTATTGTTTTTTTCCCAATTTTTCCAATATTTTTTTTGGCGGCTTTTTATAACGCCGACGAATGAAAATAAAATATCACAGTAGTAGCAACTGTTATCAAGTGACGTATGGTTTCCATGGCCAACTTTTCAATTTTTGGCTTTCATTTTTCTTCCACGGCCTACTCGGTTAATTTCAATAATAATTATTTTCTGATGTAGTTTCTGGTTAGAGACCAACTTGTGATATGTCATAAGAAAGGGAATTGAATGCTGAATAAAGCGAAATGAAAAAAAAAAGGGTTTCTATTTAAAATAAGAAAGTTGATGTTACTTCCGGTCAGACCGGAAGTTAACTTCGACATGTCAATATGCTCAAATTCTAGCTCTTATGTCATTATATCGACGCTCCAAATTTCACAAACCTACTTCATACAATAACTGAGATATTCCGTAGGCAATACTTCCGTAGCCACCCGGTATAGTCTTACCGTTTTCGTGTAAACATTGAGGTTCAAGCAGTCTTCTGAACCGTCCAACTTTGTTAGGTCAAGGAAATCCCTCTGGTAGCAACAAGGACCATCTTTTGTTGCATCTAGTACACCTTCCCATGGTTCGGCAGGTTCTGGAGCCTATAAGACATTGATTCTTCGAGATTATGAAGGTATTGATAAGGTTTGAGACTGTTGACCTTATAATTCGAACTGCAATTAACGCATTTTTGCACTAAATCCAAAATATTTTCGTGATAAATTTGCACTCATTCGAATTTAGTTTACGTTTCTTCTAAGATAAATCCATTGGGTCCATGACTAGGTATTGGATGAAAATGCTTGATGGCATCTTGTTATACAAGATGACAAACATACCTCTGCGAAGTATTGTAAAATTCTTTCAATTGGATGAACAATTTCTGTTTTTTTTTTCATTATCATATTATTTTCAATTTGCTGAAGCATATATTCCATGAAATGTTTTTTAGATTCACACAAACTACCTTCTTTAAAAAATTGTTTTATTCTGTTATACAGGGTGATTCAAAAGTAAGCGGCATCCTTTCAGAGGCGTATTCCTTGCATGAAAATAAGGCAAAAAGTTCCTATTGATAAGGATCCGAAAATGCTTCCTAAGGGAGCTACGGCCCTTTGAACCTCAAAGACGGTTTTTTCTCTATAACTTTAAAATCCTTCACAACAAATTTTTAAAAATTGGTGTACGGCATAAACATTCGATGGTAAATAGGACTCCGTATTCGAAATAATTTCCAAACGAAATCACAGTAACCTGAATATCCGGAGAAGAAGGGATATTTTTACACTTACCCTCTCCCGCATGTGACGCCCCTGAATGAAATTCTGAAATTTCGAATACGGAGTCCTATTTACCATCGAATGTTTATGCCGTACACCAATTTTTAAAAATTTGTTGTGAAGGATTTTAAAGTTATAGAGAAAAAACCGTCTTTGAGGTGTCCTATTCAAAGGGCCGTAGCTCCCTTAGGAAGCATTTTCGGATCCTTATCAATAGGAACTTTTTGCCTTATTTTCAAGCAAGGAATACGCCTCTGAAAGGATGCCGCTTACTTTTGAATCACCCTGTATATTTATTTGCCATATACCCTGTATAGTCATGTATAGAATAGGAGGGTTGTTAAGGGTTTGAGGGATGGCAGTTGTTTCTTGTCAGAGTGACAATATCGTTTAATTCTGAATCTCGTCGGAATATATTTTGTAATTTTCAATATAATAAAGTTTATTTGTGCTTAAGTTCAGTCTTTCACGTATATCTGGAGCTTAGCCTACTGACAAACCGTTGGAAGAACCAAAATATAACCATCATATTCTTGGGGTCTAGCAGGAATGATTACAGAGATATAGGGTGTTCAAAATCGAGATTTTTCAATTTTAGGATTTTTTTGTGTCGAAACTATTCATTATCGATCAAAACGGCTTACATGTCCCTATCTCAACTTTCGATTCACTATCTACTGACATTTGAAAGGAACAGATACAGGGTGATCAGAATTCTGAATCTTGAAGCACCCTGTATTTTTTCCAATTCAATTCCAGTAGATATTGAATCAAAAGTTATTATAGGAACATGTAAGCCGTTTTGATCGATAATGAATGGTTTCTACATAAAAAAATACTAAAATTGAAAAATCTCGATTTTGAACACCCTATATCTCTGTAATCATTTCCGCTAGACCCCAAGTGTGATACATCGATGAAATCAGCTCTTCAGGAAGAATCTAAAAATGCAATAAAATACAGGGTGTTCTGATAGAAGTGGCAACACTGTAACGATGAAAATATGTTAGACGGATAGAGAATGTTCAATTATTATCAAAGCATTCCAATTTTCAGAATGTTCTGTTATTTTAGTTCTCCAGATACTTCTAATAGGCGCCATCCACCGTGGATCACCCTGTATACTAGTACGTCTTCAATAATATTTCAGTGTGATTTTTGTTCACCAAATACAACTCTCGCTCCTATTAAAAATCAAAAATTGTTTTGAGAACACGAATATTCTGAAATTATTGAAGCTCTCGTGGTATATGAGTGAAAATTCTCGCGAACGATTTCATACCTCATAATAGCTATTGATATATGTATAGGCACATCTGAAATGTATATCTTGTTACAATATATGTATTAATATTGATACTTTTGGAACTCATTTTTTTGTTGAAATTACATGATATCACGTGTGAAAAGTTGAATTTTTAAGTTGTGAGTATGGAACCAGATTTTCGCGTTGATGGAGCAGTCTCTCTGACCTTGAATCTCAGCTGTCCCACAGGTGGTTTTGCATATGGTATTCCCAGAAAACAGTAGAAACCATTTCCATCTAAATCGACCATACGACCTCCCTTCAGTCGCCCATCTTCCAATTTCACCTCTGGATTTTGAGCAGCCATTTTCCCTTGAGACACTCTCACTTCAAGTTTTTCTATAGGTTTGGAAACTTATCAAATATCTTATACAATATAAAAACTGCTGTATCATTAGATAGAAAGTATTGCGGTATACGAACACGGTACGAAGCTCAACAATGCTAAGTTTTTTAACAGAGATTAGATTAACAATCTCCATCAAGGTCATTGTATATACAGGGTTTATCTTCATGATAAATATTTTGCACAGAGCCTACTATAGAAACATAAAATAATTCAAATGATATTATGCAGAATTGAACATGAATTGAATGGTACCGTTAAACGGGTATTTATTAATTATGAAACGATTTTTATATCGGTACTTTTGACTGTCACACATTAATTAGGTAAATGCAATAAAGGGTATGTCACGACGAGTTTACACTATCTCTATATCGAGAATCAGTCGGGAGAAATCCTTGAAAATATGCATGCTCATATTTTAGAATACGCTCTCTTCGTCTGAAATATTTTCAGCAATGCAGTGTTGCCGCTTCTATCAAAAAGTAGCAACAACTTTGTTATTTCAAATAAAATACCCTGTATTTTATTGCATTTTTAGATTCTACCTGAAGAGCTGATTTCATCGATGTATCACACTTGGGGTCTATCGGAAATGATTACAGAGATATAGGGTGTCCAAAATCGAGATTTTTCAACTTTAGGATTTGTTTCTGTCGAAACTATTCATTATCAGCCAAAACGGCTCACATGTCCCTATCTCAACTTTTGATTCACTTTTTACTGATAATCAATTGGAACAGATACAGGGTGATTTGAATTCTGAATCTTGAACCACATTGACATATACACGCTTGAGTTGAGATTCCAACATCTTTTTATCGCTATATCAATTAGTATTGTTCTGATTGCATTTTTCAGGTTATATTTTCTTCTTCTGGTTTCCCTGGCCGGAGGCTTCACTAACGTCAGTTATGATAGAAATTTATCGTAGCTATATTCACTACATGATAATTTTTTTTTATGTTCTGGTTCCCACGAAAAGGGATATCCTGTAATGTTCAGACATCGTGAGAACCAAGGGAAATAAGGTAGGAATTGGTGTTCTTCTTAAATTTCTGGAGGTTATATGCCTCGAGGAACACCTCCCTTTTCAATGTGTTCCAGAGCCTCGCTGTTCGTTGGATGAACGACTCTTTGGAAAGAGATGTTCTGCAGGTCTCCAAAGTGACCACGAAGGGGTGCGAAGCCTCAACTCAACTCGTTAATCTCGCGAGGACTGCTAAGGGAAGTACAATTGTTGATATTTCAGAAGTGCATCGTCCATGAAAATATCTACAAAATAGAGCCAGAGATCGCCAACTTTTCTACGGTGTTCCAGAGAAGTGAGTGAGTTTGTAAGCAAGGCATTACCCACGAGACGAATAGCCTTTTTTTGGACAGAATCCAACAGTTTCAGGGTATGTTTGGGTGCTGCACTCCAAATATGGGAACAGTATTCCAGGACAGGTCGGATCTGTGCCTGATTGATCATAAGCAGCTGACTGTGACACACGTGATTTTCCCAAGAGGTTATTGCTGATATATATAGTAATAATGATAATTATAATAATAATATCTTTATTTTCCATCTGACAATTGAAAATTCTGTTGGATTCGTCATTACAGGTGAAGCAGATATAAAAGTTAGATAAGTTAAGTAAAACAAACACAAATAACTTGAAACCATTTGAAACTAAACAGTTGATCAGTTAGGTATACATTCAAAATACATTGAAAATTTACATGTAATATATTTGCAGATATTCCCTTATAGAATAAAAACATTTTTTCACTAGGACATCCTTCAATGATCTCTAGAAACTGAAAAATGTATCATTTCCTTTCATTTCATCCGGTAATAAATTATAAATTCGGGGAGCCATTGCTATAGAAGAATCATAATGAATTTTCGTATTACTAAACGGAATATTGAAGTGATCTTTTTGACGTGTATTGTATTCGTACCTTGAATTATTTATCTTGAAGAAATTTCGATTTTTATACACTTAAACACAGAATTCAAGAATTAACAACGATGGTAGAGTCAGGATTTTCAAGTTTTCAAAGTGGTCCCTACAAGAGGATCGTTTTGATATTCCTACGAGTGTGCGTATAATACGTTTTCCTACGAGCGTACGCAAAGTAGTACTTTTCCGCACTTATTTGCGTGCGCAAAGTTATACTTTTCCGCACTCAGTGCAGATATATGGGTTATCCGCGGCGAAGGGACTATCTTTCTGGAAAAAAAACTGGAAGTTTCCAGTCTGACCTCTGAAAAGTTATCACCAAATTTGTACGGCAGCATGGTTGTTTGTAACACTTGCAGGTCACTGATGATGATCAAAAACATCTCAAAACGTGATTTACAGTCACAGAACATGCCATGCCAAAAATTATGAGAATCGATCTCAGCCTACTCTTTTTATGAGCAAAATTATTTTTTTTTTCAAAAAAAACTTCAACGCCTTGTACCAACTCAACGAGACGATTTTGGATATAGGTAAGTTGGCCTAAATCAACTTAATTTAATCCCAGGAGTCCACAGCCGAGCCATGTCCCAACCTTTCACAGACACCCTGATGTATTTTATTGATATGTAATTGTTTGTTGTTTAGCTATTTCTATCAAGTTTAACTAAAAATGATTCAATAAATTGTTATTTAAGTTGAATTTTTTTTATTTTCGTTGTTATCTGATATGAAGCTCGTGGGGAAAATGTTATTTTCTATTATTATATTTTATTGTTATATGTGATTGTTGTATAGTTATACATTTTTCAATAAGTTATAATTTTTTCCTTTTTATCTGATATGAAGCTCGTAGGAAAAACGTTGTTCCTAACACGTGCGCAAAGTGTCTTTTCCGCACGCAAAAACTTATTCGAACTCCGCTCCGCGTCGTTCGCCTAATTGTATTTGCGTGCGGAAAACAAACACTTTGCGCACTTGTTAGGAAAATAACTATTCTGTGCAATAAAAACATCTGATGATGCGGTAGATAGGCCTTGCCAGAAGCCTGGACTCTATTTGGGCATTATATAATTTCAGGAGTTGGCCACAGTTAAGTAATGGTTTGAGATTCCTGAATTGATATGAGTAAGAATTCAATTTGGATTGTAGTATTCGGCAATGATTATTTCATGTAAGATACTCATCCACGGCTAGTCCTAAGAACTCGACTTGAACAATGTTTACACAGTGATTATCTGTAGATATGTTCACATCGATACAGGTTTTTCGACGATTATGGAATCTTATTGATTTTGTTTTATCCATGTTCAAACTCAGGAAGTGTATTGCATTGAACCAATCTTTCACAATCGAGAAAGTCTCATTACATATTTATGTGATAGTAGACTGTCTGATTTATCTGAGATGATCAGTGACGTATCATCCGCATACATATTCTGCTTATACGACGCCATAGTTTACCGCTTCAAGAAGTATTCAATGAAGTAATTTAAAAATTTTGATAATTTAAATACACTCAGTTCCAAAAAAAGTGACGCACTTGATATTTGACCTATCTTCTTAAAAAAAAAAAAAAAAATAGTAGGCCGATTTTAATTTTTTTTCATTTGTTGGTAGGTAATGCATTTGTCTTCAAAAAAAAATAAAGAGGTGAAAATTTTTTCAAAGCCTCCTTGATGGTGGTGGAATAACTCGAACCATGATTTATTCTTAATTTTTGACTCACCCTGTGTGTTAATTGAGTAATGGCATAGAAAGTGCTTACACCCTATACGAAAGAGGCTTCTTTTGCGAGCATTTTGTTTTTCTATTCATTGATTTATCTCTAAAATTTTCCGAATTACAGCTTTTTTTGCTGAATCCTTGCAGATTACCAACTTTCTGAATTTATCGAGAAACAATTTTCTAATGAAATGAACTGATACCAATAATTTTAAGAAACATTTTTATTAGACACAAAATTATAAATCGGGATGACTGCTTAATACCGTGTATTGCCTTCTCTAGCAACTCTAAGAAACGTACCCATCTCCCTAATTCACCCCACAAATGTTCTATAGGATTCATATCGGGGCTTCTCGTAGGCCATTGTAATGTGGTAATACCAGTAGCTTCTGAGAAGTTTCGCACTATCGCTGCGGTGTGTGGTCGGGCATTATCCTGTATCAATATAAAATTATTGCCCACTAAGTCTGCATAAGGTAAGACATACTGCTCTAAAATGTCAATGTTAATTTGGGCATTCATCGACTGCCTCACCGAAAAAACATGAAGGGGTGTCATTCCATTCATTGAAATCCCTCCCCACACCATAACGGACCCACCATTGAAACTTTCGCATTCTGTTATTAAATTTTGATTGAACCGTTCACCAGTTTTTCTGCACACTCTTTTTCTTTTATCCACCATGTTAAGGCAAAACCTTGACTCATCCGTAAACAAGACATTCGACCATTCAGGAATATTCCACTGTCCATAATTTTCAACAAAATTTCTTCTAGCAGCACGATGTTCGGGCAATAATTTGGGACCTTAATTAACTTTTTTTAGACGTCTACCATCCGTCTGCTTACTTACTGCAACATCACGAATTTGGCGAAGATCTTGCTGAACATTCACCGCAGTATTTGATCGATTCCGTAAAATCCGCAATCTCAAGAAGCGATCATCTCTTGGAGAAGTTTTTCGGGGGCGAGCAGAACCGACCCTCCGAGCGGTGCTCCCTATTTGTTCGTACTTGCGGATTGCTCTACGACCAGTTGCTTCATGAACTCCCACTGCACGAGCGGCGTAACGTTTACTACGCCCATCGTTTACTAACGCAACTAATCTTGCTACTTGTTCGGGATTTATTTGAGGCATTTTATGTAATTTTAGTCGATAAAACAAGACACTCAAATAATGACACAACGACAAATGGTCATATATGGAGGCATTAGTCGCTATGGCAACGGCATCTGTTTCTTTAAAGACAATGTGATCCTACCAGAGTACAACCCAATCAATTTTGAGTACTCTGATCCTTCAATAAATTTAATTTGTGGGATAAGCGTAAGGTATCAGCAAAAAAGCTGTGCTTCGGAAAATTTTAGAGATAATAATGTTCGCAAAAGAAGCGTTTTCGTATAGGGTGTAAGCACTTTGTATACCATTACTCAATTAACACACAGGGTGAGTCAAAAATTAAGAATAAATCATGGTTCGAGTTATTCCACCACCATCAAGGAGGCTTTGAAAAAATTTTCACTTTTTTATTTTTTTTTGAAAACAAATGCATCACCTACCAACAAATGAAAAAAAAATCGGCCTACTATTTTTTGTTTTTTTATTTCAGAAAATAGGTCAAATATCAAGTGCGTCACTTTTTTTGGAGCTGAGTGTATTTTCAATAACTCATTCTAGATAGTAGAAATATATAATTAAATAGCTACAACTGATTTGATGAAAACTACAAATATTTATTAGTTGCGGGACTGAGTTGGAAAATCTTCCTCCACAGTTCAATTCTGTCAGGTTCTGGATTCGATTTGAGGACCAGGTCTCTGTCTATATCCAGAAAATTGATGTTTTCTGCATCGACTGGTATCCACGTTAAATTGAAGTTGTTCCCAGACGGCGTAGGATTTCCAGTTTTAGCAAAATTCGAAAATAGTCCTGCGAATCTTCTTATCGTATTTGTTTCGCCTTCTCCCAAATTTGTTGCGGACAAAATTGAAAATAAGAAGATATATGGCAAATCGTCTCCATGAGAAGCACCTGAAACAGGATGTTTGTACAAAATTACAGGGTGAATCATAAAAAATGTCATTTGAGCACTTGTATACATCATGTTTTTATTGACAGCTGATTAATTTACACCGATGCCATTAAAGGAAACTCAAACTGAATCACTCAGAAGAGAACAAAGTATGATTCGAAAATGTCTCTAATAATAAAAATATAGGCTGTGCAATTCGATTTCAACAAGAAAATAATAACACGTTTTTGGTAGTTATATAAATAAGAAACATAAAATTTTTACCTGGATATTCATCAAGTTGAAATAGTTTCTTAAAGCTGTTGTTTCCGTTAAAGGACATTCTGTACAAGTAAACAGGATTATGGTTTGTTTTGGCATGGTTCATAACTGCTGCTATTATTCCAGCCACAAAATAATAATCAGAATCGAGCTAAAATGAATGTGTAGAAGTAGTTATTATTCTAACTAAATAGTACGGAAAGTGATACAAATCAATGGGCATATTGGGATAACAAATGAAAAATTTGTATGTCCTTGAACATTTTTTCAATTTTGGAATTTATTCTATGAACACCAAGTAATGACCATTTTTTCTTCGAATAAATATTCTCTTTTTATATTCTCACCATGTATTTGTCGTGCACATTGTCATCTCTATTATAGAAGTCTGAGAGCATTCGGCATATTTCTTTGCTAACCTCACTTTCCTGGGCCACATTCATCTCACGATAAATGAAACTTTCTAATCCCAGTTCCTTCGGAGTTCTACCTATAAAATATGAATTATTATATTAATGATCATTTTGCATTGGAATATGCTAGTTAGAGAACTACCCTAAAGAATTTCAAAAATTTCTTCTGACATATTTTTTTTTTTAGTGCCATGAGAAAATATATTCCTCACAGTATGAGCAATACATGGTTTTGAAACTAAGTGAGCTATGAGAAATGCACTACTTTTCATAGCAGTAGTAGAAAATAGTATATTGTGCAACAAGTGGGGAAAATTCAACTTTTCTCACGAGTGTGAAAGTTTGTGGCACGAGCCTGAAGGGCGAGTGATGCAAACACACGAGTAAAAAAAGTACTTTTTCCCACATGTTGCACACTATACTTTTTCTACAACTGCACTTATCCAACGAATCCAAGTAAAGTAACTTATTGGTATTCATTTTATAATGTGGCACTATGCCACATTGAATATTGTGACCAAAGAGTAGACGCCTTTCCTAGTTCCTCAAAGTATTTCAAAAAAGTACACTTTCCGAAAAATATTTTATTTCTGTATTTTCTTTAGATTCCATAAATTTTTCGTATGTGCCAATTCATACTTTTTTCTTGAAATTTCCGGAAACAAATCTAACTTTCGCAGCTTTTTCCATTATCTCTGTCTCTGGCGGTATATTTATCAAAATCGTCACATCTCGGTATATACAGCATATTATTTATTATGATTTGTTAGAATAATATTTGATGGAAACTGCGATTTCTATCAAGAGCACTAATGAGAACTACCCTTAAGAATTTAAAAAACTTCTTCTGACAGTTGTGACAACTATTCAAAGCTGAACAGCAGCCAATTAAGTTTTGATCGATTTTTGTTGATTCTCCATGGAAATGTATATGTGGTGCCGTGAGAAATAGTAGATTGTTTTATTAGGATCAAAAGTGACACTTTGTTTGACAAGCGAATTTTGCATTTGCGAGGCGGAGCGTTTAGCGAAGCCGAGCGAAAGCAAAATTTGCGAGGCGAACAAAGTCACTTTTGATCCGAATGAAACATGCTATTTTTTCTGCAACCGAAACAATTAACTCAAATAAACATGTGAAGTAACCACCAATGCCGTGCCATATGTATGCAATGCAACAAATATTGACAAATAATCCATGTGGTGAGACTATTCTACCTGCATTAACAGCAGGTTAGGTTTTCTAGGATGTTCGAATTGTAGTTTCAATATAAATACAACCACAGAGTGACATATTTGTGTATGGACCAGGTGCTCTAATGGCAAATACCGCGCCAGTGCCAGCTATAGGAACAAGACGTGGAAAATGTTAGGTTAGTGAGCATATCAATAATGATAAATAGTGATTATTTATTCCTTTCCATACTACACTGTGTTTGACTTGATAATCAAATAAAGCTAAACAATATCGTTGTTTGAGACAAAAAACTATTGCTTGCCGTGATTATTCAAAAACAAGTTATCCATCCCGAGAATAACGAATGAAATACAGATCAAGCAAGTATTCGAATCTTGAAGGCTTCCCTGATCAAAACAAAAATACTTAACTGAGATGTTTATAATTCCGATACTAAACTATAATAAGGTGTATTTTATATCTCCAGCATGGGTATGAAATGCCAAATCTGCTGAAATCGGAAACAAATAAGGTATGCGTCTCAACCCAAATAACCAACTGTCACAATGTTGTTCATTCTTGATGACGTCCAGTAGATCCTTTTTAGTTCCTAGGAGCTAAAGTTCAACTTTAGCTCCTAGGAACTACTTTAGCTCCTAGGAACCAAATATGTTGCCTAGCAACATACCTATTTTTGTGTCAGTAGTAGAAACGTCAATTTAAGAGCTAATTTTGGTATCAAAATGGACGACTTTTGTGTCGGTTGCAGAAAAAAATATTTCTCACAGTATGAGCAATACATGGTTTTGAAACTAAGTGAGCTATGAGAAATGCAATACTTTTCATAGCAGTAGTAGAGGTAAATAATTTCTTATTCATAGGCGACTACTAGTGAAAAAGTTTATTTTGCGATGAGTTCCACATCGAAAACATCCTGTAAGGTATGGTATGTTTTGAATAAATATTGTGTCTAGTCTACCTGTTGCTATGGCCAAGCTGTTCATAACTTCGGTTAGCAGTCCCTCATTGGAGCAATAACTGAATATCATCGGTACTTGGTTATATTCCCCAGAAGTGATTATTTCTATAGGGTGTTTGGTTATGAAAGCTGTCGAGTTGGGTTTTTCTATCACCGGTGCGAAAACACCAAGTTGCGGTTTGTCCTAAACAAATAGGTATGTGCTTTTGAAATAAATTTGAATATAATGTATACTCATTTGCCTGATAAATGAGACTGGTGGCTATACAAGCTATCATTGGGCTCAATAGCCCCCAAAACCAGTCTTTTTTTTTTCCTCTTTTTTCTTTTTATCGCTTGGAGCGCACGAGAGGAAATCCCTATAATGTTCGTGCGTTCCTAGGGAGAATAGGGACAGGAGGTAGGTATTGGATTTTTCTTTGAACTTCCGGAGATTATATGTTGTTGGAAATACTTCCTCAGGCAATGAATTCCAGAGCCTAGCCTTTCTATGGATGAAGGACCATTCTACGTTGTTCCAATGATGTCAAAGAGTGAGTGAGTGTGGCGTCACCCACCAGGCGAATGGATCTTCTCTGGATGGAATCTAAGAGCATCAGCGTATGTTTTGGTGCTGAACCCCATTTGTGGGAACAGTATTCTAGAACAGGCCGTACCTGCGCCTTGTAGATCATGAGAAGCTGTTGAGGTGTAATGCAGCTTTTCGCACTGAACAAGAATACGAGTTTCTGTGAAGCAGCTTTTGCGATGGATCTGACATGATTATCCCATGAAAGAGTGCTGCTGATGGAAATACCGAGCATAGATATGGTGAGCTTGGTGGGGATGGTGGTGCCAGAGATCACAATATCGGGCATACTGAGTTCCGCCTTTCTAGAGAAAATGCAGGCTTGAGTGTTGGTGGCGTTGAATTCAACTAGGTTGTTGGTTCCCCAGGCCTTGATTTCAGCAAGATCTTCATTGACAGCATTGACCTGCCTGCGCCGTGAATTCTTAGTTTCCTGGGAAGAGATGGGAATCCTGGAAGAGAACGCAGTATGGAGGGTACTATCATTTGCAAAGCTGTGGATGGGGCAAGTTGTTACTCCCAACAGATCATTGATATGAAGCAGGAATAATATGTTGGTACCAAAAGTGATCCTTGTGGAACGCCGGAATTGATGCCAATGGTATCAGACGATACACCGTCCACCACCACATGAAGCGATCTGCCTGAAGGAAAACTCGATAAGAGATGGCATAGCTGAGGTGGTAAGCCGTATGATGGTAGTTTGTGGAGGAGTCCTTCGTGCCAAACACGGTCGAATGCTTTCGATATGTCCAACGCGACAGATAGAGATTCCCCGTGTTTTTCTAATGAAGCTTGCCATAAATGGGTGACGTAGGCAAGTAGATCTCCAGTAGATCTTCGGTGGCGAATAATTCCTGAGCTCTCCAGCCATCATAATCGTTTGTAAGAATCACTTTTTTGTGTTATTAGCCAGGAGAGTAATTGTCTTTCGCGAGAATTTTAGATTGTTATACCAATCAGAAGTTTGTTCGGATTTTTCAAACAATTTAGAATCAGACTCTGCTCTCAATTCATATATATCAATGTCTTACTTTCATTCGAGAAAACTTACAAAGATTCACTTCTTCCAACAATAATTCTTACAATACTAGGAATTGTGGTATGCTACAAAATCCTAGAATGTCCTAGATTCAGATTGATGACGTCTTCCAAGAACACAGTGAATATTAATCTATTAGAATATTCTACAAGATCACATTTTTGCGGCTTGTAAAAATATTCTTAGGATATTCCTACTATCTGGGATCTGTTTCGAGTCAAATACTAGATTAATGACGAAAAGAGAGGATTTCGATCGTAAAAATAAAAAATCTAGAAAGAAAACATTGCTTTTTTTCACTCATATTTTACTTACATCTAGGAATTTTTCTTGGTATTCGTATAGTTCTTCGATAGTGAGTTTTCTCAATATTTCCAAAGCTTCTTTTTCCGTTTCGACGGTCTCATCTATCAATCTAACGAATTCTAGCAGATTTCTTTGTCCATAAGGCCACGGATTTAGGGCACATCCACTTTGACAGATAGCTTTGTGGAATAGACCTTTAGCAGTAGGTGACAAAATCTGGAAAATAAGCCATCATCAAATTATATTATTTTTCAACTAGGAAAAAGCCAACTTCTCAAATTAAGATCAATGGTCACAAATAGAGAAACTCGAAGTCTTTTCCACAATAATTCATAAAATAAACGAAAATGGTAGACAACGAAAGAAAAACAACTACTTTCCTGGCTATATGCCACGCAAAATATTGGATTACATCCTCCCGAATTCTATATAGACGAATAAAATCACCTGAAATGGGATATTGTTTTGGAGTGTTCCTTTTCTTGTCAGGTGGCGTTCGGCGTTCGCTTTCATTTCGCGGACGTTGAACGCCTCGTGGAGTATAAATGCTGAGATGCGTCTCTGTTGGGTCAGGTCACGATAGGCGACGAAGACAGAACAGATATACAAGACACAAAGACAATCGTGGACTGTTCAAAGTACCAAAAGACTGTACACAACACTACAGTTGACATACCACGAATAGAGACTAGACACGACCTAGACCAAGCCGTAGCCCACCTCGCGAGGGCAATTAAGGAAGCAATGGACAGATGTTCGAAAAACATACCAACCACCAAATTTGAATTCGAAATTCCTCCTAACATCAGAGCAATGATTAGAGAGGGACGCCAACTAAAACGACGCTTCCAACGCACGCTTGCCCCAGATGATAGAAGAGAGTTGAATAATGCCTGCAGAATCCTGCGGCATGAGCTCAACGAACTCCGAAATCGTCAATGGCAAAGCAGGTTGGAAGAACTCAACACCAAGGACAATTCAGTATGGCAAATTCAGAAAGTACTTAGACACGGCAGACGAAAACCATGCCCACCAATACACGAAGAACAAGGTATTGTGTACACTGACGCTGAGAAGGCAGAAGCTTTTGCTGACTCCTTCGAGCGGCAGTGTACAGAAAACAATGTTCTAGACACAGACGAAGTCAGGGAAACAGAACGACACACAAACAGAACGAAAAGACAAATCAGACTCACAGACGATACAAACCTCATCATAGACCCCAGCTCACCGGAAGAGCTTAGATTAGAACCTAAAGACGCGTAAAGCCCCAGGCATGGACAACATACCAAACAGAGCCCTTAAGGCCCTGCCGAGACGCGGAATAGCAGCACTGACCAACATTATCAACGCTATACTGAGACTACGTTACTTTCCAAATGATTGGAAGATCGCCACAGTAATAATGATCCCAGAGCCAAACGAAAATCACACGTTTCCACAAAACCACCGTCCTATCAGTTTGCTCCCATCCATGAGCAAAGTGGCAGAACGCGTCATCCAAAGACGGTTAACAACGATGTCAAAGGAGACGAACAATTTGGTTTCAGGCGAAACCACTGCACAGAACTCCAAGTTCTCAGAATAGTAGACTACGCGATTACAGGATTCAATCACGGAAAAGGACATTATACTGGAGCAGTCTTGACGTTTCGAAAGCATTCGACAGGGTCTGGCACGACTGACTACTGACCAAAATGGTAGACTACGGGTATCCGATATCTCTGGTAAAGCTAATAGCCTCCTTCCTGTGGGGAAGGCGATGCCAATGTAAAGTTGGCAACGAAATCTCTACAGAGAGGGAGCTAGAAGCAGGAGTACCGCAAGGTGCGGTCCTTTCACCACTACTTTTCTGCATTTTCACCGCAGATATCCCTAAACCCGCTAACAACTTTAACAAACTCGCACTATACGCCGACGACACAGCCATAATTGCCAGACCCAGCAACGTAGACATGACAGTACGATATCTACAAGAACAAATCGACACACTAGAAACCTGGTTTAACAACTGGAAAATAGAAATCAACGCAGAGAAGAGCCAAGCTCTTCTCTTCACTAGACGACGTACCAAACCCACAGGACACCTACATGAACTCAAATTCGCTTCCCATTAGGGTAGGGAACCACCACGCAAACTCATCAGGCTACGAAACACACATTAGAAAAACAGGTTTAAAAGTCGAAAGACTGAAACCAAGTAATGGGTTTTATGAAACATATGCAGATTGCCAAATGCATAAGGTTGAAGTCCACTCGTTAGTGAGTGGGGGTGGATGGGCATGGGGATGAGGAGCTATCATATAACGTAAGCTAGTTATATGGCGGCACTTGATCCTGGGCATTCAACCTTTCGGGGGGCGTGGTGTGTGTGTGTTTGTTGGGTCAGGTTCGCACCAGATAGCGGTCAAGAAGCTATCTGGGAGTGATGAGAGCCAACAGCTCGAAACCGGTCTGCAGGTAATCATGCGTTCCTGAACCACTTAGGCGAAGCTCGGCGTTTAAGAAGGAAACACTTGTGATTTCATTCGTCTATACGAATTATTGCATAGATTTCGGGAGGATGTATTCCAATATTCTGCGTGGCATATGGCTTGGAAAGTAGTTGTTTTTCTCTCGTTGTCTATCATTTTCGTTCATTTTATGAACTATTGTGGTAATTACTTTGAGTTTCTCTATTTGTATATTATTTTTGATGAATTGTCGTTATCAATGGAAACCTAGTTACTATAGGCGAGAGTTGTAATATTGTCTGTTCATTGGCCCAAAATGTATCTGTCAATGGCGCTAGTTTACTGAAAACATCAGGAGCTCATTTGTTTCAATTGGATATTTGTCAATATAGACAATTTTAGGTTGAAGTTCTGAAGACCTCACCTCTGACCAATTCGAATTTTCTTTGTTTGATCTTGGTGTTTCATTTTGCACTTCTACAAGAGGTGAGGGTATGTGAATTCTTCAACATTCCTTTCTCAACTATGAGAATTTGAAGCAACATGCAGTGGCTAGGTATTATTATTTATTCCATAATAATGAATTGATATTCCAGGAATAAAGATAATGCAGGTAATAAGTTATTATTAACAATACAAAAGAATATAAGCAGCTTGCATGCCATCATTTTTATAAAGTGCGAACAATGATATGTTTTTTCTACCACTAGCTATGAATCAAACAAAGATTCGATGTTGAAGGGAGTGTTGTTTATGAAGTGGCTGGCGTCAAAAGAGGACTTGCTAAGGTTTTCTAAGACCTAGGTTTTGAAAGCGTTCATCAGTCTGGGTCAAAGTTAGGCTATTTATCAGGTAAACCAGAAGAGAAGGTGGACAACCTTGAAAAGTCAGGAATATATTAAATCAGTTGTGATTGAACATAATTATATAGCCCAAACCAGGCGTCCCATAAAAACAAGGTTCAAAGAACACTTAGCACATTTGAAATATGGTAAGTTAGATAAATCGTGTGTAGCTGAATATTAATAACCTCAAATTAGTTGAGCAAGTTAATAATGTTAGAAAATTAGATGCACAGGAAAGCTTAGAGATATTCAAGAATAGTAATAGAGTAATGAATAAGGACCTATCCCATTTAGCCCTCTGTATAGTTTAGTAATATAGCATGTGAACTCAACCATGAATAACATTAACTTGGCGGTTATTGTCTATTCATTGTGGTTGGGTGGACATATACTTAGTATACAGGGTGATTCACATAACAACCGACATAGGGCAGGGGCATGTAGGGGGTCCCAAAATATGGCAATTTAACGCAACTTATATACCTCTATACCAAGTTACTTCCCTAAGGAGTTATAGGCATAGCACTAACAGCATGTCAACTTGCTCGTTGAAAGAAAACTTCCCGTTCATTTTAAAAACACTAAAACAACAATCACTTAATTGAACAACTCACTTGCCTCATTGTCAAGTTTGACGTTTATTTTCATAGCCAACTTTTGAATTTTCGATGATTTTAATTAACACACCTAGAGCGCGCGTTTTCAGTTATTCGAGTTTTTGATGAAAATGATGAAGTTTTTCGAAAAATTACTAGAGTAGGAAAAGTTTTAGAATTGAATTGCCCACAAAACAGAGTGAAGATTTTTGATATCCATCAAGGGTTAACAAAATTATGTTGAATATTGATGGTGCGCCACCCGGTATACCCCCTTTACAAATTTCAATTAAACTCTAGTTACTGTCAAGTAACGCCCTAAATACATCCACAAAGTGTAACAAATTTGGTTGCTTTAAGTTCAAGAATACGAAGATATTGATTTTTTTCAAAATTTATAACTTCACTTTCAAAGTCTATATCTCCTTAGGGAAGCAACTTGGTATAGAGGTAAGTTGCGTTACATTGCCATATTTTGGGACCCCCTACATGCCCCTGCTCTATGTCGGTTCTTATGTGAATCACCCTGTATAACCACCAGGATAAAGCATTCAGTTTTCAGTTTCAATATTCTCCTGGAGATGCTAATGAAAACTTTTCTGGTACAACGTAGTCCGGTGTCTCTCAGGTTGAAGGTGGCTTTTGAACGTGTATTATATATGATTGTGTTTCTCAACAGTATTCAAAAACATGTTTTTATTATTATAAACATATAAACAAACTCCTAGTATATACAAACTAACAACAGTTAGGATGTTGGCTGTTCTGAAATATGATCTGCAACTTGTTCTCATATCAACACTAGCAAGAATTTGATTTGCAAACTTCTGAAGAACCAGTACTCTATTCACATGAGCACAATTGCTCCAATTCATAATCCCGTACTTTATATGGGAATGGAAATTGTTCACAATTAGCATAGTACAAACGAGATTAGTATGTGCCGACTGCAGTGGTTCTTCATACATTTCAGACTATAACAGCTACTCTGACATTTTTTCCACAAATTATTAATATGATCGACCCAATGAAGCTGCCTGTCGAAAGTAACTCCCAATAGTTTTACTGACATGCTGCTTGCTATTTCATTATTAGAATCTTCAAATAGTTTGACAACATCAATCCTGCTAGAACCAAAGAGAACAGTTATTGTTTTTCCATGATTAAGTTGTGGATTATTATTTTTTGACCATTTCTCAATATTCGAATAAACCATTTCAGCAGTACTTTTCAGCTCATTCAGATCTTCATCAACAACCGAAATATTCGTATCATCTGCATAACACGTAACATGATTCCGTATCTGAATCTAGTTAGCAAAAACACGTGTTGGGGTGTAAAAAATCGGTTTTATTAGTGGTAAAACAGAGTGTGTAGTGTACTATGTTTTCATTTAGAAGGACAATGGTCAGTAGTAGTATAAATCCCTACCTGATAATGGACGGAAGCTCCACCAGCACTGACTCCGAATATCGTCACGTTCTCAGGATCTCCATTGAAGCTCCCGATGTTCCTTTGGACCCACTTCAAAGCCAGCGTCTGGTCTTTGAGGCCTGCATTACCAGGAACATCCAGCGAGTCGTCTTCGGCGCTCAAGAAGCCCAACACGGCTAGCCGGTAGTTGATTACCACCAGGACGATGTCTTCAGTCATGAGGTACTGGGGCCCGTGGAAGCTCGGCTTGTTGGAGCCCGAAGTGAAGCCGCCACCGTGGATGTAGACCATCACTGGCTTGGGGCTGGAGTGTTCTGAAGGTAGCTAGAAATGTCAAGAATAGTATGAGCATGCCAACTGGTCAAGATCCTGCTGATTTCAACAGATTTGGACAGATATAAAGGAAGGAATGACCGCTGGAATTCATCAGACAATTAAGTAAGCTCAGGAATCATCAATGATAGACAATACGGCTTTCGCCACCGAAGATCTACTGGAGATCTACTTGCCTACGTCAACCATTTATGGCAATCTTCAATAGAAAAACACGGGGAATCTCGCTAGCTGTCGCGTTGGACATATCGAAAGCATTCGACCGTGTTTGGCACGAAGGACTCCTCCACAAACTACCATCATACGGCTTACCACCTCAGCTATGCCATCTCTTATCGAGTTTTCTTTCAGGCAGATCGCTTCACGTGGGGTGGACGGTGTATCGTCTGATACCATTGGCATCAATTCCGGCATTCCACAAGGATCAATTTTGGCACCAACATTATTCCTGCTTCATATCAATGATCTGTTGGGAGTAACAACTTGCCCCATCCACAGCTTTGCAGATGATAGTACCCTCCATACTGCGTTCTCTTCCAGAATTCCCATTTCTTCCCAGGAAACTAAGAACTCACGGCGCAGGCAGGTCAATGCTATCAATGAAGATCTTGCTGAAATCACAGCCTGGGGAACAAACAACCTAGTTGAATTCAACGCCACCAAAACTCAAGCCTGCATTTTCTCTAGAAAGGCGGAACTCAGTATGCCCGATATTGTAATGTCTGGCTCCACCATCCCCACCAAGCCCACCATATCTATGCTCGGTATTTCCATCAGCAACACTCTTTCATGGGATAATCATGTCAGATCCATCGCAAAAGCTGCTTCACAAAAACTCGGATTCTTGTTCCGTGCGAAAAGCTACTTTACACCTCAACAGCTTCTCATGATCTACAAAGCGCAGATACGGCCTGTTCTAGAATACTGTTCCCACATATGGGGTTCAGCACCAAAACATACGCTGATGCTCTTGGATTCCATCCAGAGAAGAGCCATTCGCCTGGTGGGTGACGCCACACTCACTCACTCTTTGACATCATTGGAACACCGTAGAAAGGTCGGCGACCTTTCACTTTTCTATCGATACTTCCACGGGAAATGTTCTTCGGAAATCTCTGCTATCATCCCTTCACTAGCAATACCAATCAGACGAACTAGACAAGCCCAGTCAGCACATCCTTTCGTTGTCAATCTCGGAAGATGTCGAACATCACTTTATCAAGACTCCTTCATCCATAGAACGGCTTGGCTCTGGAATTCATTGCCTGTGGAAGTATTCCCAACAACATATAATCTCCAAAAGTTCAAAAAAAATCCAATACCTGCCTCCTGTCCCTATCCTCCCTGGGAACGCACGATGTTCTTTGAACACTGTAGGGATTCCCTTTCGTGCGCTCCAAGCGATAAAAAAAAGTAAGTCGCTACAGGGGAATATAATATAACACAGGAAGGAAGGAATGCTCGAAGTCCTTCCTTCCCGTGAAATATTTCACTCCAATTTGAGCAGTATGGATTTCTACCCAAGCTTAATATAATATAATCTTTGTTGTTCGGAAGATCAATCAAAAAACTATCTGAAGATAGTGAAGGCTTGGGGCTTGAGTGCTCTGAAGGTAGCTAGAAATATGTCAAGAATAGTATGAGCATGCCAACTGGTCAAGACCCTGTTGGTGTTCACAGCTTGGTAAAATATAAACGAAGAAATTACCGCTGGAATTCATCAGACAAGGACGTTAATCGCTATAGGGCAATATAATATAATATGATGTGAAGATTTGTACTAGCTGCATACACGTAACTGATCAATGAAATGAAGAGATTTTGTATTCATCAGTGCTATACCTGCAAGTAAGTGACATTTCCAAAAATTAGTGATCGACGACATTATTATGGTACAAACGGAATTAGGAACAGACATACATTTAACAAAAAAGTTCCCTGATTCAAGATGGCGGATCTAATATATGGGACGAGTTTTGTGATTATACCTTCATTTACCTTTCAATTGATGCTTTCTGATTTTCATTTGACTAATCTGAATTACAATTGAAGTTTATTTCTGAATTTCACTTGCCTAATCAGAATTACAATTGATATTTTCTGAATTTCATGTTACTTATCTGAATTATGAATAACGTAGTCTGAGTAACAATTGGTGCTTTCTGAATCACAAATGACGATATCCGAATATCAATTGACACTTTCCGAATTCCAATTGAAAAATCTGATTTATAACTGAAGTTTTCTGAATTTCACTTGACTAAATTCAATTGATATTTTCTGAATTCAAATGAGCTAATCTGAATTACTATTGACACTTTCTGAATTTCATATTCACGCTTTCTGAATTACAATACAAAAAGGTGTAGAAGGTGCGTCGGTTGATGCTGGTTCGGTCTTACCGTTTTCGTGAAGACATTGAGATTCAAGCAGTCTTCGGAACCGTCTCTTTTGGTCATATCTGGAAACTCTCTCTGGTAGCAGCAAGCTCCATCTTTAGTTGCGTCTAGTATGCCTTGCCAAGGTTCGGCAGGTTCAGGTGCCTGAAACAAACAACATAATTTTCTCTAACACTATTTCAGAAATTGAACATCACACAATATTGATTGATTGATTGTCTTTATTACCCCAAGAAACATTATTGTTTATAATAGGGATATATACACCAAAACATACATATAAAACATAATAAATCAAAACAATAATAATTGCATAATTATTGTTTCTCCAAAAAAAAAAAAATTATATTAAAATATAAAATGAAAATATTAAAATCCATTACAAGTAATCAAATTGTGAATAATAAGTACTATTAGTAGATATGGAATTAATATGGTGGAGTCGTGACGTATTAGTCCCGAACTGTAGCTATCTCTCTCTGATACCTCGTCATTCTGCAGTGTTGCAGTGTAACTGGTCAGTTCAAGGACAATAGGCGTGTTGGGACTAAGACGTCGCACCAGTCACACCAATGAATTGATGAAATTTCAAATGGCGCAGGAATTGTGTGTTTTGAAATGGACATATACTAATTTATTTTTTTCATCGTCTTAGCATGAATGAAAAAATTCAAAATTAATTCACTGGTAGTTTTTCAGTATATAGTTCACGATAATGTCGTTTTAAAAAATCAGTGGTCTTCCCCAGGAGATTCATACAGTATCTGCTGTTCTCTATATAGTTTCTGAGGTAGTGAAAATGCTTCTGTTGATTCGAGAAGTAGAAAAAATCTCTTCAAGGTTTAGAGTGTGTTTTTACTACCAAGGCGGTTTTCGTCATTTTATGAACCAGTCGATGAAGAATATCTGTTATAACTAACCCGAATTCACTGTTCTGATGCGAGATTCGTAGGAATGGCACTAGAGTCTATACCTTTTCAAAGTCAAATTGCGACTTATCATTTTCAAAATGAAAATAAACATCTTTCAATTGGGACGAAATAATTCAGCCTGGATTTAACACATTCAAATCGGAAATAAACAAAAATGGGAATAACCAATTTCAAATTGAAACAAAATGACTAGGCACGGTATAACCAAATCCAAATCCGAACTGAACGAATTCAAATTGAAACTGTAATGATATCGAATAAACAAATATTCATAAGTACCTATAAAGATAATTCGGTAAAACTGCACTTATCATGCGATGGTTTTTTTTTTCAAAAATTTGTTTTTAGTACATACGTATTTTGTTCTGAAAAACATGAATTTGATAATGAAAATGTGAACAAACCATTATTTATTTCACCTTCTTTTCCGCCTGTCTTTTGGATCGCATTTAGAACAATTTTCCCTTCTTTTTTCATTTCACCATGTCACGATAAAATAGGTGGTTAGTCCATTCATATCGATTTATAAGGGGTTTGCTTGGCTAGCGAGAGGTAATATTCAAATAGGCACTAATAGTTTAGGGGTAACTGAAAGTATGAGACTACATTCAAACATAACAATATTTATTATAGCATGAAACATTATGGGTAAAGTGATGATAAATATGGATAAACAACAATGAATGTAAAGACCTAATAACAACTTACATTATAACGACCATCACGACGAGTTCTTATTAAGTCAAGAGTAGCCCCAGACCAGACTAACTTCGGAACCCTCACATCCAATATTTATTTATCAATTTATCAGATTCGCACGTTTCTCATGAGAGTTCCTTGATTAGTTTTTAAAATTCAATGTCGACGGATGATTTGATTAACTTTACGTTTATAAAACCCTCATGGTTCGAAATTTCTAATATACCGTATGTTCTACTCGTGACAATATGTTTGTTTATATGAACTTCTTGTCTTGAAACGCCCAGTATATAAAGAAATGTTTCGGTTGATGGATCTTCCTAACCTTGAATCTGAGGTGACCTACAGGGGGTTTTCCGTAGGGTATACCCAGAAATGAATAGAACCGATGTCCATCGAAGTCCACCATGGTACCTCCCCTCAAACGACCTTCTTCAACATCCACCTCCGGATTATCTTCTGTCATTTTTCCCCGGAAAACTGGATTTGAAAGTATAAAAAATTGTGGGAATTTTCAAATAATGTATCTGTTGATTCTGAATACCGAACGGATACTAATCAAGGCCAACATAGATGCGCATTTATTGAGTAGGACATGCATACGTTAGATAACAAGCTATTATCATGTAGGTGTGTTCAAATGAGAATTTAAGTGTGAGTATTCAATCGAGAACAGTGACGGATTCAGGATATTTTCAGGGGGCGCCAAAAGCGGATTCAGATGAGATTTTCTCAGGGTATTTTTGGAAAATAGAGCCTAGGAATCTGTATCATTTTCGAACACCAATACAACCGAACACATGTCAATGATAATAATATACAAATTTCATATTTCTGAAGGATTTGATCAATTGATGATCAGATAAAGTATTGTCTTTTTTTGACTTATACATATCATTAGTACCTATATACAGGGTGGGCCACCAGTAACGCCTCGGTCTCTAGAAGGCTAACCACTTATCTTCTTGGAATTCTTCCTCTCTAGGAAGTTGCATGTCAACATAGGCTACCATTTGAAATTATTTTGAAACATACAGGATGTCCCCAAAAATCACAAAACACTAAAGTTGAACTTTTTTCAATCGAACACCCTATATATTATTTCATTTTGAGATTCTCCCTGGTGAGCTGATTTCAACAATCCTTCATACTTGAGGTCTAGCAGTTATAATTACTGAGGTATAGGGTGTGAGAAATCGAGATTTTCAAAGTTCGAGAATTTTTTGTGTCTAAACCATTCATAATTGGTCAAAACGGCTCACATGTCCCTATCTCAACTTTTGATCAACTATCTACTGACATTTGATTGAAACAAATACAGGGTGGTGCAGAATTCAGAATCTTGATCACCCGGTTTATGTCCCAATTAAATATCAGTAGATAGTTAATCAAAAGTTGAGATGGGGACACGTGAGCCGTTTTGACCAATTATGAATAGTTTCGACACAAAAAATTCTTGAACTTGGAAAATCTCGATTTTTCACACCCTATATTTCAGTAATTATAACTGCCAGACCCCAAGTATGATGGGTCGTTGAAATCAGCTCATCAGGGAGAATCTCAAAATCAAATAATATATAGGGTGTTCGATAGAAAAAAGTTTAACTTCAGTGTTTTATGGTTTTTGGGGACACCCTGTATGTTTCGAAATAATTTTGAATGGTAGCCTATGTTGACATGCAACTTCCTAGAGAGGAAGAATTCCAAGAAGATAAGTGGTTCGCCTTCTAGAGACCGAGGCGTTACTGGTGGCCCACCCTGTATATACATTCGTTACTTATTTAGCTAAATCAATTTAAACAGAGCGTGCCAAAAAAGTGTATGTGATTAACTGAAGATGAATAATAATATAGGTAATCATAATAATAAGTGAGTGTCAAAATATTTTTCAGTATAGGTTTTGTAATGTTCCAGTAGATCAGTTGATCAGTATGCAAATCAGTAGAACTGGCACCCTGCAGCGTACGAAAAGTCAGTGACTGTGGACAAAAAGTACTTGCCTTCGGAAATAGTCAGTTTTTCGTTTGAAAATTAGAACGTCAAATGTCATTTTTTGGAGGGATCGCAAAAAAATACATTTTTTATTCAAGTTTGACACCTGTAACTTGGAAACCATGCATTTCATTGCTGATTTCCGTTAGTTATCGTGATATTCGCGTGATAAAAAAATGTAAACCTCCTGAATATGTCAACTATTTCAATGTCAAATTGATTAAGACCAATTTACGACATCAACTTATTAGTAAATTGTAAATTGTCCCATATGCGGGACTCTGTATATCAGTACACTGCGGCCGGCAGCTGGTCCGAGTGCTGGGTTCCCAGCAATCATATTCAGTTCCCTGGAAGAAGGCCAGTACAACATAAACGACATATTGAGTTTCCCATAGCAAGCCCAGCACATACATGAATGATGGGACTGTAACGGCCAATTATCGATGTTGGTTATATACTATCGAGGGGAGGGATAGGGGTTTTAGGGCTCCAATGCATTTGAAAGTTCTCATCAGTCTATATATCTCAATGTAACACTCTCATCATATTATAACAGACACATACCAGATTTCTAGAAAACAATTTATGAATAACACAATGATATCTTCTCAAGCCCTCTCTTCTTATTCTACATCTTATTTGGGTAGCATTCCTTCAAAATGGATTATTCGTTTTGAGGTAGATACTTTTTTTCCGACAGGGGCTCACAACGTGTGAGTACGGGAATGGCGAACCCGAGGTACCCTAGCCGGATATTCATCATACTTCAACTTGTCTTGGGTGATATCCTCTTCTCTCTTTCTTTTTCAATCTATCTATCGGCCTTTTTTGCCAACTTCTCTTTTCCTCGTCCCATTTCAAACCCAACCTCACCATCAAGTGGTGTGGGAAGGACAGACCGCGGTCGCTCGACGGATGAAGCATTTTGGGACCATCTTTGCTATCTCCGGGCCAGATGGGACAATTTGTGGACATCTGTGTGGCAGGGATGGGATGATTTGCTGATGTCTGTCTAGGTGGCCGAGGACTGGTCAACGAGGCTCTGGCAACCAAATCCAAGCTGTGGGAACCCGTGGTGATGGAGGAATGGCATCGAGGTATCGTGTCGCTAACGGGACCTCTGGGAAACAGGGTGACATCTCAGAGTAAGTAGCCTTAGCCCTGTGCAGGGGGCACCACAGGACTGGACCAACCCCTTTCCCCGTCACTCGTAGGAGAAGAAAAACTGTTGGCCTTCTTCGTAGACGAGAACAGGGATCGGAAGAGTAATCTTCAGGAACCTGAACGAAAAGGGTCTTTTATATTGAAGTGGCCCTTAATGAGCACCATGAGTCGTATATGGTGAAATTGATAACGGCATGTAGGTGAGATACAATGGGCCACTAGGCCTAAGTGTCGTCGGAGACTTCGGTCAGACAAGCCTACAAACGGGGTGGAGTGTTTAGTGGGTATACCTGGAGTCAGGGGACTCCCACACTATCATATGGGGGATTGGACCCATATGGTGTCCATAAAAGATTTCAACCACCTCGATGAAAAAAAAGAGATAGGTACTACTGAAATATAGAATTTGTCATCACTTATCAGTGGTTTTTCTTGATATCAGAATTCCTCCTCCGTAGGAGTATGAGAAACGAAATACTGTTGCATGAGTTTATAACTTGATCAATATAGTCAGATAACATGATAACATATGGAGGTATTCAATTCTCATTATTCCTTTGGCACATGCATTCATGTAGTTGAAAGCTTATTGTTATTTACTTCTATAATAGACATAACTTACATACATAACTTAAGAATACTTTTGATAGCAACGAACGAGTTATACAATGTTAGTATCCCTCTGGAGAGGTAGAGCCACTTCAATTATCATGATCACTAGATATATGAGATTATGTAGGTAGGTTGATTGACAGTTACTCAATATAACCATCATAAATAACGACAAGGGAGAGTGAAGAGCACAATAAATCGAAAAAAAATCAGAGAAAAACGAACCATACGCTATCACTATAGAGTGACATATAATAATGATCCAAACGATCTACTGATTGTTGATGTAGAAGTTCCCAGAACATCCACAATGGGACGAGTAGTGAACAGGATATTGGCTAGCGAAGGGCCACACAGCTCGTTAGTGTTCAACTGGTTCCAGACATCTCATCATCACAGGGCCATCATAGTATTTTCAACTGATATTTAGGGAAATCATCGGCTCATTACCAATACCACGGCATCGTCAATTTCCCAGTCTTGCCTGCACTAGGCCGGACTTCTCCCGGCAGTTCATTGTTTACTGGGATTCTTCTTGAAGGTAACAATGACAAATATGTAGTTTTTTGTGGTCTAGTCCAGAAAATACGTCCTTACCGGACTAGGACAAAAAATGCTACTTTCCCGAAGGAAAATCATCGACCCATTATTATCTTCCGGCGCCATATTATAGGATTCTGAATTACGTCCACTCCAGTGCATATTAGCTAAAATAAGGATTCAGAAATGTATTATCTTGTATTACAAATCGTAATAGAATTCCAAGCAGTGTATTAGCAGAGATTTCTAAATGGATTAATCTATCTATAACACGCTTTGGATTGATTGAATTAGGACTATAAAAGTGACAAACGTACAGAATGTCGTTGCCAGTATTCCACATGTGACCTAGCTGAAGAAAATGGCTGCCGAAAAGATGGCCGCCTTCAACTGGTCCCATCTTGTGAATCCAGCAGCCAGGTGAGTTGACCTGACGGATAGATGATAGTTTATTTTGAAATTTGATGGGGGTGCGGAGTTTTGCTCCATAACAAATGAAAAATTGCATACTCGGAGGAGCTGCGCGACTTTCGATTCGATGTTAGCTATCAGACCCAAATACAGAGAAGTGCACAAAAAACGGCCAGATAGGGTTCTGAAAATTGGTGGGCAGCTAGTATACCAAACTGCTCATTGATTAACAAAACAACTTTTGTTTTATCACTTCCGGTTTTACTGGAAACGACCCCAACTTTTGATTTTTAAAATGGACACTCTGTATTGTATTCAATAATCGGTTAGGGATTGTCATAACGAATTTATCGATATCGGGTTTGATAGGGTTATTTCAAACGATTACGAAGATATTCGCGTTCTAAGTTTCCATATGCTCAATGAGTGTGACAGAGAAAGAAGTTTTGATTTTCCGAAGTCACACCCGTTGAACATATGAAAACTTCGAACGCAAGTATCTTTGTAATCGTTCGGAATAACCCTATCAAACCCGGTATCGTTGAATAAGTCATGATAATCCCTAACCGATTATGGAATACAATACAGGGTGTCCCATTTAAAAGTCAAAAGTTGGGGTCGTTTCCGGTGAAACTGGAAGTGATAGAAGAAAAATTGTTTCATTAATTGGTGAGCAATTTGTTATACTTGCTACTCACCAATTTTCAAATCCCTATCTAGAATAATTCAAAAGTTACGATCTTGATCGTTTTTTGTGCACTTCTCTGTATGCATACCATTATGTATTTATATATTTTAATGTGAAAAAATTAAACATCAAAGAATCCTCTCGAATTTTTTCCGTAGCATAATGATTAGCACAAACGCAGCCTGTTTGAAAACGAGGAAAAATATTTTTTTCTGCAACCGACATAAAAGTCGTCCATTTCGATACCAAAATTAGCTCTTGAATTGACGTTCCTATTACCGACACAAACATATAGGTATGTTGCTAGGCAACACATTCAGTTCCCAGGAGCTGAAGTTCTACTTTAGCTGCTAGGAACTGAAAAGAATGTACTAGAGGTCATCAAGAATGAACAACATTGATATGATTGGATATATAGGTTGCGACGCATACCTGAATTGTTTCCGATTTTGGCAGGTTTGGCATTTCATACCTATGCTAGATGTATAAATATACAATTATATAGTTAAGTATTTTTATTTTGATCAGGAAAGCCTTCAAGATCCATATAAGTACTTGCTTGATCTGTAATTTATTGTTTATTATTGTTTTTTGAGAAACTAGCTTTCAGTCAGAAATAAAATTCTGATATGAGGAAATTGATGACAAACAACAATAATAAAATACGACAACAACAAAAAATCTGAAAAATCTAAAAATGATAAATCGATCAAGAAAAAATAGCAACAGGGACTAGTCAGTAGATGGCAAAGTATCAATTTTATCCATTTCGTAATAAAGTCATGTGAATTTTTTATTCGTTATTCCCGGGATGAATAACTCGTTCTTGTATAATTACGGCCAGCAATAGTTGTTTGTCTCAAACAAAGATATTGTTAACTTCATTCGATTCTCGAGCCAAACACAGTGAAGTATGGATAGAGAGAAATAAATAATCGCTATTATTATTGTTGACATGCTCACTAACCTAGTAGTAGTATTGTGGGGAGGCTGTAGCCAGGCAAGTAGGCCCCCATGGCCCCTTTTTGCCGCTCACTAACCTAACTTTTTCCACGTCTTTCTCCTATACCTGGCACTGGCGCGGTATTTGCTATTAGAGCACCTGGTCCATACACAAATATGTCACTCTGGTTGTATTTATATTGAAACTACCATTCGAACATCCTTGAAAATTGAATAAACCTGATCTGTTAATGCAGGTATAAGATTCTCACCACACGGATTATTTGGTGGTTACCCCACATATTTATTTGAGTTAATTCTTTCGGTTGCAGAAAAAAAAATAGAATGTTCCATTCGGATCAGAAGTGATTTTGATTGACTCGCAACTTTGCTTTCGCTCGGCTTCCGCTAGACGCTTCGCAAAATTCGCTTGTCAAACAAAGTGCCACTTTTGATCCTAATAAAACAATCTACTAATTTTAAATGCAACTACACTGACCGTGATTAACTTTTCGGCTCAGGCAACCGGTCATTTTGGAACACCGGCAGCTTGAGTGAAATCGTATCGACACGATTAATTTACGAACAAATAATGTTAATCAACTTTAATACATGAAGAACCCAATAGGATTCTTTCATGTATCATTTTTAACGTCAAAATATACAGGGTGTGCCACCAGTAACGCCTCAGTCTCTAGAAGGCTAACCACTCATCTTCTTGGAATTCTTCCTCTCTAGGAAGTTGCATGTCAACATAGGCTACCATTTGAAATTATTTTGAAACATACAGGGTGTCCCCAAAAACCATAAAACACTGAAGTTAAACTTTTTTCTATCGAACACCCTATATATTATTTCATTTTGAGATTCTCCCTGGTGAGCTGATTTCAACAATCCATCATACTTGGGATCTAGCAGTTATAATTACTGAGATATAGGGTGTGAGAAATCGAGATTTTCCAAGTTACAGGGTGGTGCATAATTCAGAATCTTGATCACCCGGTATATGTCCCAATTAAATATCAGTAGATAGTTGATCACAAGTTGAGATAGGGACATGTAAGCCGTTTTGACCAATTATAAATAGTTTCGACACAAAAAATTCTTGAACTTGGAAAATCTCGATTTTTCACACCCTATATTTCAGTGATTATAACTGCTAGACCCCAAGTATGATGGGTCGTTGAAATCAGCTCATCAGGGAGAAGCTCAAAATGAAATAATATATAGGGTGTTCGATAGAAAAAAGTTTAACTCCAGTGTTTTATGGTTTTTGGGGACACCCTGTATGTTTCAAAATAATTTTAAATGGTAGCCTATGTTGACATGCAACTTCCTAGAGAGGAAGGATTCCAAGAAGATAAGTGGTTAGCCTTCTAGAGACCGAGGCGTTACTGGTGGCCCACCCTGTATACCTAATGATACCTTCCAAAAGGCATAGGTACTGGGTGAAATCACGATCTATCACTACCTGCTGGTCAAAATGTAATTTTTTCTGATCTGCGTGAATTCCATGAAGTTCTTCAAAATTTGGATAAAAGTAGGTTCGCAGCCTGTCTTTTTTTCGATTTACATTCGAAAGTTAGAAAGCTATGGGATACGAGGAAATGCCTCACAGTGGCTTGAGGGATTTAATCGTATGCAACGTGTTTAGAATTTCGTACTACTCTGAAGTAGAAGCGGCAAACAGTGGCGTGCCTCAAGGGAGTTTGCTGGGGACTCTTTTGTTTAAATTTTTTGTAAATGATATAACATACAAAACATATAACATATGTCTGGAACTCACATATCGTTATATGCAGATGATACTTCTGTTTCCTGCTCTGATGAATCACTAGCAAATCTGAACAACACATGCACTGAGGCCGCAAATTATATCAATAATTATTGTCAAAAGAAAAACCTAATCTTGAATCGAGGCAAGACTGAATTAATCATGTTCTCCTTGAAGGATTAAAATGAAAGTTAGTGATAAAATTACATGATGAATCTATCGAACAAAAGAAAGTAGTAAAATACTTAGGAGTCTCAATAGATTCTAAACTTTCATGGACGTATAGTTCATGTTCTGTAATCTGGCAAGTTCGATCAAGAATAGATCACAAACTCTTGAAATTGTACTATTCATACGTTTATCCAACCATGAATGATGGGATTCTAGCCTGGGGCAACAGTTAATGGTCTGATGAAGTTTTTATTCAACAAAAAAAGATTGCACGTAACATGATGTTCAAAGCCAGGACGTTTTCCTGTCGCCAGTTGTTAAATCAACTTGAGCTCTTAACGTTCCTCTCTCTTCATTCACAATTGCATATTGAATATGAAAAACCCAGCTATTCTCAACCAGTCTCTTGAAAATATTGAACACAACTTGAGGCAAAACTTCAATAGCAATATACCATCCCATCGTTTGTCAACTGTGGCTAACACTCCGATGGTTTTGCCGATCAAATTATACAACCACTTACCCACTAGGCTTAAAATTCCATCAAATGTGAACAAATTCAATTATGAAATTCGAAAACTTTTAGCTAACGGGTTTTTTATTCGGTTTCGGAATATACATATGTGTTGTAACCTGGTATATAACCACCTTTACGTGTACACTTCTATATACTGTAATTTATAAACTTCTTTATTCACCGTTTCATTTTTCTTTCTATATACACTGTTTTTTTATACATTATTAGATATTATATCATGATATATTTGCATACACTAATGTTCGTTTTTCAACAGTTTATTCAAAATTGAACTGACAATATCCTACACTTATGTATGTATATGTCTGATTGAAAATAAAGGAAATTGCATTGAATTGAATTAGTGGTGGCTAGTTTTTTGCCGGTGAGTGTATTTTCCTCGATTTTCTCAGGATGACCGACCGTATGGACAATTCCATCATCCAGTACATCGGCTGGAACGTGGAAGTGGAGGACCTGATCCACATCCCGAAGCATTGGCGACAGTATCCGGCGCCAGACAAGTCTCTTCATCTGCTCCTAGGCATGATCTACATCTTCCTGTGCGTTGCTGCCTTCGTTGGTAACGGCCTGGTCCTCTGGATTTTCTCCTCGTAAGCATGCGTGAAATGGGTTTGTTTCAATGAAACATATTATTCAATTATTTCGAAGTACCATTAGACCAAACGTGTTCACTGTCGCGAACACCGCAAACCGTTTTCTCCTCGAAGCTCTGTACATTTTTTTAAAATAATCACTGAAATTCACGATATTTCATATAAAGATTTAACTCAAATCACATAATAGATAAAATGTGTCTCCTTTTTGAGTTAGAGGGTGTTTTTTTAGAAAAAATTCAAAATTGTTTGTGTAGGTACAGTCAGATGCAAAGAAAATGTCGCGGTCAGATGGTGTTGGCGGTCTTAGAGTCACTGACTGGTATTAGTTAGATATGAACTGCTAGATCTCATAACTAAGAGATCTAGGATGAACAGAGTTGCCCCAATTGTCAGCAGGAGCGAGACAGTTCTGTTTCGACCCACCAGGTCTCATCAGCCGCTCTCGGTCTGCTGACAACTGGGACAACTCTACGCTTCGGGTATATCACCCATTTCGAAGACGCGAGAGCGGCTGATGAGACCTGGTGGGTCGAAACAGTACTGTCTCGCTCCTGCTGACAATTGGGGCAACTCTGTTCATCCTAGATCTCTTAGTTATGAGATCTAGCAGTTGAATAGGTGGTGGAAAAATTCAGTCAGGTAGTGCCATCTGTCAGCAGAGTGGTTTATTTGTAGTACTACTCTGTAACGTATAGACGTAGGGGTCTGTACATGTGACTATAGATGGCAGCGACATACAGTGTGTGTCGCGATTTCTGTATCCTACCTTAGAGCTTTATTGCCACTAGATGGCTACAACATGGCTATACCTTCATGTTATACCCTGCGAGTTAGATAGGAGTTCAGACACAGCTGAACTTTTGTCCTGGCCATTTGCCACATCGAACATTGAATTATATCTGTTGAACATCCAAAAAGTAGTTGTTTTCTGTTGAATATTCAGAATGATATAATGTGAATATACATATCTTGATATGAAGGAGAATGCAAAGCCTCTACTTCAGAAGATTTTGTTTCCATAGTCTTATCGTGTGTGTTCAATAGATATAATGCAATGTTCGTCATGGCATATAGCCATGAAAGTACACTCAGTTTCTTAATCTTTTAATCATCTTCTTAAAAAAATAGTAGGCCGATTTTTTTCCTATTTGTTGGTAAGTAAAGCATTTGTCTTTAAATAAAAATAAAGAGGTGAAAATTTTTTCAAAGCCTCCTTGATGATGGTGGAATAACTCGAACCATGATTTATTCTTAATTTTTGACTCACCCTGTGTGTTAATTGAGTAATGGCATAGAAAGTGCTCACACCCTATACGAAAGAGACTTCTTTTGCGAGTATTTTGTTTTTCCATTCATTGATTTATCTCTAAAATTTTCCGAATTACAGCTCTTCTGGCTGAATCCTTGCAGATTACCAACTTCCTGAATTTATCGAGAGACAATTTTCTAATGAAATAAACTGATATCAATAATTTTAAAGAACATCTTTATTAAACACAAAATTATAAATTGGGATGACTGCTTGATACCGTGTATTGCCTCCTCTAGCAACTCTAAGAACGTCTAATCTACGAGGCATACTGGAAATTAAGTTGCTTATCGTTTCCATTGGTATACGATCCCATTCTTCCACTAATGCATCTGCCATTTCTGCAAGACATTTCGGAGACCTCTCGCGAGAACGTACCCTTCTCCCAAATTCATTCCACAAATGTTCTATAGGATTCATATCGGGGCTTCTCGCAGGCCATTGTAATGTGGTAATACCAGTAGCTTCTAAGAAGTTTCGCACTATTGCTGCGGTGTGTGGTCGGGCATTATCCTGCATCAATATAAAATTATTGTCCACTAACTCGGCATAAGGTAAGACATACTGCTCTAAAATGTCAATTTAAATTTGGGCATTCATCGCCTGCCTCACTGGGAAAACATGAAGGGGCGTCTTTCCATTCATTGAAATCCCTCCCCACACCACAACGGACCCACCATTAAAACTTTCACATTCTGTTATTAAATTTTAATTGAACCGTTCACCAGTTCTTCTCCACACTCTTTTTTTTCATCCACCATGTTAAGGCAAAACCTTGACTCATCCGTAAACAAGACATTCGACCATTCAGGAATATTCCACTGTCCATAATTTTCAACAAAATTTCTTCTAGCTGCACGATGTTTGGACAATTATTTGGGACCTTTTGCAGGTCTCCTAGCTTTTAAATTAACTTCTTTTAGACGTCTACATACCGTCTGCTTACTTACTGCAACATCACGAATTTGGCGAAGATCTTGCTGAACATTTACCGCAGTATTTGATCGATTCCGTAAAATCCGCAATCTCAAGAAGCGATCATCTCTTGGAGAAGTTTTTCGGGGGCGACCAGAACCGACCCTCCGAGCGGTGCTTCCTGTTTGTTCGAACTTGCGGATTGCTCTACGAGCAGTTGCTTCATGAAGTCCCACTGCACGAGCGGCGTAACGTTTACTACGCCCACCGTTTACAAACGCAACTTGTCTTGCTACTTGTTCAGGATTTATCTGAGGCATTTTATGTAATTTTAGTCAATAAAACAAGACACCTAGTTAATGTCACAACGACAAATGCTCAAATATGGAGGCATACAACAAATTAGTTGCTATGGCAACGGCATTTGTTTTTTTAAAGACATTGTGATCCTACCAGAGTACAACCCAATCAATTTTGAGTACTCTGATACTTCAATAAATTTAATTTGTGGTATAAGCGTAAGGTATCAGCAAAAAAGCTGTAATTCGGAAAATTTTAGAGATGAATCAATGAATTAAAAAACAAAATGATCGCAAAAGAAGCCTCTTTCGTATAGGGTGTTGTGAGGACTTTGTATACCATTACTCAATTAACACACAGGGTGAGTCAAAAATTAAGAATAAATCATGGTTCGACTTATTCCACCACCATCAAGGAGGCTTTGAAAAAATGTTCACCTCTTAATTTTTTTTCAAAGACAAATGCATTACCTATCAACAAATGAAAAAAAAATCGGCCTACTATTTTTTGTTTTTGTTTTTTAAGAAGATAGGTCAAATATCAAAAGTGCGTCACTTTTTTTGGAACTGAGTGTAGTTGTTGTCTGTTGAATAAACCGAGAAAGAATTGATATTCTCATCACATAGAGAATGCGAATTCCCAATGTATTTCTTCATATACAAGGTGTTTTTGAAATAAGTGCACATATTCAGCACAATCATATGATATAGGCTAAGGAATATTCTCATGATATCAGTATTTTCTCTTATTCTCCTAATTAACGAGAAATTTCATCTCAAAAATTGAACGAAATACGAGAAAAAATTCGAGTACGGCACTTTAAAACAATTCAAGTAATTGAACTCCGCGTGATTGTGCCTACCGCATGGAAATTTGAACAGAGGTGAAGTCAGATTTGCTAGAGCATAAAACTTTGGGTGGGAAAAAGGGTATAATTTTAATTTTAATATAATTTTTTTATTAGTGCCATTCGATAGTATACGTCCAGCATTCTCAGTGTTTGAAATATTTGTACTTATTTGAATGCCACCCTGTATATATATCAATTTTTTTATGTTCATAATTTTTTCTGAGAATATTGATTTTCAATAGTTTCACCCATTCAAGGGGTTCAAACTTTAACGATTGAAACTTGTTATTTTTATAGACCTTCAATCGCAGATGCGTGATTAGGTTTCTCAACTCAGAATTACTTTCCACGTCCTGTATGATGAATATCAATTTATCATACTCAAAATGGCATTTGCCATTTTATTTTCAATCGTCAAACTCGTCACAGCAGCAATATCAGCATCACCATCAAGCGGAAAGAAGTAGATTCAACATCTCACTCGATGTGACGTAGAGACATCATAGTAAGCGGTCGAGTGATTTTTCACATAAATATACGATTTGGTCGAAATTTCACCGAAATCGGACAATTTGGCTAAATTTTTTGAAGGCCGTTAACTGTATTTGAAAAAAAAATAGTCCACCTCTGCCAATTCTCGGCTTTCGTGATTTTGTTTCTTTTTCAATTTCCAGGGCGAGAAGCCTCAGGACGGCCTCCAACATCTTCGTGGTGAACCTGGCCTTCTGCGATTTGATCATCTTCCTGATGATGCCCATCTTCGTGTACAACTCGTTCGGCCAGGGCTTCTCTGCAGGCTGGTTGGCCTGCCAGGTGTACGCGATGATCGGCTCCTTTTCGGGCATCGGGGCCGGAATGACCAACGCTTGCATCGCCTATGACAGGTGACAGTTTGACAGTTCACCGAAAAAAAAGTATATTTTTCTGCAACCGAAACAAAAGTCGTCCATTTTGATACCAAAATTAGCTCTTGAATTGACGTTTCAATTACTGACACAAAAATAGGTATGTTGCTAGGCAACATATTTAGTTCCTAGGAGCTAAAGTTGAACTTTAGCTCCTAGGAACTAAAAAGGATGTACTGGGCTTTATCAAGAATGAACAACATTGTGACGGTTGGTTATTTGGGTTGAGACGCATACCTGATTTGTTTCCGATTTCGGCAGATTTGGCATTTCATACCCATGTTGGAGATATAATAAATAAACCTTATTATAGTTAAGTATTGGGATTATAAACATCTCAGTTGAGTATTTTTGTTTTGATCAAGATTCAAATACTTGCTTGATCTGTATTTCATTCGTTATTCTCTGGATGGATAACTTGTTTTTGAATAATCACGGTGAGCAATAGTTTTTTTGTCTCCAACAACAATATTGTTCAGCTTCATTTGATTATCAGGTCAAACATAGTGTAGTAACTGTAGTATGGAGAGGAATAAATAATCGCTATTATTATTGTTGATATGCTCACTAACCTAACATTTTCCACGTCCTGTTCCTATAGCTGGCACTGGCGCGGTATTTGCCATTAGAGCACCTGGTCCATACACAAATATGTCACTCTGTGATTGTACTTATATTGAAACTACAATTCGAACATCCTTGAAAATTGAATGAACCTGCTGTTGATGCAGGTAGAATGTTCTCACTACACGGATTATTTGTCAATATTTGTTGCATTGCATACATATGACACGGCATTGGTGGTAACTTCACATATTTATTTGAGTTAATTGTTTCGGTTGCAGAAAAAATAGCATGTTTCATTCGGATCAAAAGTGACTTTGTTCGACTCGCAAATTTTGCTTTCGCTCGGCTTCGCTAAACGCTCCGCCTCGCAAATGCAAAATTCGCTTGTCAAACAAAGTGTCACTTTTGATCCTAATAAAACAATCTACTATTTTCTGCAACTGGTAGGCAACACATTCCATTCCTAGGAGCTAAAGCTGAACTTTAACTCCTAGGAGTAGTAGTAGTAGGTGGGGAGGCTATAGCGAAGCGAGTAGGCCCCTGATGGGCCCTTTTTGCTAACCACTGCTCTCCACATATCTACGCTTCCTTCACCTAGATCTCCTTTACCTTTTGATGAAGGCCAGTATGTCCGGCCTCTCTAATATGATCAACTCCACCTGTTGGAGTTTGTCGACTCCAATGATTTAAAATTTCAGCCTCTCGTACGCCTCGCACTCGCCGAGAAAATGGAGTAACGTTTCTTCGTCTTCCCCACATCTGCGGCAAGTAGGGCTGTCCTCTATTCCCATAAGTGTCAGGTGTCTGCCTAGCCTGTTGTGTCCTGTGAGTACTCCTATGAGGAGGCGGAGTACTTGGTGGTCTCTGCCAAGCAGCCACTCCCTCCTTGATTTGCTCGGACCGGCCACGAACTTCTTGGCCTGCCTGCAACCTGTGATATTCCTCCAGTATTCTCCTAGTGCCTTGTCTGCCCATTCGTCAAGGGCTGACGTAGTTTGTCTCCTTGCTATACCTAGTACAGGCTCCGGTCCCAGAAACGGCTCCGCGGATCTGGCCCTAGCAAGTTCGTCTGCTGTTTCATTTCCGGGCACCCTACTGTGACCCGGTACCTATACCATTTCAACTTCCTTTGATTCGGCTATCATCTAAAGGGCATTTTCACGTTCCTGTACCAATGCCGAGCTTGGTCTGGGATGACAGATAGCCTTGAGTGCTGCCTGACTATCCGAACAGATGTAGATCTTCTGTTCTGGTCCCTCTTTCACATCTTGCCTCTCTGCCACGACCAGGATGGCGAACACCTCAGCTTGAAAAACTGTGGTGTATTTTCATAGAGCGTAGCTTTCTCGTATTTTCTCCTATCGAAATAGATCCCTGTGCCCGAGGTCTGTTTATCAATCAGACGTGATCCGTCTGTGTAACATACTAAGCTTCCTAAGCGAAACTCCACTTTATTGCTTGTCCATTAGCTCCTAGGAACTGAAAAGGATGTACTAGAGGTCATCAAGAATAAACAACATTGTAACGGTTGGTTATTTGGGCTGGGACACATGCTGGAGATATAAATACACCATTTTATAGTTGAGTATTATTGTTTTCATCAGAAAAGCCTTCAAGATTCACAGACTTGCTTGATCTGTATTTCATTTGTTATATTCTCGGGATGGATAACTTGTTTTGGAATAATCACGACCAGCAATAGTTTTTTGTCTGAAACAACGATATTGTTTACCTTTATTCTATAGTCAAGTAAAACACAGAGGAGTATGGAGAGAAATAAATAATCGCTATTATTATTATTGTTGATATGCTCACTAACCAAACATTTTCCCCGTCTTTTTTCTATACTTGGCACTGGCGCGGTATTTGCTATTAGAACACCTGGTCCATGCACAAATGTGTCACTCTGCGGTTGTATTTATATTGAAACTATAATTCGAACATCCTAGAAAATTGAATAAACCTGATCTGTTGATGCAGGTAGATTATTTTAACCACACGAATTATTTGTTGCATTGCATATATATGGCACGGGATTGGTGGTTACTTCACATGTTTAGTCGAGTCAATTCTTTCGGTTGCATAAAAAATAGCATGTTTCATTCGGATCAAAAGTAACTTTGTTCGACTCGCAAATTTTGTTTTCGCTCGGGTTCGCTAGACGCTCCGCCTCGCAAATGCAAAATTTGTTTGTCAAACAAAGTGTCACTTTTGACCCTGATATCTATCTAATCTACTATTATCTACTATCTGCATCGAAAGTAATTTGCTTCCTCCATTTATTCCCACGGAAAGAAAAAAATATTACCTTCCGTGGGAGGTGAAATAAATGGGCATAAGCTAGCTTTCTTGGTAACCCATCGAAATATAGGCCAAACTAGGCAACCCATAAAATTAAGGCTCAAAGAACACCTATTACATTTGAAATAGGGTAGATAAGGTTCCATCACAATCATAACACACACATTAATAACCTCAAATTAGTCAAACAAGTTGATGTTCTGAAATTAGATGCTCATAAAAGCCTGAAATTATTCAATGATAATAATAGGGTCATGAACATAATGAAGATAATGAACTGAATGGATCTATTATAGCTCTTTAACCAATAAAATAGTCTTCATCACTGAATTATAAGACCAAATAAATTAATATTCCATACCTCAGATATCTCCTCGAAGTATGTCAAATATATTTTCGCAAAAGTTTCCTGATATATTTTTCTCTTTGTGCCACTGCAGATATTTTTTGTAAGCGATTTCGTACTGTTGTTGGGTCTTTTTGTCAGCAAATCACAAATCTGAAGTAGCACTCGCTGCTCCATTTATCTCAGTAAATGGACCATTTTCTTGTAAATTTTCCGTTGAAAGTTGGGTAAAATGATTTAGGAAAATTACGACATGCTCTTTGGCAGGAAGGATTTGGTTACTCACTACTCTCGTGTCTTAAACTTCCATTTCACAAAATAAAATAACACTTTCAATAGTAGCATAGTAAATAGCTAGATTATTAACGCTGTTTCCATCACTAAAAAAATCCACACATAACATGTTATGCTATACTTGATTCATCTAATTCATAATATTTCAGGTCTCTAAGATGTTCTTTGAATCTTGTTTCGATAGGTCGACTAGTTTGGCCTATGTATGATTCTCACAGCCACAATTTTGAATAAACCATAGGCTATTGGGGTATTATAATATAGTGTATCCCACTTTAAACAGCACTACTCTTGTATTTTTTCTTTAGTTGACCGATTTAAACATTTTTTGTTCTTCTGACATTTTCTGTACTTATTAATTCTGGTAGGTACATGATCATAACCAGACCGTTCGAAGGAAAAATGAGTCGGACGAAAGCCATCATCATGATACTGTTCGTGTGGACATACGCAACACCATGGGCTGTCTTACCGATGCTGGAAATCTGGGGAAAATTTATGCCGGGTGAGGAAAAAACATTTTTCCGCCTACATCTATCCAAAGTATACATTTCCTGGCCTCATTGTAGGAAGCAAAGTAGCGTCATGGTACTTCATCAATGAAATAACTCATACGGCATTGACAACCTAAACTATATTCTATTATACAGGGATATTCACGTTATTCGACCGAAACATTGTGGATGAAGCATTTGGTTTTTTGACATATTTTTTTTTATGAATATCAACGCTACATTCTGAAAATATTTTCATGTTGTATAGGGTGGACCAAAAACACGAAATGTATAGAAGTTGCTATTTTTCAAATGGAATAACCCTGTATATCTTTGAATTCTTAGATTCTTCCTGAAGAGCTGATTCCATCAATTGTGCTCTAGCGAAAATGTTTACAGAGATATAGTGTGTTCAAAATCGAGATTAGGATTTTTTGTGCCGAATTTATCCATTATATGTCAAAACGGCTCACATGTCCCAATCACAACTTTTGATTGACTATTTCTGACATTTAATTGAAACAGATACAGAGTGGTTCAAGATTCAATATTCTGATCACCCTGTATCTGTTCCAATTACTCTACCACGAATTAAAAATATGCAGGATGCAATAATGAAAATAACGTGCCTATGAGTTATACTGTACCTACTTCTTAGTTTCAGTTCTTCAATAAATTTTGTTCGCTAGTTTCATGAATGTATTATTTAAAAATGTTACGTTATCACGTCTTGATTTTCATTAAATCATTTCACACTCATGAACTTATCCAATTTTCAATAAACATTGAGTCAGGCCATCATAAGAATATAGTTTCTCAAGATGTTCAATTGATATTTCCAGAGGGATACTTGACAGCTTGCTCCTTCGACTATCTCACCACATCGTACGACAACAAGCTCTTCGTAGGATCGATATTCACGTTTTCTTACGTGATACCCATGAGTTTCATCCTGTACTTTTACAGCCAGATCGTCAGCAAGGTTTTCTCGCACGAGAAGTCTTTGAGAGATCAGGTAAAGCAACAGAAGTAGAGTCAGTATGTGAATTGGCGCAGTCGGTAGGACTAGGGTGCTTTGTCTAAATTCGAGGAATACCAGTCGGTATAGAATGACCATTGTCGTACTGAATAGAAACGTAATAGGGGAGTTAGTATACTGTTTGCTTATTGAATGAAAAAATGTGCAAAAATCAAGCTCATCGGTAATATTTTCAGTAATAATAATTACATCATATAGTTACATCATCAAGTAAGAATTGAACTTACAATGTAGCCTTATCTTTATACAACATTTCTTTTTTACATTCACTCCATTATCTTCCTTATTACTCGAGAAGCATCATTTGAAAAATATATCAAAATAATTATTCATTTACCAAGGACGAAACACCGTCTATTATTTTAGTCGAGGCTTACAATCAGGCAGTTTTTTGCCGACGTGCATATTAAATTCTGGCTTTGGTTTGGTGGTGCGTTAGTTCCTTGGGGAAGTGTTTATCCGAATATCAACTTTTCAACATCTTTTTCCTGTGTGAGAAAAAATTTAAGAACTGAAAATTTTTTAAGATATCATTGGCGAATATTTTTTCCTGATGATTTTCCGAAATCGAAATTATTCAAGGTCAATAATAAGAAGGATAGAATGACGAATTTTTATCTGAAAGGCTGAATTCGCTATCAGCAATGTAATCGTCCCTTTGACTAGGCGAAAAAGATGAACGTCGACTCGCTGCGCGCCAACCAACAACAGAAGAGCGAAACGGCCGAACTGCGCATCGCCAAGGCCGCCCTGACCGTCTGCTTCATGTTCGTGATGTCTTGGACGCCGTACGCCGTCCTCGCCCTCACCGGCGCCTTTGGTGACCAATCGCTGCTGACGCCCGGCGTCGCGATGGTGCCGGCGCTCACCTGCAAGCTGGTGTCCTGCATCGACCCCTACATCTACGCCATCAGCCATCCCAAGTACAGGTTAGAAGATTTACTCTTGTCTGTATGTCTGTTTGTCTCTCATCAGTTTTTGACTTTCCCTATCAGTATCTTTCTGTTTTTATCAGGATCTGACTGTTTCTATCAGTATCTTACTATATCCATCAGTATCTGACTGTCTCTATCTGTATTTGACTGTTTTTATCAGCTTCTGACTGTGTCTATCTGTATCTGACTCTCTTCATCAGTATCTGTCTCATCACTATGAGTGTGTATGTCTCTTGGTCTGTATCTATCTCTGCTGACGCCCGGCGTCGCGATGGTACCGGCTCTCACCTGCAAGCAGGTGACCTGCATCGACCCCTACAGATATCCTGAGTACATGTAAGAAGATTTACTCTTGTCTGCTCTTATCAGTATCTGACTGTTTCTATCAGTATCTTACTATATCCATCAGTATCTAACTGTCTCTATCAGTATTTGACTGTTTCTATCAGCTTTTGACTGTCTCTATCTGTATCTGACTGTCTTCATCAGTATCTGAATATCACTATCAGTGTGTCTGTCTCTTGGTCTCTATCCATCGCTGCTGATGCCCAGCGTCGCGATGGTGCCGGCTCTCACCTGCAAGCTGGTGTCCTGCATCGACCCCTACAGACATCCCAAGTACAGGCAAGAAGAATTACCTTGTGTGTATGTCTGTTTTTGTCTGTCTGCCTCTATCAGTTTTTAACTGTCTCAATCAGTTTCTGAATTTTCATCAGTATCTGACTGTCTCTATCAGTACCTATCTACCTGACTTTCTTTATCAGTATATATCTGGCTGTCTCTGCCCCGCTATCACTGTCCATTTGGTAACTGTATTCATTTGTGAGATGGTGTCCTGCATCGCCCTACATCTACGCCATCAGCTATTCCAAGTACAGGTAAGAAGATGTACTCTTGTTTGTATGTCTGTTTTTTTCTGTCTGTTTGTCTCGCATCCGTTCTCGACTGTCCCTATCAGTACCTTACTGTTTCTATCAGCATCAAACTGTATCCACCAGTATCTGACCGTCTTTATCAGTATTTGACTGTTTTTATCAATTTCTGACTGTCTCTATCTGTATCTGACTCTGTCTTCATCAGTAACTGAATATCACTATCAGTGTGTCTGTCTCTTGGTCTGTATCTATCTCTGCTGATGCCCCTCGTCGCGATGGTGCCGGCTCTGACCTGCAAGCTGGTGACCTGCATCGACCCCTACAGACATCCCAAGTACACGTAAGAAAATTCACTCTTGTGTGTATGTCTGTTTTTCTCTGTCTCTCTCTATCAATTTCTGACTTTTATCAGTACCTGTTTGTCTTTATCAGTATCTGAATGTCTCTATCAGTATCTACCTGACTCTATTTATCAGTATCTATCTGTCTTTTGAGTGCCTCTATCGGTATCTGACTGTTTTTATCAGTATCTGACTATATTTATCAGTATCTGTCTCTATCAGTAACCTAACCTGACTGTCTTTATCGGTATCTATCTGTCTGTCTCTGTCCCGCTATCATGCACTGCCCTTCACAATGGTACAGGCACTCATCTGCAGGATGGTGTCCTGCTTCAATCCCTACATCAACCATCTCAAGTACAGGTGAGAAGATTTTAACTTGTGTGAGTGTTTGTGTTTTTCTGTTTCTCTCTTTCTTCATCTGTATCTGCCAGTTCTTGTTCGTCTTTGTCTTTATCGATCGATTTCTGTTTCTGTCTGTCTGTGTCTGTGTGTATGTATGTATTTTTTGTCGGTATATCGGCCTGTCTGTATCTATCACTGTCTGTCCGCTGTCCCTATATACGGCTGGCATTGTCCGCCTATCTGTCTGGATCTGTTGATCTATCAATCTATGTCTGTCTCTGCCTGTCTCTGCTTGTCTCTGTCTGTCTCTACCTGTCTCTGTCTGTCTCTACATGACTCTGCTTGTCTCTGCCTGTCTCTACCCGTCTCTGTCTGTCTCTACATGACTCTGCCTGTCTCTGCCTATCTCTGCCTGTCTATGTCTATCTCTGTGTCTCGCGATCTCTATCTGTCTGAATTGTTTTCAGTGATAAGCATCTTGGTTTCACGCTCGATCTAAGAAGAATTATAGGTTAAAATTTGAAATGGGTATTCATATCAAGATACATCAAATAATAGATCATTAAAATACTAATACGGAATCACTGAATATTCCCCGATGTTTTCAGAATCGAGCTCCAAAGGCGACTTCCTTGGTTGTCTCTGAACGAACCCAACGACACACAGTCCACGGTGACAGAGTCTTCAGCACCGTTATCGGCTTTATCTACGACTATGACATAAGGAATCTGACCATGTGCTCTCTCTCAATCCAGAATGAACGATTCTCGACCGAAACGACACGGACCTGCTATTTCTATCGGTAAATCATGACGATTATCACCATGAATTTTATACGTATACTGCAATTTTTCTGTGTTCGCTTGTTCATGGTCCAAAATATTATTTTTTTCGATAAACAAAAATTACATTGAGGCTCTATAGAAGAATCATAGGGATTTGCATTTGGAACACACAGAGTATTTCCAACCATTTCACCCAAATTCGCATATATACAGGGTGAGTCATGAGGAACTGTACTTACTCCTACCACGAATAGAGGCCCCTGAGGGTATTACCTCAGGACCATGAGAAAGTATCTTCTTCTCTTCTTCACTAATATATAGGGTGAATTATGAGATTTGGCAAAAACATCCTTTTGGTCATTACATTCCAAAAGCTTCTTCTATTCGTCTGATTTTTTCATGGAATATTTTGCTATTACCCTATAATCGACTGACTCATTCAGAATCAGGAAAAACTATGACCGTTCTTGAAAATGACACTAGTTTAGTTTATATCAAAAAGTTTGTCCTGTATATATGGTTTTCATGAATTGTGACAGTGTTTCTTTCCAAGGTCACAAACAAGCATTCGAAAATAAAATATTCAAAATTGAGCACACTCTGAATTTTACAAAAAACGATAAATTTCAATACGCAAAAACAAAAATTTGCATGGAACAAATTCAATTTATTCGAAAATAATTGCTTCGCAACGAATAACTTCCAGGAATAAAAGTAGGACTCTCATTTTCAATGCTTCATCTCAATGGAAATCAACATGTTCTTCTATTTCCAGACCTCAATTTCGTCATTCATTTTTTTGTGAAGACTAATGTAGATTTTTTTCGAATTAGTGGATTGATGTTAATGGTCGTCAATTCAAATAATTTTAGATGACTGGGGGTTTATTCACAATTCTTCAGAAGCTATATAACATCAAAGGATGATAATTCTGTACGGAAAATAAGTGGCCAAAATAGCTGAATTAATCAGATGAAACTGAGAATTGAAATCATGAAATTGTTCAAATCGGTGGCCATCAAACTTTCGTTTTTCCTTAAAATGAATTGTTCTTTTCAAAAGTCTAGTGTTAGTGTGAGGAAAATTTTGATTATTTTATTTTTGATGTTTGTTTGTAACCTTTGAAATATCCATGTCACAGTTTACAAAAACCATATACATGAACTTTTTGATGTAAACTAAACTAGTGAATTTATTCAAGAGCAGTCCTGTATTTTCCCGATTCTGAATAAATCAGTCGGTTAGAGAGTAGTTGTAATCGAAGAAGCTGTTGAAAAGTTATGACGAAAATATGTTTTTGCCAAATCCCATAAATCACCCCATATATTAGTGAAGAAGAGAAGACAATTTCTGGAGGTCATTGCGGGTATCCCCCTCAGGATCCTCTACTCTTGGCAGGAGTATGTACCAGTACCTCATGACTCATCCTGTACCTATACAAAAATTTCTGAAACACAGAGATAATTGAACATTTATTGATTGTTGACTGTGATAAGGGGAAGAGGAAAAATTAAACGACGAAAAATTTAAATCTCTGTTGAGCATCCTGTATAAACTTAATCTGAGTGTATTATTTATCAACTTCTTATTCATTGAAGCCGCAATAATTTCTAATGCGAGTATATTACCACAATATCGAAGCATTACGAATGCCTACAATAATTTAGTCAGGGTGATAAAGTTTTCTCATTATAGTAATTCAGTATCAAGATCTCAAGTACTCATTTTACAGTTCAAAATAAAACTTTTTGCATATGTGTTCGGAAACGCTTAGTTAGCGATATACAGTGCTTTGAAGTTTTAAGTTTTTTTTTAGTTGTTCAGCACACTACACACTGTTTTACCACTAACCAACCCGATTTTTTACACCACAGCACGTGTTTCGCTAACTATATTAGCATCTTCAGGAGAAGATTAAAACTAAATGTTATATCCTAGTGTGCTACTTATATACTAGGTATAAGTCCAATCAATCGTGAAAGACAATAATCGCCAAGTTAATTGATGTTAGTCATGGTTCAGATCACATGTTAACCTTATATCACTAAACTATACAGATGGCTAAATGGGAAAGGTCCATTATCCTTATTCATCGCTCTATTACTATTCTATCTCTTAGCATTCAAATGCATCATCTCATTTGCTGACATTATTCACTTGCTCAACTAATTTGACGTTATTAAAATGTGTGTTATGATTGAGATTGTGATTGAACATGTGTTCGGCTACACACGATTTATCTAAACTACCATAATTATTTCAAATGTGCTAAGTGTTACATGAATCTTGTTTTTTTGGGACGCCTGGTTTGGCCTATATATGTTATATATATATGTATCACTCAATAAATCATTTCAACTAAGTTCGTATATTCCTGACTTTTCAATTGTGTCCACCTCATCTGTTGAAAGGAGTGTTGTTTATAAAGTGGCGTCAATGGTTATGATATCAAAATAGTTGATAAATTGATACGTATATACATAAATTTAAGTTAACACTTAGCAATTCTACGACTTCTCAAGGGGATAAAAACAATCCGAGAAAAATCCCAATCCCGTTCAATCCCAATAAGTATAACAAGAGGACTTTTCAAAGACTCAGGTTTTGAAAGCTTCCATCAGCCTGAGGCAAAGTTACGCAATTTATCAAGTAATATATGAAATTAGTTGTAATGATTGTGATACAACATATATAGGCCAAGCCAGCCGTCTCATAAAAACAAGATTCAAAGAACACTTGGCACATTTGAAATATGGTAGGTTTAAGATAAATCGTGTGAGCCGAACACATGTTCAATCACAATCATAATACACACTAATAACTTCAAATTAGTTAAGCAAGTTAATAATGTTAGCAAATAAGATGCATATGAAAGCTTAGAGGTATTTAAGAATAGTAATGGAGTAATGAATATAAACAAAACCAAAACAATGATTTATTATTCAACTGTGAAAAATCTGCAAATTTAAGTTCAAATTGTCCAAGAAATTTATTGTACGTGAGTAAGTAAGTAAGTACAAACGAATATTTTTTTCTAGGTACATCCCAACGGTTTCCTAGATACTATTTTTATTGCAAAATAATATAAAACATTAAAAAAATGTAGAATAGGTGATGAAGATAATGTCAAAGACGTTCTTTTGTGTTTTATTTAACTTCCCAAACCTTCATCAAGGATCGAATTGGTAAAAGAGATATTTACGTAACCCAGTTAGGAAACGCGCCATGTTTTTCTAATTTTGATGAAAAATCACGCAAAAATTACATATATAATAATGACCAGTTCTACATGCGAGTTCTACGAATTTTGTACAAAATTAAGTAGGCGAGTTGACTTCGCCCGTCACTTTGAAGTATCCGTCAAACAATGATATGGTCCAAAATCAGCGACGAATTTCACGAAATGGACGCGTTTGATACTTTCATTAGTGGAAAATTAACATTTCATCACCAGTTATGTAATATTCTACTTAAAGTAACTAGTTACGTAATGTAAGACTTTTCAAAACTTCCGTCAGTTTCGAAAAGTGTCACATTACATGCAAAAATTAGAAGAATATACTTTATTCACTAACACGAGAGCTTTTTTTTGTCGAAGTTAACTTGACATTTCAATAAGAATTTTGTTACCTGGAAATGATTCGAAAAAAAAATGCATTTTCTGGCAGTTTTTCGAGTAAAATCTAATAATAACATAATTCGAATTATAAATGTCAAGTTCATCACGACCCAAGAAATAGTTGAGTGTAATTCAGTGAGACAATTTAATGAATGCCTGAATTTTCTTATTGTTGATGGATTTTTCAATTTCTACACTCGAAGACTCAAAATCGCGACATTTACACAAATTATACAGGGTGGGCCACCAGTAACGCCTCGGTCTCTAGAAGGCTAACCACTTATCTTCTTGGAATTCTTCCTCTCTAGGAAGTTGCATGTCAACATAGTCTACCATTTGAAATTATTTCGAAACATACAGGGTGTCCCCAAAAACCATAAAACACTGAAGTTAAACTTTTTTCTATCGAACACCCTATATATTATTTCATTTTGAGATTCTCCCTGATGAGCTGATTTCAACGACACATCATACTTGGGGTCTAGCAGTTATAATTACTGAGATATAGGGTGTGAAAAATCTCAATTAAATGTCAGTAGATAGTTGATCAAAAGTTGAGATAGGGACATGTGAGCCGTTTTGACCAATTATGAATGGTTTAGACACAAAAAATTCTTGAACTTGGAAAATCTCGATTTCTCACACCCTATATCTCAGTAATTATAACTGCTAGACCCCAAGTATGATGGATTGTTGAAATCAGCTCACCAGGGAGAATCTCAAAATGAAATAATATATAGGGTGTTCGATTGAAAAAAGTTCAACTTCAGTGTTTTCTGATTTTTGGGGACATCCTGTATGTTTCAAAATAATTTCAAATGGTAGCCTATGTTGACATGCAACTTCCTAGAGAGGAAGAATTCCAAGAAGATAAGTGGTTAGCCTTCTAGAGACCGAGGCGTTACTGGTGGCCCACCCTGTATATACTATTCTGCTCTCAATTCGTTCACAATTCTGGTTGTCACGTCAAGAGCTATGTTCCGTTTTGTCAACAGTGAAAACAAGAGCTTTTTTTTATCGGATAAATTTCTCTTGATAACGGAAAACATTTACCGATCAGTAATTTTACGAGAAAAACTGACATGAAAAAATTGCGAGACCGTAGGTCGAGCAATTTTGTTTAATGTCAGTTTTTCGAGAGAAATAACTGATGAAAACTATTTGAGTTAGTAAGGAAATTTATCGAAATAAAAAAAAATTCGAGTGTTTTTTGGCAAGATAAATCAACGACAATATACAAATAAACAACAATAATGATTACTTTTATTTTCGTGGTTTCCTCAGACAAAATTCTCCTAAACGTCTCATCTTGCTAATTTACGCGTGAACCATACCCATCAATCAAGATTGTAGATTGTAGATTGTAGAAGGGTCGTATAGGCTGAAAGACCTCTCGATCACTGCGACTTAAAAGATCTATTGTGATTACTCTTATCTAGTTTTGGTCCTCTAACCTTAGACTTCAGATGAATCCTACAATTTTCCTGACGGTTGAATGTTCCACCTCAGCAGGGGTGAGATAGACATGTTCTAGGTGGTTCAGCCTTTGGCGGACAAATACATCACATGAGCAAAGTATGTGTTCCGCGGTTTCGGTCGCATTGTTACAACAGCGGCAAGTGTCAGTCTCCGCCAGACCCATCTTTTTGAGGTGGTACCTCAGAGGGCCGTGCCCTGTGAGAAAGCCTGTGATAAGCTTTAACTCTGGTTTGCTGAGGCTGAGTAGCTCTTTGGCTCGGTTCTGCGAATGGTTGATGAACCTTTTCGCTTGTCGTTGACCTGGAGTGACATCAGGCGCAAATTGCTACTAGATCGAAGAAGCAGACAGTTTATCAGCGATGATAAAGCTGCATCCTTTTTTATCGATGTCAAAATGACTCACGTCGTCATCAAATAGCGTTTTCTGTATAGGAGTTGATTTATCGCTGGAAAACAACTTAGGGCAAAGTTTTTTTGCTGTCATATTGAATGAATCATTTGATATTGTACGATTTAATATATTTTGTGACATGAATCACAATATATGTTCCAGTGAGTTTGTCTGTTTTTTCCCCGAATCTTGAATAAGTTGATGAATAAATACCATCAATACGAAAAATTTGCGAATGACTTGCCCTCCTGTAAAATCATAAATCTGTTTTTGACTTAATGGGATTCGAGGGGAGATTAGGGTCAGAACGTTATCCGATTAGGGTTATAAAAATCATACGTCGATTGTTGCATTCCGTCAGTGAGAAGCGATAGACGGCCCGTCCTGCCGATGCACGATGGGGTTGCTCAACTGGACCAATATCAACCCCCAGTCCAGGTGAGTGCGATCGCAAGGAATCTGCTTACTTATTTAATGCTCTGGATCTCTCGAAGTCAAATTTAAGCAACAGAAAGCAAAAAGTATGCATTAGGCAACAATATGAGGAATTTATATCAGATTTATTGAAATTGAAAACGGTGTACCACAAGGGAGTGTGCTGGGTCCGTTACTTTTCATTATTTATATAAAATGATCTTCCGGAAATATTCAATAATTCGAATACTACAGTTGTTAGTTATGCAGACGATTCAAATCTCATTTTACCAATTGACAATTTCATTCATTTGGAAAACACAATATCAACTAATATTTCATCAGTATCCTAATATTTCAACAAGAATAAATTAATTCTAAACACCACAAAAACAGATTGCATTGTTTTCAAAACTAGCCGCAAAAATATCAACATTCCGGAGTCAACAATTCATCTGAGAACCGAAGAAAAATTATATTTCTCTACCGATGCCAAAATGTTAGGCGTATTTATACAGGGTGTCCCAGATCAACGTACCTTAAATTCTGACAATATCAGAGGCGCGCAAAAAAAGGGGATTATGATAAACAAAAACGACAAAAACGTTTTTATTGAAAAAAACTAACAGTTTCATTGATCGTTCCAGTTAAAAAGTTGCCATAATGAATAAGAATAAAATAAATTATGAAACTGGAATCTCAATCTGTATTCATTACAGAATCACCTTTTGGACGCCTCTGAATTTCTCAACATCATGCTAATCAAATGTATGGCAACTTTTTTATTATAATGATCAATTAATCTGTTGTTTTTTTCAATAATGAAGTTTTTTCCGTTTCTGAATATCATAAGCCCCTTTTTTGCATGCCTCTGAATTTGTCAACATCATGGTAATTGAGGGTATGACACCTCTTCAACTGTAACGATCAATGAAACTGTTGAATTTTCTCAATAAAGGAGAATTTTTCGTTTCTAAATATGAACCCCTTTTTGTGCGCCACTGGTGTTAATTATCTTCAGTAGAAATATCCCTTGTGGCGATTTTTCCATAGCAACGCATTTTATCAGAAAAATTTCAAAGCGGTCTCGAGGTATCGGACCAACCATTCACCTAACATCTAAAAAAGAAGTCTAGGGTCCCTCACATTTCCCAAATAATTGGTCGAATATTTGACATTTTTCCGGCTCTTAATTCACACTCTGTACAAAGAGAACGAATCGCAAAAAGGAAAACCCGACGCCAATGACGCATAGCCCAAAGATGACGCTTTCTACCTTTGGTTGAAAATCCAACATCCGCCAAGAAATGTTCGAGTTATAGCTTATCAAAATTAGTCAATTTTTTGGCTGTCCAACTTCATCTGGTAAGTAGTTTAGTACATTATACATCAAGGGACAGAAATGCAAGATTTTTTCCAAGGTGCGATTTGTAGCTCGAGGTGTATACAGGGTGTTGCGAAATTCGACCGACAACTCTAGACAGGTTATATAGCCCTCGTGATTTCATAATCACTGAGATAGGGACATACTTCAAGTGTTCAGTTCTCGAGATACAGGGCGTAAAAGTTAAGAAATTAAAATAGTTTTTTCGCAATATCTCAAGAGGAATTGAATATAATGCATTCAAATTCGGTTTATGGTTTCATCTTTCAATGGTTAAATTTTTGACCAGGAAGACATTCCGAGAATTTTATCCAGAGGTGCGCTACAGAGGGTTGTGATGACTTTTCCTCTCATGTTTTCTACGCCACTGATGAAATTTCAATTATTTCCAATTTCTCGAATTGATTGTTCAATTATGTTGAATAAATGCATCACCTTCAACTGATCTAAAATGAACAGTTATCGAATCCAAGGCATATGGGGTTGACAAAATCAATATTGATATGTTATTGTACTGCTGCCCTTTAATTCTTCCCATCGTATGTCACATCTTCAATTTCTGTATCGCGAACAATGTCTTTCCTTCCATCTGGAAAAAATCTTTCATTATTCCTCTACCCAAAATTCCCAATCCAGTGGAGTTCAAATCACTTCGTCCCATCAGCATTCTATGTACCTTATCAAAAGCTTTCGAAAAAATAATTCTCTCTCAAATTCAGGATCACCTACAATCCAACAGCATCATTCCCTCCCATCAGTCTGGATTCCGACCTCAACACAGCTGTGTAACCGCATTAATCAAGGTCACAGATGACATTTTCACCGCGACGGATCAACAACAGCTCACTGCTCTGGTTATGCTCGACTACAGCAAGGCTTTCGATAGGATCAAGCACCAGTTGTTGTTGGCTATACTTCATTATATTGGTTTTTCTGCATCCGCTACTTGCTTGCTAGGAGCTTACTTGAACAATCGCTTGCAAGCTGTTTTATTAGAACGAGACTGTTCTGACTTTCTGGTAGTGGAAAACGGAGTTCCTCAAGGATCGATATTGGGTCCGGTGTTATTCATACTCTATACCCATGAATTTCATAGTCACATAAAATTCTGTAATAGTCACTTTTATGCAGATGACACACAGTTATACATATCATTTTCTGAAAAAAATCTTCCCCTGGCTAAATTCCAACTGAACTCTGATTTGGATGCTATCATCTCGATATCTGAAAAATTCTGTCTTTCATTGAACCCCTCAAAATCCTCTGCGATTCTTTTTGGCAGAAAGGTCGCTCGCAGTCGTTGCAAGAACTTAATGACGATTAAAATCGGTGAAGTAACTATTCCTTTCTCTGATAGCTCGAAAAATCTGGGAGTTATTCTTGATTCCTCGCTCAATTTCAGTGGCCATGTCAATCTACTCGTTCGGAGAGCCTTCTGTAACCTCAAATTGATATATTCCAACAGAAAAATGTTAGATAAAAACGGGAAGAAAACTCTCTGTGAGTCACTAGTTCTCTCACACTTGAATTACGCTGACACTATTTACGGACCCGCCATCACCAAAAGAGACGCCCAGCGAATACAATTGATTCAGAACTCTTGTGTACGTTTAATTTGCGGACTAAGTAGACGAAATCACATCTCCTCCCCTCTCCAAGAACTCGGATGGCTCAATACCGAAAAAAGAAGAATACTTCACCTTTGCACTTTATTCCATAGTACTATAAATTCGCAAAAACCACCCTATTTATACGACAAGATCACATTTCGTACGGACGTGCACAATATCAATATTCGGCACAAATCACGACTTACGCCACCTCAGCACTCCACAGCCCAGTTTCAATCGTCATTCTCCTTCACTATTACCAGGCTTTACAATAGGATTCCGGAACGGTTCAAAACTTTATCCACTGCATGTTTCAAAAGTAGTCTCAAAAAGAGCCTACTGTCAGGAGAAATATCTCTATGATGCCTCTTATTTCCTGGTTAATTTTTTTATTTTTTTTATTTCTTTACTTTAACATGCCTTATTGAATTTGTATTCATCATTCTGAGTAGTTTTATTAATAGTTAATGTATTGTATCAATTTATATTCAGTTGTTAACATAGTTTTAGATTATTCAGCGTAGTTTAATACTAACTCCATAGGTTGAGTGGAAGAAAGCACTTGTTCGACTCAACACCGAGTCCGAACCAGAGCTAACTCTGCCTTTTGATAGATGATGTTATATGTTACCTTTTTTTGTTAACCATTATCTGTCAATAAAAGCGATTATTATTATTATTATTATTAGATATTTGACCCAAAATAGAAGTTTGCATAGTAATTTTTCATCTTCCTCGGTAGTAGAAAATTACAAAACATTTTGTTTTCTCTTTATGCGTAGAATAACTATTTCTGTTCAGCTATAGAATGAGATCTGAATAGTATCTAATCTACTCAACACCAGAAAAATATTTTTGCAATTTTTCACTACTGAAAATTATGAAATATTACTAAGCAATCTTCTATTTTGGGTCGAATATCTCGAAAACTGATCATTTCAGCTCAGTTGAAGGTGATGCATTTTCTGAACAAAATTGAACGAACAATGAATTCGAGGAATTGGAAATAATCGAAATTTAATCAGTGGCGTAGAAAATATGGGAGGAAAAGTTGCCACACCCCTTTGTAGGGCACCACTGGATAAAATGTCCGGAATGGCTTCTTGGTCAAAAAATTACCCATTCAAAGATGAAACCATATACCGAAGTTGAATGCATTATATTCAATTATTCTTGAGATATTGCGAAACAACTATTATTATTTCTTAACTTCAACGCCCTGTATCTCGAGAACTGAACACTTTTCTCAGTGATTATGGAATCACGAGGACTATCACCTGTCAAGCGTTGTCGGTCGAATTTCGCAACACCCTGTATACTATTTTTTACGCTGGCGAAAACACAAAAACTATAAAAAAGAATAAAATTTGGTCAAAGTGTTTTGTCATGATTAGTAGTAGTATAGTTTGTGGAATTCGTATCTTGACAACCAACACACCACACCAACACAGCTTTATTTATACCACTTAGTGGAAGAGTAAGAAAAGTAACCACTTTGATAAATGTTGTTTTTATGGAATACCAAATATCAATAGTGGAAAATCTGGGGTGGTTAAAAAAAAATCTTAATAACAACGTTGCTAATTCAGTCACCCTGTTAATCACTTCTTAGAGAATCGGACTGATTGTTGCCTTCATTGTTTTCGCATCTGAGATAAAAAAAATGAAATATCGTTTCTTGCTAAGTCAATTCGATGATTCTGATGCAATTCTGAAATAACTTCGGTAATTATCGATAATTTTGTGCACGACCATTTCTGGTATCTTTCCGAGTGCATTGAAGCCGGATCATCCGGATTTTCATCAACATTTACATAGCCATTTATCCCAGTATTATTAGGACTTAAGGACTTAAATCAAGTTCGTGTGGCTTCTTAGAAACCCAAGTTGCAATGGGAGGTAATTGGACTAACCCTACAACCCAGAGAAAACACCACCAGCCGTTATATCGATATCTTGAAAACAGCTTTATATAGTATATCGAAGATTGAAACCGTTGGCACGATAATACACTACACTGTTTTACCAATAACCGAACCGATTTTTTAAACGCCTGGACACGTGTTTCGCTAACTATGTTAGCATCTTCAGGAGAAAATTAAAACTAAATATCCTATTCTAGTGTGCTGCTTATAGATACTAGGTATGTGTTCACCCAACCGTGAAACATACTAACCGTCAAGTTAGGTCCATTATCCTTATTCATTACTCTAATAATATTCTTAAATATCTCTGAGCTTTCATATGCGTCTAATTTTCTAATATAATAAACTTGCTTAACTGATTTGAGGTTAGTAATATGTGTGTTATGATTGTGATTGAACATATGTTCGGCTACACACGATTCATCGTACCTACCATATTTTAAATATGCTTTGTGTTCTTTGAACCTTGTTTTTATGGGTCGCCTGGTTGGCCTATATATGTTTTATCACAATCATTACAACTTATCTCGTTTATTCCCGACTTTTCAAGTGTGTTCACTTTATCTTTCGGATTGCCTAATAAATTGCCTAATTATGACCCAGGCTGATAAACGCTTTCAAAACCTAAGTCACTTATGAATGCAAAAATTATGGTAAATTACCTTTTTCAGATGAACTTGTGATCAAAAATAGCGAAAACAACTTAGAATTCGATGTTTCTAGAAAAGAAACTAACACATTTAGATACATACCTAATGACTCCAATCACTGTTTTCAACACAAAATGGCAAGTTCAAATTTTCTAGTACATAGATTAATTCCATTCCCTGTGAGCAATGAAATATGATATCAAAATAGTAGATAAATTAATACGTAGACCTAAATTTAAGTTAACACTTCGAAATCCAACGACTTCTCAAGTTGATAAAAAGAACTCTAGAAGAATCCCAATCCCGTGCAATCCCAAGTATACGAAGGGACTTGATAAGGTTTCCAAAGACTTAGGTTTTGAGAGCTTTCATCAGTCTGGGTTCTGGCAATTCATTGGGCAATCCAAAAGATAAAGTGAACACACTTGAAAAGTCGGGAATATACGAAATGAGTTGCACTGATTGTGATATAACATATATAGGCCAAACCAGGCGACCAATACGAACCAGGTTCAAAGAACATTTAAAATATGGAAGGTTAGATAAATCATGTGTACCCGAACATATATGTTCAATCACAATCATAGTAAAACACATATAACTGACCTCAAGTTAGTTAAGCAAGTTAATAATATTAGAAAATTAGACGCATTTGAAAGCTTAGAGATATCTAGGAATAGTAATAGAGTAATGAATAAGGATAATGGACCTATTCCATATAGCTCCCTATATTGTTTAGTAATATAAAAATTTAGATTAACATGTGAACTCAACCATGACAAACATTTACTTGACGGTTACTATTTTTTACGGTTAGGTGAACACATACCTGTTATAAAAAAAGCACACTAGAATAGGATATTATTTTGTTTGAATCTTCTCCTGAAGATGCTGACATAGTTAGCGAAACACGAGTCGAGGCGTTTAAAAAATCGGTTTGGTTAGTGGTAGAACAGTGTAGTGTATAGCAAAACAACGTAGCAGGGTCAGCTAGTATGGAATTAATACTCATATTTTTATTTCATAGAAACGAAAATTCCAAATAATCTGGGAAAATGAGTACTACTCGCTATTCAACCAGTACCCTCCTAATTTCAGGGTGATGAAGCCCATCGAGGAGTTCGACGGCCCCCGGCTGGGGTGGAACGTGCCCCCCGAAGAGCTGATATACGTGCCGGAGCACTGGCTGGCCTACCCAGACGTGGACAAGTCCCTGCATCTGCTGCTCGGCATGGTCTACTTCTTCTTCTTCGTCGCCTCCCTGATCGGCAACGGGCTGGTCTTGTGGATTTTCTCATCGTAAGTAAGCGAAAAACGCTGATGTCTATAGGTAAATAACTAAATAAATGGAACTGGCTGCCTGAACAAGTCTTCATCGATTTCTATTGAGTGATTCACAGCTTGAGGTCCCCACTCTTGTCATGGTAGCGGTACGTGTGGAATTCCGGTCGTCATGGGTAGCTGGGAGGTTTGTCTTTGATTATATCACACATTGATATACCAGTCTGTCAAACCATATAACCATGTATCAACTCATATTTATAGTTCAACATCATACAGATCTGCGACTTCATTGCTATATGTCACATTGGTTCCTATAAGTTTCAATACTAATTCAGGCAAACTGAATTATTCACAAGAATCACAATTTTCAAACCATATCTAATATACAAAATATCATTGAAAAGTGGCGGAAGTGGCGCAAATAATGAAATCTAACCATGTCATCTATCAAATAGAAAACAATATGTTGAAGTGAGTGGTACTTGTAGCTCCTTAATGAACATCTCATGCGGTGTACCGCAAGGGTCAGTCTTGGGACCAGTTTTATTTTTGATCTACATAAATTCAATATCAAACTTGCAATTGAGAGGAAAACTTAAATTATTTGCAGATGACACGACATTGATTTATTCCTCTAAAGATTCAAATAATATTATCATGGACATGAAAAGTGATTTAGAGAAAATATCCTCTTGGTTACAAGTTCATAAACTATCTCTCAATTATAACAAATCCTCATATATGTACATAGCAGAAAGAACATTGAACATTTCAAATAGAACACTATCCATCAACAATAAACTCATATCAAATATACAGATGTTACAAAATTTGTAGGTCTTTATATTGATAAACGACCATTGTGGAATAAACATATAGATCATTTGAGAAACAAACTTAATCCTATTACAGGCATTTTATTAAAAATACGAGATTTCATTTCTACCAGATACTTGAAGAGTATTTATTTCTCTCGTATTTACTCAAAATTTCAATACCTAATATCTATATGGGGAAGTACCAATATTTCACGTTTGAGTCCACTAATGAAATTAAAAAATAAAACATTGAAGTGTATTTTCAATTTAAATTTTCTCGAACCAACCATGAATTTATACAAACCTAGAGATTTATTAGATCTGACATCACTATATAAACTTAAAATATGTTGTTTTATTCAATTTGTCCTATATAAATTGAAAATTTCGAATTTAAATTTCAATGAAATCAATTCATTACATAATCATGGAACAAGACAATCAAATTTACTAATAGCAAATACGTTCAAGTCAAATATCGGCAAGCAATCAATTTTTCACACAGGAATCGTTCTATACAACTCATTACCAAGTCAATTGAGGAATATACAGGAAGCAACTAGATTCAAAATTAACTTAAAAAAATATCTGCTTCAGAGACTTTGATAATTCCATTTCTTTTATTATTTGTATTTTTTTTACTTGTTATATCTTATTATAATTTCATAATTGTATGTATAACATTATGTATATTGTTTATGTATCCCTATTATAAACAACTATGTTTCTTGTGGTAATAAAGACAATCAATCAAATTTCGAACCTATGTTTTAATGTGAATTATTCATATCCGTCGTCACCAATTCATACGATCAAAATATCTCCATATAAACCGCTATGACTATGTTGAAAACGCTAGAATTCCGACACGTCGCAAATCAGCTTGAAATGTCGCATTCACCTACCTTAAAAACTAGATTTAGCGACAAAACCGCTAAGATTGCAACTCTGAACGAAGGTATCGTAGGAAAAGGTCAAAATGACACGAAAAGAAGAAGTATATTCATCAGCTCTACCAACTCTGACCTCACGTTTCAGTGGCGCGATGACAATGAATGATATTACCCCTTATTCCAGCACCCTGTACTTTTTTCTGTTTTCTTTTCAGAGCCAAATCTTTACGAACGGCATCGAATATGTTCGTGGTGAATCTAGCGTTCTGCGATTTCGTCATGATGCTGAAATCGCCCGTATTTCTGTATAACTCGTTCAGCCAAGGGTACGCCATGGGCCATATAGGCTGCCAAATTTTCGGCACGATGGGCGCCTCGACCGGAATCGGCGCCGGAATGACCAACGCTTGCATCGCATACGACAGGTGAGATAAACTGCTCCACATAGGAGATAATATTGCGAAGAGTTCTATGTCATATACACTCAGGGGCAAAAAAAAACCGTCAGAGAAAAATTTTGCCGATTCCAGTCAAATTTTGACCACATCTTATATTTATGTTCGGGAATATCAGCATGAATTTCAGTTTCCACTAGAAGCTGATGGCTTGATCATTATACGTGGAAAGAGAAAAGCTACTCATATTCCACCCTCAGCCTTTTAACGCCTCGAGGTAAAAGTGGGTGCTTAAAATCAGCTTCATTATGTTTTGGATTGTAGTGTGATCCCTTTTCAATACAATATTCTTTATCTACGTCAATACCATCTTTTTAAGAACAGATATATTGGGTGTAGCATAAGTACATCTCAATATTCAAGTGACGTAATCCTCATGACATTTCAAGAAAAAAAGTCTATATAAACTTGTGTCCAGAAATGATTCGTTTCGGAGACACAGGGCGTTGAAATTGAATATTTTGAAATAGCTTCTGCAAAAAGTAAGTTATTTGCTCGAAATTTGGCACCTGGGGTTTTTTCGACGTGAGAACACTGTGTATGTTGTCATTTTTTGAGCTGACTCAGCCGTTGCCATGGAAATCAGGTGATATACTGGTACAATGAACTGAAGTTACCTTGGCTTGCTTTATATATCCTACTTTCCCAACCTGAAAGATTAGTTACCTGTGGACAGGTTCGATAAAGCTCCATTTTCGGAAATTAGGCACAATATCTACGTTAAAATACGGTGTACCGGATTAACTTGAAAGGTATAATAGCAAATACATATCATTACCTGCTAAGAAAACAAATTCAACAGTGGTGAACTATTGAGGTCTAATTGATCGTTGAGTAAAATGTCAGAATTTCTGAGTTTGTTGATTTCTAATGATTCAAAATGATTGAGTTTCATTCCTTCATTTCCTACGTGTAGAATTTCTAAATTATCATCAAAACTATGGTTTTCTTCTGATATATGGTTGGCGTATGTTGAATTTGTTTTCTTTCTCAAAAAATTCTTCTCATGTTCATGAATGCACTGATTAAACGTACGACCTGTCTGACCGATATGTACGTTAGGACAAGATCCACAGTTGAGTTTGTATACCTCTGATTTTTCGAATTTAGAAGTTTTGTCGTTATTATTGTTGACAAACCCAACGTGTTATTTGTTCTATATGCTACTTTTAAGTCCCGTTTATGTAGAAATGAAGCTAATTCTTCAGTTAATGATCCGGAATAGGTTAAAGTTCTATAATTTTGATAACTATTCTTGATGGTAGGATAAACTTCTTGAATAGCTTTATTATGAAGTTTTTCAAAAATAATACTGTCTATCAAATAAAAGTTGTATCCCTCGTTGACTGCAATCTGTTTTATGATATTGAAATCTTCATTGTGGTTTACTTCCGAAAGAGGGACATATACTTTTTCTGTATTATAGGTATACTACGATCACTAGACCTTTCGATGGAAAAATAACTAGAACAAAGGCCTTGGTGATGATTATATTCGTTTGGTTATATGCCACCCCATGGACGGTACTACCCTTACTAGAAATTTGGGGTAGATTTGTGCCTGGTAAGCCCATCAAATAATAATCAATAGTTACCAATTGATGAACTAATTTCACCAATAATATAAATATACACGCAGTAAAAGCTCTGGTTTTTCTGCATGAATAGTATAACTTTGTCCTAAAGTCGTACAGTTTCTTGTGCTGTCCAATAAGAAAAAATTAACAAAATGAAACATTTCGTAATATTGAAATATTCCAAATGCCAATTCTTTTTACAGAGGGTTACCTGACCACTTGCTCCTTCGACTATCTCACTAGGACTTTCGATAACAGATTGTTTGTCGCATCGATTTTCACGTTCTCTTACGTCCTACCTATGAGCCTCATCATCTACTTCTACAGCCAAATCGTCAGCAAAGTGTTCAGTCACGAGAAAGCGTTGAGAGAACAAGTAAGATATCTATTTGATACACGATTAGATCGATACTCACTGATTGTAGCGTAAAAAAATTCTTAGTTGATAAATATGACTTCATCAAGCCTTTAAGAGTATAATTCATCGTATGGCTAGTTGTGGTAAAAGTAAGCATTCATACCATATTTCGTGGCTATTTGGGAAAAAAAGTTAGCATTTAAACATCTTCTCTCGATAGTAGTGCATCAGTGAGAGTTGTGATACAGGTAAGGTCATTCTGAGTCAAAACCCGCTTTGGTTTACTACTGATGTGAAAATTATGTCAACATCGATTTTTCTCATTTACTCAAGTAATAGGCGGAAACACTGATGCGTGAATTCAATTTGAATGAGTATATAACTAAAACATAGTAGTAATAACATTTGAATACCGCACAATGCCGTGGAACATTTAAACATGGCGTTCGGTGGCTGTGTTGCCGACTCAGGAAATATCGAGTAAATATTTGTAAATTTTCGAATTGATCCAACTGTGGACTCTCGAGATGATTCGATATTAATTGATGTATTAAATGTGACCAATGTAGGTTTCACCCCCATTGCCAATTCTACATGATTACTAACCAAGGTCCGATAAGCAATGCCAAATTCAGATTTATACTCAATTATACGGTTTTACCAAGGTTAATACGATACTTATTGTCCGGTTCGGCTTTTAACGGTTGGTGTACCCATTTTTTAAAAATGAGACATTTATTGTGTTGCAGTCGTTCAGAGCTATGCGCGTATCTACAATACATATTTTTTGTTATTCTTTCAATTTTCTTGTGCTCACCTATAGCTACTATTATAAATACTTACTTACACCTTTAGTAGTTGACGTACCGACAGCAGCGCCACCTACCACGTCCACTTGTATTTGTATTTTTGAATCATCCAGGAAACCATCGAAATACCCGTATAAAATTTCAACCCAATCTGTTCAGCCGCTTAGAAGTTATGTGGAAATATGAGTACGGAAAGATAATTATTTCTACCCGTTTTTCCGTAGGAATGCAGCATTTTCTCGCGGTAAGCTTATGTTCATCAAGGATAATATCGGCTTCCAATGATGAAAGAATTTCTAAAATCGATCGATTAGTTTCGGAGCCTATTCAATATAAACAAACGAACAAATATTTCCTCCTCATAATATTAAGTATAGATAACTGAACGATTTAGGTATACTTGCTATTTCAATGAACCTCAAATTCTGATTATATTACTTATGAAAACTAGAACAAATGAGTTCGAAACTTTGTCTCGCTCTTCAAAAAATATTACTGAATCCAACACTTCAAGAATCTTATTAGGTTGGTCTTTGTAATCTTCGATGATACTGTTTGTGTTTCCTGACCCATAACAAGTTTGTTTTATTTATACCATTTACATGTTTTCCATAACATCCATATCGTATTATAGGTCTTATTTTGATTGTCTTTATTACCCCAAGAAATATTTCTGTTTATGATAGGAATACAAAAAAAAAATAATGATAAAGGGTTAACTATAATGAATTCCACTCAGTGGAAACGAATTAATATTGTGTCTTATAAGATTAAAGTTATATTTCATTCCTAAGTAATCAAATCATGCCACATATTTTTCTTTCAAATTGTCCTGAGCAAGTATTTTTAAGATTGATTTTAATCCTTCTTGCATCATGTATATTTTTCAACTCATTCGGTAATGAATTGTATAAAATTATTCCATTGTGAAAAACAGATTGTTTGCCAATGTTTGACTTGAATGTATTTGCTATCAAGTAATTCAATTGTCTAGTCCCATAATTATGGACTGTATTGACTTCATTGAAAGCTAAATTTGATATTTTCAACTTATTCCTGGCAAAATGAATATAACAACATATTTTAAGTTTATATAACGCAATCAGGTTCAGAAAATGTCTTGGTTTGTATAAATTTATCGTTGGTTCTAGAAAATGTAGATGACAAATGCACTTAGTCTGATGATGGCCGTTGTGCCGTAACCGGTCTCATTCTGATTGTAGTTTTTTGTTATGAAGTGTGGTCGACCGACTTGGAGTTTTTCTTCCATTCATGAGTTCGAAACTTTCTTGCTTAGTTTTCAACTCACTTAAATCTTGAGAGTTATAAATGTTCAAATATCCAAACAAGATAAAGAATCGGTTGAGACGGCAACACTGAATAGTAGATTATCGATTTTTCTCGACTAACAATTAACGATCAACGTGTAAAGGTATGTTCATGCATGTACGAATTCCGCAAAATTCATGCGAATAAAATGGCGACTGCGAATATCGCAATGAAGTTGGAATATTCGAACTTTTTTACGAATTCGGATGCAATCATAACCAGACAGGTATGCATAAAATGTGTTGTTATTTTGATAACATCAAAATTGGGGAATTTGGGGGCGAACAGAAGAGGCCATCAAAAGACAAGACGACTAGATACTATACTACAGGCAAGTACAGAACTATAATAAAAAATTTCATCATTCCTTCATTTGAATAAATTTTCTTCACAGGATGGATCTCTGGGTGAATTAATTTTGATGTATCATTTTTATCGTCTCTATAGAACTTATGATGTATCCAGAAGCAAAAAAAGGAGCTGTAGTGTTCGATAAATGCGACTGAAATGACCCTAATAAATATTTCAATTACTTTCGTGTAATGTGCCTTCAATTTGATGATTTTCTATCAATAGTGGGACTTGAAATGAAGAAATTATATATGACAATATAACCCGTATCTCCTGCAAATTTTGTCGCATGAGTATGAACGTCAAATCCTGTTGGGAATTTCATATTTTGCGATTCGCATAAATTTTGCGGAATTCGTACAAGCATGAACATACTTTTATACTCCTACTTGTGATGTCAGTACCGCAGGTTTTCGCAGGTGTTTTAACGGGAGCATTTTGTTGTGAATTTACTTCAGGAAATCTAGAACAAATGACCAATTTGAAAAAAATTGCTTCTTCTCATCGTAATGAATGATATAGTATTCTTACTAGAAATTTTTGTCTCCATCTATTCATGAGCAGAAGCAAAGATAATACATACACGTGGCATTATACTGAATAGATGCGCACAGCGCATTACCATCGCTCTGTTATATCCCAACTGAGCAATGCCAATTCTTACATTTACGGTGTCTACCTAGGGAATGTATTATATTTTGCTGAGGGCTAGGCTGAGGAAGAACTATGATCAATCGGTTGTTTCCAGGCGAAAAAAATGAACGTCGAATCGCTGCGCGCCAACCAGCAGCAGCAGGCCGAATCGGCCGAACTGCGCATAGCCAAGGCGGCGCTGACCGTCTGCTTCATGTTCGTGGCGTCGTGGACGCCGTACGCCGTCCTGGCGCTGATCGGCGCCTTCGGCGACCAATCGCTGTTGACGCCCGGCGTGTCGATGATACCGGCGGTCACGTGCAAGCTGGTCGCCTGCGTCGATCCCTTCATCTACGCTATCAGCCATCCGAGATACAGGTAAGAACATTCGGTCTTGTATATATGTCTGTTTTTCTTTGTCTATCAGTTTCTAAGTGTCTCTATCTGTATCTGACTGTCTCTATCAGTATCTGACTGTTCCTATCAGTATATCTGCCTGTCTCTATCACTATCTGACTATCTCTATCAGTATCTGACTGTCTCTATCCGTATTTGACTGTCACTATCGGTGTGCCTGTTTATTTGTCTCTATCAGTTCGTCTGTATGTTTGTTTCTACCAGTCTTTGATTGTCTTTATTAGTATGTCGCCCGCTTGGCGTGTCGATGACACCGGTGGTCACGTGCTTCGATCGCGTATGTCTGTTTTTTTTTGTCTTTCAGTTCCTAACTCTTTATATCTGTATTTGACTGTATCTATCAGTATCTGACTGTCTCTATCAGTATTTGACTGTCTATATTAGTATCTACTGTCGCTATCAGGATCTGACTGTCTCTATCAGTATCTGACTATCCATTATCAGTATCCAACTTTCCATTATCAGTATCTGACTGTCTCTATCAGTATTTGACTTTTTCTATCACGTTTTTACTGTCACTATCAGTATGTCTAAATATTGTCTCTGTAGTTAGGACAAATCAGATGATTTGCCTTAAAATGTCACTGCGTTTGAGGAATTTCCCTATCAGAGAGCCTAAAAGAAAAATTCACTAGCTTGTCAGCCCAAGTCTTTCCATAACTTGAGGTTCTTTATTTGTTCAAATATTCTACATCATTTTTTCCAATTTTTTATAGATAATGCAGGCCACAACCTTCAGGGCAATTCTGTAAAATTCTGGGATTTTTGACATTGACATCACGTTTGAGTGCCACCAACTGGTGAGACTACCCTCATTCTCAAGAGCCATACGTTGGTACCTACTTCACTGCGCCAACCTATTCAGAAATGGAGTAGATAGACACACGAAATAACGGTGAAGAAATATGCCTTGAGTAGTGGGGTAGGACACCAATGGGAATTACGTTCTTCAAACGTCCATCTTGAGTTAGTACTCTCTCTGGTGTACTACTGATATAAAAATTATGGAGAGAAAATCCCAACAAAATTTGGAATAATTAATGTACCTCCTCGATTAACCTACAGACAGTATTTGAAAACTATGGGTTTGGTTTTTCAGAAATGTATATTTGTGATAAAAATATGACATTTTTGAGATTGTTCATTTGGTAATCATATAAAGAAGAGAACATTCCTCTAAATATTTCTTCTTTACTACTCACTGTTTCCTACAGAGTTTCCAGTTTGGAGGGAAATTAGAGAAAAAAATAGATCTTTTAAAAAAATATTCTCATTTCGCAGGATTGAACTTCAAAATCGCCTTCCATGGTTGGCGATCAAAGAAGGGGATGCTACTTCGACCGCTACCGACGTGGCAACAACAGCAGAATCAGCTGCGATATCAACGTAAAATCAAAGGAAAAAATAGTTGTTTCACGATGTCCCATATGAGATTAATATTTTGATGATGATAGTCGCGAATGATCAAAACGTCTAATTCGAAATCCAAAAACAAAGATACAATGAGAACTTGAAATACGGGGTGTTATGGAAATGGTGTTTGGAGGGTGATTTCTTGTTATATTCCATGAAAAGAGTTCTATGACCAGATGTTCGAAAACGTTAGTATCCGAGAAATATCCGAGAGGCAAAGTCAGAATCTTTGTTTCAATAATATCAGAATAGCATTGATAATATTAAGCTTTTCGACCTATTGAAAAAATAGCACTCAATAACTTTTGCAATTATTCTATTTTTTTGGTGGACCAACTAGAAATGCATCATTTTTGGCTGTAGTGTTTTTAATATCTCGCTTGGTTCATGAAAAAACATTGGAAACCAAGCGTTTGCTCGTTGTGAGTTGTTACAATAATATCGCACCCTCGGAATTTGTTGTCATTTCATTGACACCATGTTTTTTGAGTTATCGCTTCAAATAAACGGGTAATGATCGGCTGAATTCAAATTCTTTTTTTCTGTGACGGGAAAAAAGTTTGAACTTTCACTTCTGTTGACAAGTTATAAAATGTCACTTTTCATAAATCGCTTCTTCCCCACGGGAAGAAAGTGAGTACTTTTTTCCCGGATATATAACAGATATGTACAGTGTGGATACTTCAACTGGAATGAATTCGTTAGCTTGAAGGTGAATATTTTTTCTGAAAATTCCCGACAGACATCAACGATTTAATGTATTCACCTACCTTTTGCAACCAATATCCAGAATATGTCGCTCCAAGGTTGGCTGAAACCACCCTCAACATTTTCAAATGGAACCATATGGATTTTAACCCCTAATTGGAGAGCTGGTGAAAAGAGGATTCCAGCGTACTCGTCAGATTTTAGTTTTTCATATGTAATAAGAGATGAAATTCCAAACTTCTTTCCCGTCACAGAAAAAACTTCATTTTTTTGTTTTGTACGAAAATGATATTCTAAAAAACAACAAGAAATCCCATTATGTTGAAAACTTGGAATGGAACTGTGAAACTAGACCTGGCTATACATATGGACTACGATTTTCACATCATCATTATAGGTGAATTATATATGCTTTAAGAAAAAAAATGATATCGATATGTTATTATTCTTCTAGATTTATATTCTTGATTTGTATATAGAATTTATTTTGTTATGTTATTTCGCAGCAATCACAATCGATATTCCGAACATTGAAAAAATACTCCTCTTTTTAATCATAAGAGGGGTGCAAAAATAAAAATAGAAATAAATCTTTGGTACACTGGGTGGGTTTTTATTCCTTCGCTGTATTGAATCCTATTTCTTCAATATCAGGTAAGTGCAAGGCTCTTCTATACTTATCCTTTAGTATAAACTGAATTCTTCGAGTATTTTTTTGTGGGATGTGAGGGAAATAAATTTACGTGGGAACGTCTACTGCAATTTTTAATTCAATATCAAATTGGACTTGTGAGAAAACATGGACAAAATTTATAGAGCATGCCCTGTAATTGAAATGACTTTTTGCCAATATTTGCTGAGGTCGACTTTTAAGGATAGAAGAAACGATGCCATGTACTATTGACTATAGTAGTTCATGAAATGACGGTAACTATAGGTAGTAAAAATACACTTCACGCCTTGAAAAAGAGTGAATAATAGTAGAAATATGCCTATACTTTGGCATATTTGTAAAATCCTTATCATGAACACATTTGACAGAAATTTCACTTAACGAGAGTTTCACGTCGAACTTAAGATGAGGATTTTGTTGCCTGGAAATTGAACGAAAAAAATTGTCCGTAGGACGAATAATTTTTTCTGGAAGTTTTTTTGAGCTAAAATTCCTGAGGCAACATAACTTGAGATTTGAATCTGGAGTTCACTTCGACAAAAAATCACCATCATCAAATAGTGATGAAAAGTTGGAGGTTACAAAAATATTAAAGAGATTACTTCGCAGAATTCATAATTTTGTTGCAATAATTCAATTATGAAGAGGTACTCATAGAAAGAAGTGCTATAATTTCATTATAATATTATTGCGTATATCATTGGAAATGCACCAGTTCACCTTTTGGAGAGAACCAACGTAGTACTGGTGAAGAGGAATTGAGAAAGAGGAATTGATTTCAAAACTACGTATTGAAATTGAAAATTTGAGAACGAAACTGAGGAAATCAAGTAAATTGCAATGTGATATATATCATTGCATTCCAATGTATCAGTGGAAAGTGAATGCAGCAAATTGTGAAAAATCAAAGCAATTTTCATGATTGAAACTTTATCACTAGGGTACAGTTTTACCATTTTCACATGCAATAAGGAACTAGCTATAAGTATATCCATAATATGTTTTTACTACTCACCGAGTAGAAAGTAGGCGTTTGCTACCTCATTTGAGGAAAAAAAAGTGGTCAATTCACTCCCACGGGAGGAAAATAATATTAACTCCCGTGGGAGGTCAAATGAATTGGATTCAGCATGCACCCTTTGGCGTCGATATACCTGGGAAATCTGTGCAATCCAAGTAAGATGTTGGCATATGAATGAGTGATTTCAGTCTACAAATAAGTTACAGAATGTTTTCATCATTTGATCTTGAATCTACCATTTTCATGTTCAGGTTTTCAGTAGAAAATACTATGTTCTATCTATATCAACTGAACAGAAAGCGATGCTATTGTCTCCGTTCAGAAGAATGCAAGCGGATTCCTTGATTTCTCTTTTTTGGTTGTTATCTTTCTTTCCTATGATTTTGATATTATTTCACTCTGCCATATGTTGTCCATCTTCAGTAAGGATATGTTCAGTTGGTGTCGCGTCAATTGGACGTGGAAAATTGGACGCACGACTATTGGTCGCAGTCAATTGGACGCGGTGACAATTGGACGCGGCGACAATTGGACGCGGCGACAATTAGACGCGGCGTTAATTAGACGCGGCGACAATTCGACGCGGCGACAATTGGACGCATGCGTAAATAAAAATAATTTTATAATTCCAATGAAATTCATTGTATAAAATATGAAATACTGATGGGCTTATATCCATAATTATAACAAATTCCTGACAGGTTAGGTTAGGTTAGGTATTTGTTATATTATAGATATGAGCCCTGCATATTCCATGCAATAAATTTCATTGGAATTATAAAATTATTTTTATTTTCGCATGCGCTAAATTGTCGCCGCGTCCAATTTTCGTCGCGTCCAATTGTCGCCGCGTCCAATTGTCGCCGCGTCCAATTATCCGCGTCCAATTTTCGTGCGTCCAATTGACCACGTCCAATTGTCGGTAATCCGTTCAGTTAGCTTGGATTTACCGATATGTCTTTTCTTGATATTGTACTTGTGTTCTTTAGTCCTTACTGAGAGAGGTATTTTCGTTTCACCTGTATAATACTTTCCACAATCACAAGGTATACTATAAATACAATTTTTTGATCATTGTTCTTCATTTTTTGGCTTTGTTTGAGATATAATGGAACTCATTGTGAATAATTTGTCTCACTACAAATATATTGAAATAAAACGCATATTTTTATTTAATAGGAACGAGGAGAGAAAATCCCAAAAAATCAAGTAAAATGAATGTACCACCTCCTACAGACAGTTTCCACCGTATTTTTCAGTATTGAAAAGGAATATTCTCAGATATATTTATGAACACAAACAAATGGATATAGATATATATAAAGAGATACATTGAGAATTCGCATTCTCCATGTGATGAAAATATCAATTCTTTCTAGGAACAGAAAACAACTACTTTCCTGGCTATATGCCACGACGAATATTAAATTACATCTATTGAACACACACGATAAGAATTTGAAAACAAAATCTTCTGAAGTAGAGAATTTGCAATCTCCTTCATATAAAGATATGCATATAATATAATTCTGAATATTCAACAGAAAACAACTACTTTCCTGGCTATTTGCCACGTCGAACATTGAATCATATCTGTTGAATATCCAAAAAAAAGACAGCATGAAAAATCAAAATCCTCAATCGCAGATTCGTGATAAGGTTTTTCTCAATTCAGAATTTCTTTCCACGTCCTGTATGATGAATGTCAATTTATCATACATTTAAAAAACGTATTTTTCAGACTGTATGGTTTCCATGGTAGTTTCACCAAGTGATTTCCACGGTTACCAAGGAAACCACCCAATTTCACTGTTTGTCATGTGGACACAGCCTGACATTAACCTGACAATAATATAACCGATTGATCGAAAGTTCGAAGAGACTGACGAAGAAAAATGGACTTGAACAAGGGACCAAGCCAACCCAGACTTTCAGCATCGAGTGCCGGAACCAGCGGCACCTCATCCGGGAAAAGCCACGTGGAGAAGGCCAGTTTGGAAAGTTTAGGCGATGGGGATGCAAAGAAGCTCGTTTGCCCTCCACCAACCAAATACAAAAGGTGAGCCAAAATCAAACACATACAATCGGGTGTTTTTGGTGAGTTCATAAAGAAAATACAAGAGGCTACTGAGCTGAAAGATAGATAGATCCCAGCGAGCACAAACATCCCTGGGATGTTTTGGGATGTTTCGAAAATGTTGGAATGAAGATGTTATTTTGAGACGTAATATGCACTGACCAAAGAGGTCTTTGAAGGATATGGAAGTATTGTTTTTGTTCTTCTGTGGCATTTCTTTGTTTGCCTACTAAGAGGGATCCCTGGGATGTTTTGGGATGTTTTAGAAATGTAGGCATGAGGATGTTTATTTGAGGCGTAATATGCACTTCCCAAAGAGGTCTTAGAAGGATATTGAAAGTATTGTTTTTGTTCTTTTGTGCCCTTTCTTTGTTTGCCCCACCACAACGTCTCATGCTTACGTCACAATACGATGAATTCTGATTTGTTTTCGATTTTGTTCTTCTTGTTCGCAATTGGCATTCGCGTTTGCAGCGTGTCACGCGCTTACATCAAGCTGCTAACGCACAGAAAGGAATTTGGTGAAGTTTATTGTGTTAGAAGACTTATTTAGTTTGTAATAATGACCATCAGATGCAAGATGTGTTGTTCGGTGCCTCAGTGTAATCAATATATAAAAGTACGAATTCATCATGCCTTCCGTCACTGCTTGTCATAATGTCCGTACTCTTATTACATCAAAAGTGTCAAATACATACAGGGACTCTACTTACTTATTTATATCTCATAGTTAGACAGCGCAGATGAGCACAGTTGCCAAGTTACCAACGGACATTTACCGAATGTTTGTTCACATTATGGCACGTGGTTAGGTTTCGTCGGTAATAGATATAATGAAATTATACAAGTTTTACCATACTATACCATGGTATAGAAATGTGCATTTTTATGAAAGGTGAACTTTTGAACTTTTTCTTGAAATATCTCGGTAAATAGTGGTTTGTTCACATTTTAATTATCGAATTCGTGTTTTTCAGACAAAAATACGTACTTATTACCAAAACAAATTTTCGAAAAAAAACCCCATCGCATGATGAGTACAGTTTTACCAGAACTTCTTTCCCGTCACAGAAAAAACACATTTGAATGCTGAAAGGAATCCCTTGAGGTCACAACACACTGTGAAAAAATTCAATAATCTGTTGAAAAATATATATTTTGATCTTTTCCATTCTTTGATATGCTATGGTACGGTTTTATGGGGTAACTCAGTTATCTAAAAATATTCAAACAATAGAAACGAGCAATAAGCATATTGACTGGACTGGAGCTGAATAAAGGAACATTGTCAACCACTATTCAGAAAGTTAGGGATTCTACCCCTTCCTTGTATCTATATCCTACATAATACAACAGAAATTCATTCCAAGAGAATGAGTATCCCAAAAATGTCTAGCCAACATCATCACAATACACGTCCGCTACTGCTGACGGTTGGTTTACTTGTGCCACGTTACAGATTGGTAAAATCTGAAAAGAACTCCTCGAACTTCAGAATTTATAATGAATTACCTAGGCAAATTGAATCTATGAATGAGAAATGTTTCCAAATGAATGTGACAAAATAATTCTCAATCATTGTTTTCGCATTGTTTCTATTCTGTTGATGAATATACCTATATTCAAACATCTCTTTTTTGACTGTCATTCACTTTCCTTGATGCAATCTTGCTTTGATTTTAGTAACTATACATATTGTGTTTGTGCTACATGTCTATAACTATGTTTTATACATTTATTTATATTCATATATCTTTATATTTGTTATGTTACACTGACTTGCTATAAACCATATTCTGTATGTGTCACATAGCCAATAAAACTATCGTTCTATCCCAGCGAGCACAAAAACATCTCAGAGATGTTAAAAGTACGAGACTTCGAGACATTGAACCTCCACTGCGATGTTCTGTTCACACATGAATAGAACTATTATAGAACAGCCAATGTCCGCCGCAGGCGGCAATTATCGAGATGTCCTTGATATGTCACAAAACTACCTTCTCCCTAGTTCTTTTTAAAGCCTTTTCATGGACACAACAGAACATTTTCAACGCGTCTTGCGCACATTAAATCGCTGTAAAAAAACATTTTCGAGGTACTTTTCTGAAGCATTTTGTCAAAATGAACTTTTGCATTAGGATTCCATTTTCCTTGAATGAAAAAATGCATTAAAAATAGATTGAACATAAAAATATTTTCTTGATATGAAATTACCTTCTTAATCGGTTTCTGAGTAGTGCTTACTACACACAGACATATAATTGGAGATAGGTTTTCCAATTTTTGGAATGTTCTCCACAATGCATAATTTTGCAACTGCAAATATATACAAGGAATTATACATACAGGGACTCTATAAGTAAGCAATGAACTCAATTTAAACAATAATAGGTTATAATCGATATTCTAGTGGAAAAATCTGATTTCCACATGGTTCATTGACAGATACATTTCTGAAATTCTGTCAAAATTCACAGATTCTATAGATTTTTCGAACTCCGAAATCATTTCCACCATAATTTGTTAGACAATAATAGGTTCAGGTGCTTTTCAAATCGAAAAATGTCTTATAGGGGTTACCTATATGGCTAAATAAGATGTAAAACCGTGGATGGGGAAAAAAAGCCGTAGCTGGGAAATCTGGCAACGCCGCACGCGATTTTGCCCCTATCCCACTTTCGACATTCTACGCGTCACGAATAAAAAGCACATCGTTCAATAGACATTTTGATGCTCTCTCCAGATATGGCAAAAAAAATCAGAAATTCAAATGTATAGGGTGTTGTTTTTGGGCTGGAAAAAATTGTGAATTCAAAGTGAAGCCGGTCCTGGATTCAATCTCTTGTTGATGCCTCAATCAATTAGGATAGATTGAGTAAGTGGACCAATTTTAGAAAACCGTTCAATTGTAAAGTTATGAGACAATGTAGATATTGTCAAAATTGATTAAACATCCCGTATCTCGGTTATAAGATGTCGAAGACCCATTAACCATGGGTTTTTTGAAATCACCTCAGTGACCTCTATCCACAGTTGAATTTTTTACCGATCCCAATGGAACACCCTGTATATATCAGACGTATCTCAAAACATGGCTAAATGGCGGCTAAGACGGCACGTTTGAAATAAGCTTTGGAATCGAATAATTCCAAACAACGCAAATAGACACATTATTTACAATAAAAACGCGTAAGAAGTACTGTTAAACATAATTCAGGTCCGTATCGACATAGTGGAGTAATTGAATGACAATTATTCACTACGAGTTCACTAGCCTATTGCAATTCTACGCAAATTTTCCAATGATTCATTAATTTTTTCAGAGATCCTGGTATCATAGCTTTCCATATTCCCCACAAGAAACTACTGGAGAAGATTGAGTACAAGAAAGTACAACCAGAACCACTGGTGCGTACCTATTTTTCGATTCGAATGGCATGTTATCATCTGCCCTGCTTTTTAGAGTGGTCTAGCAAACCTTCAAGAAAGTCTTATTCATAATCGAAATTACATCACCCTAATGGAAGAAAGGCAATCGATCGCATCTAATATCAGCATCACCACAACCAGGAGCGAAAAACGAAAAAGTAAATTTTTCCCAACTCCAACTTCAACGTTCAATTACATTTTTAACTAGTAGATATTTTTTCTGATTTGAGTGAAATTATTAATTATTTTCATCTTGACCAAAGGCTATGATTTATTTCAGTTCCTACTGTCGTCTTCAAAGATCAGAAGAAGAAAAAGACGGTAGCTGCCTTGATGAACCAAACCGAATGGATACAAAAAATGAGAAACACCACCGATGGTACCTTCGTTTATATGACTTATGCAGTACCCAAAGCTTCAGAATTGTTCAACCCCTATTCCTTAAGGTAAATGGTGATTTAATCATTGATTTCAGCTTAATTTGAAGATAACTCATATCACATCGATAGCAGGCATCTAAGGTATCTTCTCTCCATTCGTCGATTAACCCTCAACGTGACAAGAAAACCTCACTGCAGCATTCTCCAACGATATGAAGCCGTGGAATGTCGTCGGTTCTTCTTTCCACAGCTGCCAATTGGCAACGCTGCTATAGTCAAAGCTGCTTGAAGATGCCAGAAAGTGCTGGAATAATGACCTGCAAAGAGGCTTACAAAGGTCGTGTGAATCTTCGATTAGCTGCCAAAAAACTCTTCCAGAGAGTCCAGTTCTTGGAAGTACTAAGTGTTGCTGAAATATTTGACTTGGTTACCTTGGATATTTCCAGCTACGACTATGTTTTGAAGAGCATCAGACCGGTTAGGAAGAACAAAGACCTGGTCCTCACAGAAATTCTCACCGGCATTGGGATCATTATCGAAATAACTCTCAGCCACGCTTTGGAGGAATCGTGCCAGTTGCAAAAGTGCCAGAATATCTTCACCAGTTCCAGAGAAACTCAATTGTTCTTTTTTTTTGCCTGTGAATGATCTAATTGTATGACTTCGAGATGCTCAGGGTAGAAGAGGGCGTTCTTTCATTGCCAAGAACGAGAATCGAGTAAACCAGTATCTTTCAAAAGTGAAAACCATGCAAGATAGAACGTATCCACCCAACAGAATATTAAAATCGACTTGAAAGTCTGACAGCTCCAGTTTTCTCGGGGTCCCATCTTCCCTGATCTTGGAGTGAGTGGTCAGAGTTTCTACGGCCACTTCCCCCCATTTGTCGATGAACCCTCCACGTGACAATTTGTCCAATATGCTCCTGAACATCGGAGTGAACGGAGACTTCTTCCGCAATGGGTAGTCCAAGAAAAACTTATTGGGGCATTCTTCAACGACATGCAGCAAATGAATGCCATTAGAATCGGTGAAGCAATTCTTGATGAAGAAATCCGCGTCGGTTCTTCTTTCCACAGCTGCCAATTGGCAACGCTGCTGTTGACTATAGCTGCTTGAAGATGCCAGAAAGTGCTGAAATCATGACCTGCAAAGAGGCTTACAAAGGTTGTGTGAATGTTCAAACTGCTGCCAAGAAAATCTTTTAGAGAGGTTAGTTCTTGGAAGTACTAAGTGTTGCTGATATATTTGACAAGTTTACCTTGGAAATTTCTAGCTACGACTATGTTTAAACAGTATCAGACCGGTAAGGAAGAAAAAAGACCTGGTCCTCACAGGAATCCTCATCGGCATTGAGATCATTATCGGAATAACTCTCAGCCATGCTTTGGAGGAATCGTGCCAGTTGCAAAAGTGCCAGAATATCTTCAGCAGTTCCAGAGAATTTCAATTGTTCTTTTTTTAATTTGCCCAATGAATGATCTAATTGTATGACTTCGAGATGCTCAGGGTAGAAAAGGTCGCTTTTTATTTGCCAAGAACGAGAGTCGAGTGAACCAATATCTTTCAAAAGTAAAAACCACGCAAGATAGAACGTATCCACCCAACAGAATATTAAAAGCGACTTGAAAGTCTGACAACTCCAGTTTCCTCTGGGTCCCATCTTCCCCGATCTTGGAGTGAGTCGTCAGCGATTCTAAGGCCACTTCCCCCCATTTGTCGATGAACCCTCCACGTGACAATTTGTCCAATACGCTCTTGAACATCGGAGTGAACGGAGACCTCTTCCGCAATGGATAGCCCAAGAAAAATTTACTGGGACATTCTCCAACGAGATGCAGCAAAGGAATGCCGTTAGAATCGGTGAAGCAATTCTTGATGAAGAATTCCGCGTCGGTTCTTCTTTCCACAGCTGCCATGTTTCTCGAAATGGCTGCCTGCATCATAGAAGAGCTATTGGCAACGCTGCTATCGACTATGGCGGCTTGAAGATGCCGGAAAATGCTGGAATTTTGACCTGCGAAGAGGCTTAGAAAAGTTGTATGAACCTTCAAACCGCTGTTTAGAAAATCTTCTAAGGAGTTCAGTTCTTGGTAATACTCGGTGTTGCTGAAGGATTTGATTAGGTTGCCTTGGAAAATTCCGGTAACGACTATGTTGAACAGCATCAGAGCGGTTAGAAAGAAGAAAGACCTGGTCCTCACACGGATTCTAACTGGCGTAGAAATAATTATCGAGAAAACTTCCAGCCATGCTCTGGAGGAATCGTGCCTGTTTCTAACAACAACCAGTTTCTTGTACAAGTACCAGAACAAGATACACACCAAGCTGGTGATCAGTATGCAAGCTTGGACTTCTATCTTGAAGCATTCGAATATTGCCATCCAATGTGGTACTCTCGAGGATTTAGGGACCACTATGCATATCTCATCGTTGGCTATGGGATTTGTATACTCTATCTCATCGTAGTGGGGCACATAACTGAATCTGCTATTTGCTGCCCATTCCACTTCTTTTCTCATCAGTTTTCCCAGGCTGCCCGTGACAGTGCCATTGTCTAGGACATTGCCAAAGTAGACCTTGTCCTTGTCGATTTCGATCGTGAAGTTCATGAACTTTGAGAGGGTTTTGAGCACTGCCGCGTCCAAGCCGTACATGCCTTTGGGTTTTTTCTGGATGGCCTCGTCGGGACTGCGAAAAATTCACAGGGTTATTTTTCTGTGGATGTTTCCGAGGCGCTCAGATAACATCAGAGTGGGATACTGCACTTTCCCTACGACTATCACATACTTAGGTACCCGGGTGTCCACGTGGTGTGGAAAAGCTCTATAGCTTGAATTTAGTGTAATAAGAGATAGACACAATCTTTTTGGGAGTATTTAACTATATCTTGAGGTCTACAAATCAAAATTGGATTTTTCTAATGGAATACCCTGTATTTCATTGCATTTTTAGATTCTCTCTGAAGAGCTGATTATCAATATATTACACTTGGGGTCTAGCGGGCATGATTACAGAAATATATAGGGTGTTCAAAATAGAGAATTTTTTACTTTCCTAAAACGGCTCTCATGTCCCTATCCTAACTTTCGATTTACTATCAATTGCCATCCGATTTAAACAGATACAGGGTGATCATAATTATGATTTCTGAATCTTAAACCACCATCTCTCTCTCTCTCTCTCTCTCTAACACATGCCATTAATATAAATTTTTCGAATAAGTGCGATACACCTTTGATTTAAGGAGATCAAAACATCTCAAAATCCATAATAAAAAATCTTGGGCCGTATTTTGAAAAAACAAAGCTGATGATGGCAGCTCAAAGACGAAACGTCGGTTTGTAAATATGAAAACACCATCTTGTAGAACAAACTAAGTAGCAATGAGAATGTGTGATTTGTTTTGTTACATCTATTCAAATAGAGTCATGAAAAAATGAAAATAAAATCGCGAATATTCGTTTTTTTTAAATCTTTGGAAGTATTCGGATATTTTCAAATTTCAAAACATTTTGTTAGTAATGAAATTGTGCAACTTCACCATGATTCAAACGACCCTGTATATCTTATCTCCCAATGATGAGGCTCGAATTCCACCCACCCTGTCCATTTGTTTTCAATCATTTTTGATGCAAATATTCGACAATGAAACTTCAGTTGATATCATGGTATGAAAAAATACTCTCCAATCCTAGTCCATAAAGTGTTTGCCTAGCAACTCTTTTGGTTGCCTCACATCACATGATTGCTAATCTTACTGCTGGTGACACAAAAGTCACAATATAAAGGTTTTCCAATTTTGATTCCTATAAGACGAGATACTATCCTCGCAGTACAAATGTATTATCTTTTACCCATATCACTCATATCAATAACTTTTTCACTCGCAATTCATAAAAAAAATTTATTGCCTAGGCTGTAAAGACGAACTTTTATTGCCTAGGCAGTAAAGACATGCTTTTATTGCCTAGTCAGTAAAGACGAACTTTTATTGCCTAGGCAGTAAAGACATGCTTTTATTGCCTAGTCAGTAAAGACGGGCTTTTATTGCCTAGGCAGTAAAGAACAAATTCTGTTGCCTAGATAGTAAAGACCAGCTTTTATCGCCAAGGCATTAAAGACGACTTTTTATCGCCTAGACAGTTAAAAGTAGCACTTTGGTATGGAAGATATAAATTACCATGGATTCTTCTGCAGCTTATTCAGCAATAAAGTGGGTATCCTCTCGAACAAAGACACCTTCAGAGGCATTCGGTTCATATTCCTCAGTTTATTGGTCACCGTATATTTTTCAGCCAAAATTCGTTCGGCTCGTTTCACTTTAACCGCCCCCCATTTTCTATCAGCGACTTTGGTGAACGGATCGTAAGTGTAATAATGATCCGAGTGGCAGGTACAGGGTGTGTTCGCTACGACGTTCAATACGCTGTGCGTTTCCCAAAGGTGAGCCAACAACTCGGCAGTTTTTTCTCGGAAACCTTCACAGTCGTTCGTTTGTTCGTACATGAAGAAAATTAGGTATAGGCCTCGGGATTTTGGTAATGCCAGGTTTGGGTCCGTGAGGAAGTTGAGGAAAAGTTGTTCGTCCCAAGCCAGGTAGAGGTATAGATCTCTGGGGTCTGAAAATAGATGCATTTTTTCGAAGTTCTCCTTGAAAGAAGCAGCTGTGATTTTTTCTTGGTTGTCGCTTTGTATCGTCACTCTGGAGCTTGTAGTTTGTTCGATGGTTTGGTGCTTCAATACGAACTTTTCTGTACTTATAAGCTTGTGTCTTGGGACATTTCTTATGAGAGTCGTGACTAGATCATTAGCCCCATTATTTGGGCTGTTTTGTAGCTGCAAAATTCGTATATTGATATTATTCGAATACATCAGATACGTTTCGAGTACCTCATTATCAATATGACAAGTACTCCTATCCATGTTTATGTTGAACTTGCTGAATACCTGGCCATTTTCTGAATGAAATATGAATAAAGTTAGCAGATACAAACGCATGATACGAGTTTGTTTTTGAAACTGTACGAAAAGTAATCGTAGACTGTGATTAAGTGAGTCTACACACACTAGCACGGTGTTGAAAAAATAGACGCTCTGAATATATTTATTTTGTCATTATGTCCCTTCTAATCATTCCGATAATCATTCTAGAGCTCTCAAGACTATTCGAGAGTCTTTGAGAATTACTGTGTTTCGGTGCTGTTAAAGACATGGTAAATATTTGTTTGGAACTTACATGATGGGTGGATAATTCGAAATTAAAATAACAGAGGAGTAGACGTCTGAAACTATTGAAAAAGTAAGCAAACAATGAAGTGGTGCAAAAACTAAAATAGGCCAGCCATTTAGTCGAAAAACAAGAAACTGAAAAGATACTGTTTCATAGTCTCATTTCTGGAAACTTCAGGAATTGTAGCAAATCTGAGAGTTTTGGATTGATTTGACATCGTTCATGAGGAAGAGAACAATAAGTAGAAAGTTTTTGCCGAATCATGTATTTGTGATATTGGCTAGCAACTGAGGCAAGGATATCTACAGGGTGTTTTCAAAATTGGGGCGATCAATGAAATGGATGATAAGAGACGAACAAACAAAACGAAAAAAAATTAATTTGGGAGATATTGAGCCTGAAATTTTTGTAAATCATTGATCAGAGCTTAATTGCACAACCCAAGCATTTACTTTCGGCGAGATCACAAGCACCAGAAGTATCAATGACTTTTGCAATGTTGCCACACGTTCAATAACAGTTGAAAGATATAGTTAAGATGTGAGCCCACATTTTATGAAACATTTTTGAAACAAAATCATAGAACATCATTCCGAGTATTCAAATGAGAATAAATTACTCCGTTTATAGTGTCTAAGTAAATATATTGTTGCATATTGACTTAGAATCTTGTTTCATCATCAATATGTTTCAAATCATAAGGTAATGAATTTTATAAAATTATTCCGTTGTAGAATACTGTTATTTGTTTGCCAATAATGGAGTTATATGGGTTTGCTATTAATGACTGCAATTGTCTCGTTTCAGGAGTATGAATTGTATCTACTTCAGTTATTAAGTTCTAGTTGAATATTTAAATTTTTTTCTCACAAAATGAATAAAAGAAAAATTTTCATTTTATATAAAGATGATAGATTTAATTAACAGATTCTTTGGTTTGTAAATATTGATAGTTGGTTCCAGGTAATGTAAATTCTGAATGCACTCAATTGTTTCATTTTGTAATTTCATTAATAATGGTTTCAAATGTGATATACTTGAGCTTCCCCAGATTGATATTGAATATTGTAATTTTGAGTAAATCAGACAAAAATATACAGGGTGTTTCTTATTAAGTACGTGTAGAAAATTCAGGAGCATGTTGCTGACTTCAAAATAAAAAGAAGAGTTCGTATAAATATATGTCCGAAAGTTATTCGTTTCTGAGATACAGAGTGTCAAAGTCAGCGTAAGCGTAATATATCAATCAACGCTGTATCACATTTTATAGTAGAAAAATATATTTCTAGAACACTTTTGTGTGAAAAATATATTCTTGGTAGAGGTCGCTGCGAGCATCTGTTTTCGAGTTATTGGGATTTGAAATAATCAATGCAAGTGATTTGGAATGACAAAAAGTTGGAATTCAAAATTGATTTATTAAACAAGGGAAACTATTTTTCTTTAATTTCATTTTGAAACAGGAATAGGGTGTTATTACAATCAAATAATAATAATAATAAAAACAACAGTAACTAAGACTCAATTTTTACTAAAACAGCAAGTTGAGGGAATTGATTAAAGTAATTTTTCAAAGTGACCATATTGTCATTGAAAAATTTACTTAGAAAACCAAACTTTATTCGAATATCACAATTATTTTGAAATTCATCAACAGAAAACCAGAATTAGAATTCAACTTTGACACTCTGTATCTCTGAAACGAATAAACTTTCGGACATATATTTATTCGAACTTTTCTTCTTATTTTGACATCAGCAACATGCTCCTGAATTTTCTACACGTACTTAAGAAACACCCTGTATATTCTTCAAATATCTAAGAGTAATGACATTTCGAATTTTGTATAAAATGCAAGTAATCAGATGTAGTTTTTTTTAGGTGATCTATATGTTTAGCCCACGATAATTGTTCATCAATATAAAGACCCAAGAATTTTGTAACATCTAAATATTTGATGGCTTTCTGTTCGAAAAAAATTGTTGTTTTCGATATCACAGTTTTTCTTTTTGAAATATACATACATATACGTAGATTTGTCATAGTTATAAGAGTCAGCTTATGAATTGGTAGCCAAGATTCCATTTTCAAGTCAATTTTTATATCATCAATTATATCATTAAATCAAATATCAATCACAAATTTTATGAAAATTGTGTGGATATGACTTTGGGCATTTTGTATTTATTTAACAATTCATTATTCCTGCTTCATATCAATGATCTGTTGGGAGTAACAACTTGCCCCATCCACAGCTTTGCAGATGATAGTACCCTCCATACTGCGGTCTCTTCCAGAATTCCCATTTCTTCCCAGGAAACTAAGAACTCACGGCGCAGGCAGGTCAATGCTGTCAATGAAGATCTTGCTGAAATCACAGCCTGGGGAACAAACAACCTAGTTGAATTCAACGCCACCAAAACTCAAGCCTGCATTTTCTCTAAAAAGGCAGAACAGTATGCCCGATATTGTAATGGGCTCCACCATCCCCACCAAGCCCACCATATCTATGCTCGGTATTTCCTTGAGCAACACTCTTTCATGGGATAATCATGTCAGATCCATCGCAAAAGCTGCTTCACAAAAACTCGGATTCTTGTTCCGTGCGAAAAGCTACTTTACACCTCAACAGCTTCTCATGATCTACAAAGCGCAGATACGGCCTGTTCTAGAATACTGTTCCCACATATGGGGTTCAGCACCAAAACATACGCTGATGCTCTTAGATTCCATCCAGAGAAGAGCAATTCGCCTGGAGGGTGACGCCACACTCACTCACTCTTTGACATCATTGGAACACCGTAGAAAGGTCGGCGACCTTTCACTTTTCTATCGATACCTCCACGGGAAATGTTCTTCGGAAATCTCTGCTATCATCCCTTCACCAGCAATACCAATCAGACGAACTAGACAAGCCCAGTCAGCACATCCTTTCGTTGTCAACCTCGAAAGATGTCGAACAGCACTTTATCAAGACTCCTCCTCCTAGAACGGCTAGGCTCTGGAATTCATTGCCTGTGGAAGTATTCCCAACAACATATAATCTCCAAAAGTTCAAAAAAAATTCCAATACCTACCTCCTGTCCCTATCCTTCCTAGGAACGCACGATGTTCTTTGAACATTATAGGGATTCCCTTTCGTGCGTTCCAAGCGATAAAAAAAATTCCACTTTGAGTTGTTCGTAGTTGATATCACGTCAGTCGGGCAACCAGCCACTCCCGTATGAGAATTTCAGTTTTGGAGTGTTTCCTTCCTGCTTTTCTACTCAGATGGCATTGCAGATGGCATTGCTTTCATATTTATAATGCCGACAGGATTTTTGTTTGGCTAGGCTACGCTTAGTCGGCGGTCTTAGGACTGCTGGCTGGAGACTGCCCTGCACTGATGAGAGTCAAAGAGCTCGAAACCGGTCTGTAGGTGTCAAGCGTGGCCTGGCTAAATCGAAATCAATAGGCATTCAGGAAAGATTCACTTGTATCAGTATTCGTTTATACGAGTCGATGCATAGATTTCGGGAGGAAAGTAGTTGTTTTTCTCCCGAAATCTACCATTGTTGTTCATTTTATGAATACTGGGTGGATATGACTTTGAGCTTTTTGTATTTATTCAACATTTCTTTTCACTTTGAGCGTTGTGGCTACTTATTTCGTAGTTGCAATTTTCATTTAGGTCATTTTTTGTTGTGTCCTTCAGCAGATAAAATGTATATCCGTTGTCTACTTATGGTATAATGTTTTTATTGCAGTGTGGTACCTTACAAACAAGTGGACAAATCGAATTTCTTCACGATGAGTGCCAAAGGAGTCATGCAACACATCGGCAGCGAAATAACATTCACCAGCCTCGATAAATGGGAAGAAGAATACAAAATGTACTGTCGCCTGATGGACATCAGGCTGTTCTTCTGTTTCAGAAAATGGAAGGGTTTTTACGTGTGGAGGACGAACATCCTTTGCAAAAAGAGAAATTTGGCTAAGAAGCACCTGGAAGAGAACATGCTGATTCTGAATCCGATTTTGAGAAAAGGCCTCTTGGACATTCAAGACATGTGCTTCAAAATGACCGATGTCACATTCACTGATGTCAGCGTGATCGAAGACATATGGCTGTTTTATTTCATAGAAAGACAGATGGAAAAACTAGATGTAATCAATGCTAAAATCGAGGAGTATCACACTGTCGCCAAAGAAGTAGTAGGCAATGCTTGCTACGGAGCTCTTCTGGCCAAAGGCTTTGTAGTAGATGAGAGAATAGTCGACGAAACAAAAGAAAAGCGAGGACGAAAAACTCAAAAAATATCCTACATCGAACAAGCAGCCAAAAAGAAGTTTTGCGAACGCTTAGCCAGCTTCATCATCCTGGTCGACTACATAACTATAAATATGTTGCACCGTCTAATAACCAACTCTGTCATCGAACTGAACGCTGTCTTCGAAAAACATTCCTCGTTTATACCTACCGAAGTGCAATTGACAACTCACGAACCGTTGAAAATAGAGGTAGTAAGGCCAGAAGAATCCCCACAGCTGCCTTTGTTCATAGCGTACGTTGTTTTAGAACCTCAACAGATCCTCGTAGACCCATCATTGAAAGTAACCAGGGACATCTTCCAACAAATGTTCGACTTGTGGGAGGAACAAACGAAGAAGGCCAAATCATTCGTCACCGACCCGTATTATTCAGCTTTCACCACTCCCATCATCAACGAGAAAGTTGAAGACAGGATATGCGGTTGGGGACCGACCATAGAATTTTACTTACAAAAAGATGAAGAGCTGGCAGAGCTGAAGAGTCAAGCTATGAGCTACTTGGAGGCGAATTACAAAGCGGCCGGCATCTATATCGAAAGATTCTTACCCATACAAGTTTTGTATGCGGAAGATATCGAGGTTTCAGAAAAAGACATAACGGAAGAGAGACATTTGGAAAGATTCAGGAATCTGTGCATGCGGTACATCGCAGAAATCAAAACCATCAAAGGTATTTGCGATACTCAAGACATGGGAATCTTGAATTTGCAGCTGTCTGATCTGAAGAAAACGTGCGAACCAGAACCCACTAAATTACTCAGCATAGTCGAGCACACTCTGCCTTGGATAGGCAAAACGAAAGTGGATGGTCTGATGGCGGAAGTCGAGGAAATACAAACCTACCTCCTACAAGAACCACTCGCCACCGTAGACTTCGTAAAGTACCTGGAATACATAGAAGAATGCACTACCAGAGTGGACAAGATGGAACTAGAACTGGACTATTGCAAAGAGCTCTACGACATCGTCGAGGAATTCGCCATTTCGGTAGCTCAAGAAGAACTCCAGAATTATCTAGGCTTGAGCGTGACCTTGGGCAACCTGAGGAACATGGTGGACAAGAAGATCGAAGAGACCGGCAAAATAACCAAACAGTTCAGCGACCAGATGAACAAGGACATCAGCGCTTTGATATCCGAAGTCGGTACCATCAAGGACGAATGCACGCAGCCGTGGCTGTACGACATAGGCTCGAATATAGCCGAAGTGTTGGAATGCTTGAATGATTTGCACGACCGACTGGTCAACTGCCAGAATCGAGCTGGCGAATTCAAGAATTACCAGAAACAGTTTAGGTTGGAAGTGACGAGGTTCGACGTGTTGGATGAAGTGATGAACGATGTCAAACTGCGCATGTTGCTTTGGGACAGCGTCGAATCGTGGGCGAAAACAGTCGACGAATGGTACCACTCCCCTTTCTCTACTCTCAATACGGAAGACATGAACCTATTCACCGCCAAAAATATGAAGTACATCAATCAGCTGGATAAAGGTCTGCCTCCCAATTTAATAGTGCCCAAGCTCAGGGACGAAGTAGAACTCATGAAAGATAAGCTGCCCATCATAACCTACCTGAGGAATCCTTCAATGAGACAGAGACACTGGATCAAAGTGGAAAACCTTCTCAACCACAAGTTCAAAGCCGACGAAGTCCTAACCTTGGAAATGTTAGAGAACTTGAACGTGTTCAGTTACCCATCTGAACTGATGGAGATATCAGGACAAGCTAGCAGCGAAGCCGGTCTGGAAGCATTGCTGAAAAAGGTCGAGGAATCCTGGAAATCACTAGAATTCATCGTGATACCACACAAAGACGCTAAAGACGTCTTCATCCTCGGCAGCTTGGAAGATGTCCAAGCTGTATTGGACGAAAGCAACATCAACATAACGACAATAGCGAGTTCTAGGCACGTCGGACCAATCAAGCCACGTGTAGAAGAATGGATTAGGAATCTAGATTTGTTCTCCACAACCTTGGACGAATGGATGACGTGCCAGCAGAGCTGGATCTACTTGGAAGTCATCTTCTCCGCTCCCGACATCCAAAGACAGCTACCTAACGAAGCTAAACTGTTCATCGTAGTCGACAAGTCTTGGAAGGGTATCATGAGGCGAACAGCCAAGATGCCTCTAGCTATGGAGGCCGCATTGCAGCCAGGGCTCTTGGAAACCTTGCAAAAAAACAACGCCCTCTTGGAGCAGATAATGAAATGTCTGGAATCGTACCTGGAAACGAAGCGAGTCGCCTTCCCTCGCTTCTACTTCCTCTCCAACGACGAACTGCTCGATATTCTAGCGCAAACTAGGAACCCTCATGCCGTGCAACCTCATCTGAGAAAGTGCTTCGACGCCATTGCCAAACTGGAGTTCGGGGTGAAAGCTCCCGAGGAGAATGAGGGCAAGTCCAGCTCGAACATGAGGGGAGTTTCCAGCGTGACTGTCTTGACAACGGACATCATAGCGATGATCAGCCCTGAAGGTGAGAGAGTGCCGCTAGGGAAAGGGCTGAAAGCTCGCGGCAACGTGGAAGACTGGCTGGGCAAAGTCGAGGAATCGATGTTCCTCTCGCTGAGGAGATTGATGAAGCAGTCCTTGAATCACTACATGCAGCACGCCAGGACCGAGTGGGTGGTATGTCACGCAAATCAAATAATTCTGGCAGTGTCCCAGATAATGTGGGCCAGGGGTGTACACGCCATTATGGACTGCAATACCGGCAACAAATACAAGAAGTTGCAGGAGTTCGAGAAAGCTTGTATAGGAGATCTGAACGATTTGGCTGCTTTGATCAGGACCGATTTGTCTTCAGTCACCAGGAAGATCCTCATCGCTTTGATAACCATCGATGTCCATGCCAGAGACACCATCCATAATTTGGTGAAGAACAAAATCACCGACAGCGCCAGCTTCGAATGGCTGAAGGTGCTAAGATATTATTGGGACGACAACATCGACGATTGCTTAGCCAGGATGTCCAGCGCCACCTATGTCTACGGTTACGAGTACTTGGGAGCATCTGGAGTGCTAGTAATAACCCCACTGACGGACAAGTGTTATCTGTGTCTCATGGGAGCTTTGCAGTTGGATTTGGGAGGTGCTCCAGCTGGACCTGCCGGTACAGGTAAAACGGAAACGACCAAAGATCTGGCAAAAGCCCTGGCCATCCAGTGCGTCGTCTTCAATTGTTCCGAAGGTCTGGACTACAAGATGATGGGCAGGTTTTTCTCCGGGCTTGCTCAGTCAGGAGCTTGGTGCTGTTTCGACGAGTTCAATCGCATCGACATTGAGGTTTTGTCGGTGATCGCGCAACAGCTGATCACTATAAGAAACGCCAAGGCTGCCAAGTTGACTAGATTCATGTTCGAGGGTAGAGAGATCAAATTGATACAGAAGTGCGCCGCTTTTATAACGATGAATCCTGGTTATGCCGGCAGGACTGAACTGCCTGACAATCTGAAAGCCTTGTTTAGACCGGTGTCGATGATGGTGCCGGATTATGCACTCATTGCCGAAGTTATTCTCTATTCGGAAGGTTTTGAATCGTCGAGAAACTTATCACAGAAAATGGTGCAAATGTACAAGTTGTGCAGCGAACAGTTGTCCCAGCAAGATCACTACGATTTCGGGATGAGGGCAGTCAAGAGCGTTCTAGTCATGGCCGGTTCCCTGAAACGCGCTAATCCTGATCGTAACGAAGACGTAGTGCTCATTTGCGCGCTGCGGGACAGTAACCTTCCTAAATTCCTATCTGACGATGCCGTACTCTTCCAGGGTATCCTCGGCGATCTGTTTCCCGGAGTGGAACTTCCAGTACCCGACTATGGAGTTTTCCAAAGCACCATCTTGGATTGTCTGCTCGCGAACAATTTCCAACCGGAAGAGTGTATGGTCAACAAGATTATCCAGCTCTACGAGACGATGATCGTTCGTTGGGGAGTGATGTTGGTGGGACCAACAGGTGGCGGGAAAAGCACGATATTGAACACTTTGAACCGAACTTTGTCCAAAATGTACACGGACGGCGAGGATGGACCCTACTTCAGACCTGTGCGAACCTACACGATGAATCCTAAGGCGGTCACGGCGGGGGAGCTGTACGGGGAAGTTAATCCTTTCACGCTAGAGTGGAAGGACGGCCTCATGGGTATCATGATGAGAACAGCTGTCGGGTTTACCACTGAAGAACACCAGTGGATAATATGCGATGGTCCCGTGGACGCTGTTTGGATTGAAAATCTCAACACTGTTCTCGATGACAATAAAATGTTATGTTTGGCCAATTCGGAGCGAATCAAGTTGACGCAGTGGGTTCACATGGTGTTCGAAGTGCAAGACCTAGCTCAGGCGTCCCCTGCTACGGTAAGCAGATGCGGCATGGTTTACGTGGATTCCGAGGAGTTGAAATGGATGCCATACGTGCAGTCTTGGATAGCCGGCATCAAGGAGAGTATTTTGAGTCAGGAAATGAAAGAATTCATAAGCGGTTTGTTCGAACTGGCAGTCGAGAACGGTCTGACTTTCCTGAAGAAAAACTGCCAGTATTCGATTCACCAGGTGGATATAAGTAAAGCCAAGATGATCTGCAGCCTTATAGAGAGTTTCCTTAGCATTCCCGGAGCCATGGAGAAGATAGGCGAGAAGAGTAAAGTTCGTACTTTCTTGTGCCAAACGTTCATACTCTCGTACATCTGGGGTATAGCTGGCAATCTTTTGGACGAGAGCAGAGAGAAGTTCGAGGTGTTCGTGAGGGATCAATTCGATGATCATCCGGATGCTAGATTGCCAGCCGGAGCTGATATTTGGTCCATTTACATGGATGTCGTGGGCCACAGACTGGAGCCATGGGTAAGAATCACTCCGCAGTTCAACTACGACAAGGAGGTACCGTTTTTCGAAACTTTGGTGCCCACAATGGATACAGTTCGTTTTGGTTACATCATGGAAAGGCTCATTTACGTGAACCATCCGGTTTTTCTTACTGGTGATACGGGAGTCGGGAAGTCGGTTGTCGCCAAGGACGTTTTGACCAGGCTCAATGACACCAATCTATTTGTACCGGCGACCTTGAATTTCTCGGCACAGACCAACAGCTTCAGAACCCAAGAGATAATAGAGCTGAAGTTGGAGAAGAAGAAGAAGACTCTTTTGGGTGCCCCGATGGGGAAAAAAGTTATTATATTCGTTGATGATGTCAATATGCCCAAGTTGGAAACTTACGGAGCTCAACCTCCTATTGAGCTCTTGAGGTAAGATAACATCATCCAAAACTGTTTCTTAATTTCCAATTCGACACAGAGTTCATCATTTTTTTCATCACAACATTTTTCATCTATGTACAGGATGTCTTCGTATATTTTGACCCCTACCTACAGCTTCAACTATACCAGGTGAAAAAAAACTTCGAACATGAAAGTTGTATGATTTCCTCTGTACAATCTTCTGGAACTCCTTAAATGAACGTATGCGAATCGCAAAATGATAAAAAAGAGTCCATATCAGTTTTTTTTTTAATGATTCACCCTATATATTTTCAATACTAGTGAGAGATTGTTTTCTTCTGTTCACAAATATGTATGTTTCCTCCAGTCATTTTCCACTTATTTATCATTGAATCAAAGTTGCCAATAACATTCAGATCACTGTGGACACAACAGAAATGTCATGGAAACAAAACGAGCATTTTTAACATCTCTGTCAATTTTGCAATCAAAATGGGTTATTCCGTATAGTTCAAGAGTCATTATCCAATTTTTTTCACTTCTCGGAAGTCATTTTGATCAATTATCCTATACACTTCAGCCACACCCTTTCAAATAGTATGTTGTACTAGAATTCCTTCTCTTCATTTACTGATAATTCAATAATTCGTTCTTGACAATTTTTAAAACCCGGTTGTTTGTACAACAGATTATTATTGTTTTGAAAAACATATACGATGTTATAGACCAGACAGTCCTCTTTGCAAGATCTTGTATGGTACTAGAACACCCTTTGATGATCTACTAATGGTATAACAGTTGTTCGTTAATTCCAGACAATTTTTGGACTATGGCGGTTTGTACGACAGGGAGAAATTGTACTGGAAGGACATTCGCGACGTGATCATAGCGGTAGCTTGTGCGCCACCTGGAGGAGGAAGAAACCCCTTGACTCCCAGATTCGTTCGACATTTCGGCATGTTGCTGATACCACCTCCGAACGAGTTCTCTCTGAAAGCCATCTTCAAGGCGATACTGAAAGGTTTCCTGAACGATTTCGCGAATGACGTCAGAGATCTCGGGGACTATATGGTCAACGCGGCCGTGGAAATTTACGACAGAATAGCGCGGGAACTGCTGCCAACTCCAGCAAAGTCCCATTACGTCTTCAACCTTCGTGATCTCTCCAAGTGCATACAAGGTGTTACACAAGCTGATTCTGGAACACTGCGAGAAGAGAGTGCGATGTTGAGGTTGTTTTATCATGAGTGTCTGCGAGTGTTCCACGACAGACTCATCAATGTGGAGGACAAATCTTATTTCTACTTCTTGATGAAGGAAATCTGTTCGAGGAATTTCGGTACTGGCGTGGTTACTCTTCCAGACGAGCCCGTTATCATGAATCCTCCGGTCATGCTGTTTGGGGATTTTCTTCAGTTCGGCGCAGAGAAAGCTAACAGGCTCTACGAGGAACTGAAAAATATTGACAAGGTCAAGAGCGTCTTGCAAGACTACCTGGACGACTTCAACCTGACAACTTCCAAGGAAATGCAGCTCATATTCTTCATGATGGCCGTCGAGCACTGTGTCCGTATCGCGAGGATTCTAAGATCAGAACGAGGTAACGCCCTGCTAGTAGGTGTAGGCGGTATGGGCAAACAGAGTCTGACAAAATTAGCCTCGCATCTCAATCAGTACAAGTGCTTTCAGATAGAACTGACCAGAAACTACGACCACAGCGCTTTCTTCGAGGATCTGAGAAAGATGTGCGCATATGCGGGCGTGGAAAACCAGGACAGCGTATTCCTCTTCACCGATACCCAAATCGTTCAAGAAGAGTTCCTCGAAGACATCAACAATCTGCTGAATTCCGGTGAAGTTCCCAATTTGTACGAAGCCGACGAATACGAAAAGGTCATCATAGGATGCCGACCTGCTGCTAAGGAAGCGGGAATAGACGAAGGCAACCGAGATGGCATTTACGACTTCTTTATAAGCAGAGTGCGGAGCAAGCTGCACTTGGTCATTTGCATGAGCCCGGTGGGAGACGCTTTCAGGCGGAGATGCCGAATGTTTCCTTCCTTAGTAAACTGTTGCACGATCGATTGGTTCGAGAAATGGCCTAGGGACGCTCTGCTCTCCGTGGCTCAAAACAGCCTCAAGGAACTGGGAACAGAAGAAGTTTGCAATAGTCTGGCCAACGTGTGTGTAGCAATGCACGAAAGCGTTGAGGATATGACCGATAGATTTTACAACGAGATGAGGAGGCACTATTACACGACGCCTAGCAGCTACCTGGAACTGATAAAGCTGTACAAGGTGATGCTCAAAACGAAAATAGAGAAGGTCACCAAAACCAGGGATAGAATAGCCAACGGTCTGAAGAAACTCTACGAGACTAACAGCGTCATAGATTCGATGAAAGAAACTCTGATAGCTTTGGAGCCTGAGCTGGCTAAAAAATCTATCGATGTGGCGGAATTGATGAAGCATCTAGCGAAAGAGCAGAAGCAAGCTGACAAAGTCAGAGTTGTCGTGAAAGGCGACGAAGAAGTGGCGAAGGTTAAAGCAGACGAGACCCAAGTATTGGCCGACGATGCTCAAAGAGATTTGGATACGGCTCTGCCTGCCTTGGAAGCGGCTAAAAAAGCTCTAGAGGCTCTGAACAAGAACGACATCAACGAACTGAAAGTATTTCAAAAACCTCCCAAGCTGGTGCAATTCGTGATGGAATCCATTTGTTTGCTTCTCGGGGCGAAGACCGATTGGGCTGCAGCGAAAGTCGTTCTCGGAGACGCTAATTTCTTGAAGAAGCTGCAAGACTACGACAAAGATCACGTGAGCGACACGGTGCTGAAGAAACTGAAAGCCTACGTGGAACATCCCGATTTCACTCCGGAAAAAATCGCGACTGTTTCCAAAGCTTGCAAGAGCATGTGCATGTGGGTGAGAGCCATGGACATGTACTCCAAAGTGTACAGAATAGTCGAACCGAAGAGAAAGCGACTGCAAGCCGCCGAAAAAGAGCTCAACCAAGTGATGTCTCTGCTGAGAGAAAAACAGCGCCAACTGGCGGAAGTGGAAGCGATGATAGCCGATCTCGAGGCGAAATTCAACGCCACTGTAGCGGAGAAAGAGGCTCTCGAACACAACATTGAGCTCACTTCGAACAGGCTCAACCGGGCTGGTCGCTTGAATATCGCTCTGGGCGACGAACAGACCAGATGGGAAGAAAGCGTCAAGAGATTCGCCATCGAATTGACCAACTCCCTCGGAGACGTACTCATGGCAGCTGCTTGCGTCGCTTATTTAGGAGCCTTCACCAGCCACTATCGCGTTTGTCTGGTTAACCTGTGGGAGCAAACCTGCATCGAACAAACGATATCCTCCACGGAGAACTTCAGTCTCATAACGGTCCTGGCTGATCCGTACGACATCCGGATGTGGAACTCTTGCGGGCTGCCGCGAGACAACGTTTCGACGGAGAACGCCATCCTCGTCACCCAGGCGGGACGCTGGCCTCTGATGATCGATCCTCAGGAGCAGGCGAATCGTTGGATAAGGCAGATGGAGGAGGATAATAGCCTGAAGATCATCAAGCTCACAGATTCGAATTTCATGAGGGTGTTGGAGACTGCCATAAGGATAGGGATGCCGGTGTTGCTGGACGAAGTCGGGGAGACTTTAGATCCAACGTTGGGGCCTGTGCTGTTGAAGCAAACCTTCGTACAAGGTGGTCGGACGCTTATAAGACTCGGGGACTCCGACGTGGAGTACGATGATCACTTCCGTTTTTATATAACCACGAAGTTGTCGAACCCTCACTACTTACCAGAGATTTGTATACAAGTAACGATAGTGAACTTCACCGTGACTCCGTCTGGGTTGGAGGATCAGCTGTTGGCTGACGTCGTCAGATTGGAACGTCCCGAACTGGAACAGCTTAGAACCGAGCTGATAGTTAGGATAAACAACGACAAGACGCAACTGAAAAACATTGAAGACAAGATTTTGTACATGCTGTACCATTCCGAAGGTAACATTCTGGATGACGAGGATTTGATCGAGGCTCTGAATGAGAGTAAGGAAACCTCAGCCATCATTGAAGCTCGTCTCATCGAAACGGAAGCTACCGAAGAGAAGATATCGATAGCTCGCGAAAAATACAGATCAGTGGCGACGAGAGGCTCCGTTTTGTATTTCGTAGTAGCTCAACTCGCTGAAATAGACCCCATGTACCAGTACTCCCTGAAGTACTTCAACCAGATCTTCAACCATGTCATCGAAACCAGCGAGAAAAACAGCGATTTGGACATGAGACTCGATATATTGTACAGGGAAATCACGCTGGCAGTGTACACCAACGTGTCTAGAGGACTGTTTGAGCGGCACAAACTTGTCTTCAGCTTCATGCTGTGCGTTTCCATTTTCTTGCAAAAAGGGACGATCAGTGAGGCGCAATGGAACTATCTGCTGAGAGGAGCTGTTGGGTCCAAAGGTACTGATACGAAGAAGCCTGATTACCCGATGATATCCGATGCCATGTGGCAAGCCGCCAACTATCTGTCCTCAGCTTACACACGCTTCCAGGGATTCCCTGAAGATATCACCAAACAAATATCCATCACTCTTGGCGATTTCAAACTGAATATCAGCGTGATTCCTGGTGCGACTAGGTGCCGCAACGATTGGAATTCGAGTCTGGATGATTTCGATAAGTTGATGCTGATCAAAACGTTGCAAGAAGAGAAGCTAGTCTTCGCGATCACCGAATACGTGAAGATCAAGCTGGGAAAGGTGTTCATCGAGAGCCCGCAAATATCTTTGAACGTACTCTATCAAGACACCTCTAACGCTGTGCCTCTCATATTCGTTCTGAGCACTGGTTCTGATCCGTTCGGAGCCTTCCAGCGATTCGCTGCCGACATGGGCTTCTCGGAAAAGGTCAAATCGATTTCGCTGGGCCAAGGTCAAGGTCCGGTGGCGGAAAAGTTGATACAGGGAGCAGTAGAGACCGGCGATTGGATCTTCTTGCAGAATTGCCATTTGGCTACCTCTTGGATGCTGGCTATGGAGAAGATAGTGCTGGAGATTGCTAGAGATAGCAACAAGGTGAATAAGCAGTTCAGGTTGTATATGAGCTCGATGCCTTCCAAGGCTTTTCCGGTTTCCGTGCTGCAGAATTCGGTGAAGGTTACCAACGAGCCTCCCAAGGGTTTGAGGGCCAACATCAGGAGGGCTTTTACCGATATGCTGGAAGATTTCTTCGAAGATCACCGTGAGTATGAATTTCACTCTTTCCAATGGATGAAAAACAAAATTGATTCAAATTGTTCTGACAAATATTGTCTTCCAACAAGAATGAGCATCAGTTATTTAATTGATAGAAAGCAGTTTGTATTATATGGAAGACTCATTTTCTTCAATAAGAATCACATCTCCTGGTATGCCCCAGGGATCAATTCTTAGACCTCTTTCATTTCTCAATTATATAAATTATTTCTGAAGTTTGAAATTTCAAGATTATTAATGATTATTTTCCAATGACAGCTCTTATTTATTACGGAAAAAATATTCAAGAGATGAAGAATCAAATGAAACTACATGGCTACAAGATAATAAATTTACACTCATTTTCGATAAATCCTCTTTCATGTTCATCTCGAAAAGGATATAACCAAATCGATCATTTGAATTCAGGAATGTTTGCATAAATCCTACGAAAAATTCAAAATTCTGGGTTTTAACTATAAACCAGTCTCTATATATTGGTCATCGCATATTCAAATGCTTATTAAAAAAAATCTTATAGTTGGTATACCTATTATACAAATAGAGATTTAGTTGTACCATCTAAATACTCGAAATTAACTTATTTCAGTATGATTAAATCTATTGCAATATTTGATATCGATCTAGGATATCATCAAAATATGTTTGAAATCTTTGAAATCTTCTCGAAATAAAGCCATAAAATATATTCATTCCCAAAGAATAAAAAGAGCATTCAAATCTTAACGTCACTGTCAATTTTGATACCCATGAGTATCACACCACACAAAGTGATCATTTGAAAACTGTCAAAATAAAATTATTTATCAATCTCGATCGTCACAAAATTCAAGACTGAAGTTAATAAATAAATTTTATCAATTCAACTCCCTCCTTTATATTGATTAATACTGATTTGTCTTCCATTTTATAGATTCGATAATTTATTCATTTTTTTATTCTCCATAAACATGTTTTCTTGAGATCAATGAATGGTATTTGTCACAAAGACTCACAAGTTGAAAAAAAATCAAAGTTATTACCACAATAGTTCATAAAATGAACGAAAATGGTAGATAAAGAGAGAAAAACAATTACTTTCCTGGCTATATGTCACGCAGAACATTAAATTACATCCAATATTAACACAACGACTCGTTAAGACAAATACAGCTGCAAGTGATTCTTCCCTAAATCCGAGCCGTTCCCAAATCTTTCAGGAACGCTTTACTATCTACAGACCGGTTTCAAACTTTGGACTCTCATCAGTCTGACCGCCATCTGGTGCGAACCTGACCCAACTTAAACACATCCCAGTATTTAATACCCATGAGGCGTTCGGCATCTGCGAGAGGAACATGAACGCCACCTGAGTAGAATAAAAGAAACACTCTAGAACAAATTCCCATTTAAGATAAAATGGGAGCAGCTGATTACCCGACTGACGCTCTTTTAACTAGGAAAAAGTGGGTATCAAATGCTGGGATGTGTTTGATTTGGGTCAGGTTCGCACCAGATGGCAGTCAAGAAGCCATCTGGAGACACCCCTGCACTGATGAGAGTCCAAAGGTGGAAACCGGTCTGTAGGTAGTCAAGCGTTCCTGGACGATTTGGGCACAGCTCGATATTCAATTCTCAATTTCAGAGGATTTTGATTTTTCATGCTCTCTTTTTGGATATTCAACAGATATAATTCAATGTTCGACGTGGCAAATAGCCAGGAAAGTAGTTGTTTTCTGTTGAGTATTCAGAATTATATTATATATATGCATATCTTTATATGAAAGAGAATGCAAATTCTCTACTTCAGAAGATTTTGTTTTCAAATTCTTAACGTGTGTGTTCAATAGATGTAATTCAATATTCGTCGTGGCATATAGCCAGGAAAGTAGTTGTTTTCTGTTGAATAAACCGAGAAAGAATTAATATTTTCATCACATGGAGAATGCGATTTCTCAATGTATTTCTTTACATATATCAGTGGCGGCTCGTGACTTTCATGACAAAGGAGGCTGAATAATATGTGATTTATTGTGAAAAACAACTCTCTACGACTCACCCAAATCAATAGCTTTAATGACATTCTGTTTACCAGTTAACCTGAACTTAATACTTGAAGAGATGTGTTCCTGTGATTTGCAGTGTCTATCCAATCCGCGAGGCAAATTTTTCAAATCATTATATCCTAATCGCCCCCAACATAATGACTTATCGGTTGAAAATAATACGCAGTACCAACAAAATAGCTTATTCCTCACCTCAGATCCCGTCAACCAGATATATTTTTTATAATTATCAGAATTGAACGAACAATTTTGTTTGTTACCTGTTACAATCAGATTTTTCAATTCCGGTGTCGGACGTTTGTTTTTCACAATCAATTCATCTTCATAAGACAAAGCACTGAATGGGTTCACCAAAAAGTATTCCACTAAATCGCAATCGTTTAAAACACTCATTTTTCAGAAATTTATAGAGCCCCTAACCATTAACCTAACATAAACAATGCACTCGCGTTTGTCCGCAATTCGCGAAGCGACACGACAAACACGTGCTATTCGGGCGTATTCGGGCATTCGCATTGCGCGCGTAGGTTGCGCATTGTGAAGGAGTCTAGCCTCCTATAGATGTTGCCAAGTTTAATATTTTACGCGTGATTTGTAGACTTCAACGTGTGATGCGTGGGCAAGCACTGTTGCCAATTCAAAAATATTCAACTAAAAACAGGAAATAAAATCAAAATCCATGTAATTTGGTGTCCTTTTAATGAGAAAGTATATATATAATATTAGTTTAAGGAAAATCTCTGAGGCTCAGCCTCCGTTGCATCCTCTGAGGAGCCGCCACTGATATATATCCATTTTTTGTGTTCATAAATATATCTGAGAATGTTCCTTTTCAATATTAATAGATGTTTGATTGATGAACAAAAGTACGTTTTTTGTGGCCACAGCCATCTAAAACAATCCGAAAAAGTGAATGATTAGAGGAAAATTCAAATTGACCCGGTATTTTTCGGATATAGCTCTAGAACAAAGTTGGAGGAACATGCTGTTCGGCATTTGCATGTTCCATGCCGTGATACAAGAAAGAAAGAAGTTCGGTCCGCTCGGATGGAACATCGTCTACGAATTCAACGACAGCGACAGAGATTTCGCCTTCAACACGCTCAAAATGTTTTGCGCCGAAGGAACTATTCCATGGGATGCTCTACAATATCTTACAGGTGAGTGAGCGAGTAAGTGAAATTATTAATTGAGTGACTTTCTTCAAAGGAATATATTTTCACCAGCAAAAAAAACACCACCAAAAATTTTTAAGAAAGTATGGATTTTTGTATTTCTATTAACAATAATTCAGCACCATTCTCCAACCTTCTACTTCATCATGTTTCGATTTTAAGTGTAATCCTATTTCTTTCTTACCTTCTTACCACAATGGTTCTTGATTCACGTAAATATCTTCTTTTTGAGAGAAGATACAAGTGTTTTAGGAAAGTATATAGAAAAAACAATAATTCAGAACCGCACCAGAGGCTAATTCATCATCTTCGTTCGGCCATATCATAGACTCTTCAAGAGCTACGATTCGCCCTTCAAGAAGAATTTTACGCAATTCTTCAAGACTACTTGAGAAAGTTGATCTACTCGATGCCACGGTGGTTGAATACAGAGTAATTCAAACTCGAGGAGGGCCTACTCGTTATTGACTACGAGTCTACTTTTCTGTTTGTTTTTTGTAATTGAGGTTTTTTCCGGTAAGTGCTAAGAAAATGAGGTAGAAATAAGTTTAATTAATTCTTCAAGTTGTTATTCAATGAGTTTATGTAGGTTCTGATTATTGTTAATAAAAATTTTAAAATGCCATACTTTCTTAAAACACTCGTGTCTTCTCTTGAAATGAGATATTGACATGAATCAAAAACTATTGTGTTGAGGGGGGATCACACTTCAATCCGAAGCATAAAGAAGCCAAGTTCAACCACTCAATTTTGCCACGGGGCGTTTAAAAGAAAAGAGTGAAATTGTACCTTTGGTTTTTCCCTGTATGATGATCAAGTCATCAGCTTTCCATGGAAACTAATATCACATCAAATCAGGGAATACTACATATACCAAATATTCGGGCAAATGAATCTATGATTTGATCAAAATTTCACAAAAATCGGACAACGATTTAAAAAGTAACAGGATGAACAATTTGGGCACATTTTTTGGTGGCTAGTTTTTTTAACAATGAGTGTATTTTTTTTTTAGTTTTCCTGTATATTATGTCGAGAAATAATTCTACAATGATCACAAAATGAGGATCCTGTTATATGTAGGGTCGCCATTTGAAAACGAAACAGCGGCTCTGTAGGTTGATAGAACCTGATTATGAAAAAACGCTGAAACATGTCAACTACATTTTCGAGGGAGACATTGTTCTGATATATTTTCAGCGCTGCGGCGTTGCCGCATCAATTGAAAATTGGCAATAACTTTGTTATTTCGAATAGAACACTCTGTATTTCATTACATTCTTAGATCCTGCCAAAAGAGCTGATTGCATCAATGTATCACACTTGGGGTCTAGCGGGAATGATTACAGAGATATAAGGTGTTCAAAATCGGGATTTTTCAACTCTAGGCTTTTTTGTGTCGAAACTATTTATTATCGGTCAAAACGACTATCTGTTCCCTATCTCAACTTCTGATCTACTATATCAACTGACATTGAATTGGAAGGGATACAGGGTGATCTGAATTCTGAATCTTGAAATTGTATTTGTGACCCTTTGAAAAACAACGTCATTGTATACAGCGTCCTCCTTCTGTCATAAACAGAAATGTTTCTTGGGGTAATAAAGACAATCAATCAATCAATCAATGATGAAGAAAACTTAATGACAACAACTCTGTTTCAATTGCTTCAGGTGAAATAACTTACGGCGGTAGAGTGACAGACTATTGGGACCTGAGATGCCTGAAGACAATTTTGAAAATATTCTTTTGTCCCGATACGCTCGCAGAAGGTTATGTCTACTCTTCTTCTGGCGTTTATTATTGCCCGAAATTCGATAAGCTGCAAGATTACAGAGAGTTCATTGACGGCTTGCCCATCATCGAGGAACCAGAAATTTTCGGGATGCACGAAAATGCCAACATTGCCTATCAGGTATAAAAACCTTTCGAAATTGAAGTACATACACAGGGTGATCCACGGTGGATGGCCTATTAGAAGTATCTGGAGAACGAAAAGACAGAACATTCTGAAAATTAGGATGCTTTGATAATTGAACATTCTTCATCCGTCTAAAATATTTTCTTCGATACAGTGTTGCCACTTCTATCAGAAAAACTAGCAACTTCGTTATTTTAAATTGAGCACCCTGTATTTTATTGAATTTTTAGATTCTCCTTGAGAAGCTGATTTCATCAATGCATCACACTTTGGGTCTAGCAGGAATGATTACATAGATATAGGGTGTTCAAAATCGAGATTTTTCAATTTCAGGATTTTTTTGTGTCGAAACTATTCATTTTCGATCAAAACGGCTTACATGTCCCTATCTTAACTTTCGATTCACTATATACTGACATCTAATCGGAACAGATACAGGGTGATCAGAATTCTGAATCTTGGAGCACCCTGTATTTTTTCCAATCAAATTCCAGTAGATAGTCAATCAAAACTTGAGATAGGGACATGTAAGCGGTTTTGATCGATAATGAATAGTTTCGACACAAAAAAATCTTAAAATTGAAAAAATCTCGATTTTGAACACCCTATATCTCTGTAATCACTCCTGTTAGACCCCAAGTGTGATGCATTGATGAAATTAGCTCTTCTGAAAGAATCTAAAAATGCAATAAAATACAGGGTGTTTCATTTGAAATAACAAAGTAGCTAGTTGTTTCTGATGGAAGTGGCAACACTGTATCGATGAAAATATTTTAGAGGGATAGAGAATGTTCAATTATCAGAGAATCCCAATTTTCAGAATGTTCTGTCTTTTCGTTCTCCAGATACTTCTAATAGGCCATCCACCGTGGATCACCCTGTATAAATCTGGGCCGCCCTGTAGAGGAGACTTTGGTCCCTCAAAGTTATCGCCACCTTGTGGCGTTAGTTCTAAGGTAGGGCCATTCAGTGACGTCATCTATAGTCAACGTGGCCAGACCCTTACGCCTACACATTATACAGAGTGCTACTACAAAAAAAACACTCTGCTATCAGATGGCACTACCTGACTACTTGAGTAGAAACCCCTCCGAAGCTATACATTGAACTAGATCTCATAACTGAGACACCTAGGATGAACAGAGCTCTGGGTCTCTACATGTTGACTATAGGTGGCAGTGTCATGCTGTTTGACGTGACTGAAAGGTCCTACCTTAGGACTAACGCCACTAGATGGCGCTAACATGACTACATCATCATGTAATAGCTGTCCCAGTTGTCAGTAAACCGAGAGCGGCTGATGAGATCCGGTGGGCCGAAACAGTAGTGTCCCGTTTCTCCTGACAATTGGGACAGCGCTGTTCATCATAGATCTCTCAGTTCTGAGATCTAGTTCAATAATCTTTTTGACTTCAGATCAAGGAAACTCAAACTGTGATCAGAACTATTATGGAGAGTCAACCGAGAGCAGCTGGTGGATCGGTAGGAAGATCGAGTGACGATATTGTCTATGAACTTGCTGATGTTGTCATTGCTTCGATAATTCCCAAAATATCAACAGAAGATGCCAACATTTATTTATTCAAGGTAAAAAACATTCGACCTAACTCCATCATAGTACTAGCATATTTCCTTAGGAAAAAATGTGAACGCTCCTGAACGTACTACTATTTTTCATTCTCTATCAATGCATGCTCGAAAAAAAGGTAGATGATTTTTTTGTCATAATGCATAGGCAGAGAGGTATTCGCCACACAAAATAAAAAATATCCTCGTGATCTAATAATATCATGGAAATTTAAGATCATCCCTGCATGATCTTTTTGTTCATAGTAGGTACCTTATATCAAGAAATGTTCAGTGTAAAAGTTGTAAAGATTCGAATTTCTGAAATGAAAGAAACCTGACTGAGCAGCACCTAACCTTGAAGATCTAACATAATCGACAACATCGAACCAACAGTTAAAAGCAGGCGGTTCCTCCAGATCAAATAAAGTGAAAATTCGAGTCAATTCAACCAACGCTTCGGTCTAACAAAATCAATAAAGGAAAAACTTCGGATCCTCAAGTTTCTTCTCCACTTTTGCTAGTGTCTAGTACCTGCATATGATAAATAATGAGCGAAGCCAGGTTTCTATTTCAAGGAATGTATCCTTTATGGGCAGTTTAACATTTCAGAGAGACGACAAAGGTAGACTCCCATCCCTGACCACTGTTCTCATGCAAGAAGTGGACAGATACAACAAACTCTTGAAACTCATCCACAACTCGATGGACCAGCTGCAGAAGGCCATCAAGGGTCTGGTCGTGATGTCCGAGGCGTTAGAAGACGTGTTTAAAGCGTTCATGAACAACCAGGCGAGTGTCAGACATATTTTCAACCGTGAAGGTACTGAACGTAAATTGGTGGATTTCAGGTCCCAAGGATGTGGAATCGTATAGCGTACAATTCGTTGAAAAGTTTAGGCAGCTGGACAAGGGATCTCATCTTGAGACTAGACTTTATTTACGTAAGTATAATCCCTATTATAGAAATAAACTATGGAGGTGTAATGTAAATGCTATCTAAAATAATTACACTAGAATGACGATACGACCTTCAAAAGACCTAAAATTTGTATTCCTTCGGTTCTCCCTTTTTCATGGTGTCATAGGACTATTCTGCTGTGAGTTTTTGCCATTCATTCTTCTGAAGATTTAGGTAAATAAAGTATGGAGATGTAGTGTGAATGCCTTCAGAAAATCAAAAAATTTGTATTCCCCCGGTTCTCCTTCTTTTGCTGCTTTGACTTAATTTCTCCATTGGTGTGAAGAAAATAGTTGATTTTCCAGCTTTGTTCTAAATGGAAACAGGACAGGTACCTGTACGAGGAGAGAGTACCGACTTTTGGCGTCCATAATGTATATTCTTTACAGAAGACGTAGGCAAATAAAGTATAGTAGGTACAGTTATAACGTATGGAGATGTAGCTTGAATGCCTTCCCAGATAATTACAGTACAATGATGATACGACCTCAAAAAGATCGAAAATTCTTATTTCCTCGGTTGTCCCTCGTCTGCTGCTGTGACTCTAAGTTTCTTTGTTGGTGTTTATTATGGTTCATAGAGAAAATGGCTTCCAGTCAGAAGTAACATGCCAGTATGAGAAAGTTGATTACAAACAATAATAATAAAATAACATAAGGTGACAAAAAATCTGAAAAATCTAAAAATGCTAAATCGATGAAATCATCAAATAGCAACAGGGATTAATTCAGTAGATCGAAAAGTATAAATTTCATCTATTTCGTGATGAAATCATGTGTCATTCAATGCAATTTCAAATTTTGGAATAGGTCTCCAATTTTTTATATTATGCAGTAATTTATTGAATTCAAATAGATCAGCGTGGATGATTCTTTTTGGCCAAGTATAGAAATAGTAGAATCAAGATGAGTTGAGTTTGATTGATTCGTAGTGTGATGACTGTGAATTTCTGAGTTTCTTATCAAAACAAAATTCGTTGGGATATCAAAGAAGAGGCGATACAATACGTTCAAAAGATAGTTGACTTTTCAGCTTTGTTCTAAATGGAAACAGTACAGGTACCCTTATGAGGGGAGAGTACCGACTCTTGGCATCGATGTCTGTTCAATACAGTAGACGTTTTCAACTTTGATGATTTAGGTAAAGCTAAAGTGTTTTCCAGGAATGAGGATGAACATTTGGTGGATGATGAAGAATGTATCAATGATATTTGCGTGGTATTACCTCTGGTGATTATTTCAGATGTGGTTGAGGTCTGCCCATCCTACCTCTTACTGGATATTGGACTTCTATTACCCCCGAGGTTTTCTGACAGGTGCTCTACAAACGCAAAATATCTAGAATTTGTAATTCCTCAGTTCCCCCTCTTTTGCTGCTGTGATTTTTAGTTTATCCAATGGTGTGAAGGAGATAGTTGACTTTTCGGCTTTGTTCTTAATGGAAACAGGACAGGTACCCTTACGAGGAGAGAGTACCGACTCTTGGCATCTATAATGTCTGTTTATTAATACAAAAGACGTTTTCAAACTCTGAAAATTTTGGTAAATATCAAGTGTTTTCCATGAATAAGGATAAACATTTGGTGGATAATGAAAAATTCATCAATGATATTTGAATGGTATTACCTCGGGTGATTATTTCAGATGTGGGTGGGGTCTGATCATCCTTGGTCTCACTGGATATCGGGCTTCTATTTCACGCAAGGTTTTCTGAAAGGTAATTCCTCGGTTCTTCCTCTTTTGCTGCTGTGATTTTTAGTTTCTCCAATGGTGTGAAGGGGATAGTTGACTTTTCAGCTTTGTTATTAATGGAAACAGGACAGGTATCCTTACGAGGAGAGAGTACCGACTCTTGGCATCTATAATGTCTGTTTGATTCAAAAGACGTTTTCAACTTTGAAGTTGTAGGTAAAGCTCAAGTGTTTCCCATGAATGGAGGATAAACATTTGGCGGATAATGAAAAATTCATGCAATTATATTTGAGTGGTATTACCTCTGACGATTATTTCAGATGTGGGTTAGATATGGCCACCCTACGTCTTACTGGATATCGGGCTTCTATTTCCCGCAAGATTTCCTGACAGCTGCTCTTCAAACTTACGCCAGAATGGAACGACCTCCAGAATATCCAAAATTTGTAATATCTCGGTTCTCCCAAGGTTGGTAGAACTGATTATAATTTGTATAGGAAGGTTGCCTCGATCAGAGATCAGTCACCCACTCCTCGATCGATAGTGCGGCAAGGGGGGAAACGGTCACTCGTGACGTCACAGGCAGTAAGATGACAAGTTGTCAACCTCAAAGCGAAATGTCATGAAATGTTGTTGTGCTTCTGGTCTGCTCAGTATATTTATATTCATAGTATATAATAAATAAGTACCATTATAAAATATGGATATTTACATATACTTCTGTATAATACCTTCAATCTTCGAAATGAGAAGGCAATTTTGGATAGATCAATAGTACAGAGAGGAATGGCTATCTGAAATTTTGTTCCAGGGACTATTTGGTCCTGGTACCAGGTATGTGTGTTTTGAGGTATGGAGCATAATTATCGATAATTATTATGGAGCTAGTGATTACTTATGCATTGATTATGAACCCACGCATCCTATAAATATCCTGCAAATCAGATGAGGTGAACAAGAAACTACAGAAAATATAAGAATAATGAATTGATGATCCAGAAGTAGTATAGCAGTGGACCAATATTCGTACACAACAGATCACTTATTTTATCAATATAACTCTGTTCTGAAAAATTAACAAACTTTCCTAGATACCTATAGAAAATACAAGAGGAAATAGTATTTCATTGTTTGATTATATTGTAGTCAAAAACAGAGCAATTGATCGAAGTATTTGAGCATAAAAAATAACAAAATATGATTTTGAACAAAATTAATGAAAAATAACACTACTATTATAAGTGAACCTATAATAAAGGATAGTTCAAGGAATCTCTCAAATAAACATAGCTTCTCTTCGTTGGGTAACGTACTCTTGCTCAAATATCCCAACTTGAAAACACGTGTGATATCAATGATATCTTCTGATGTCCATTTTACCCGTTCAGCAAGAATCTCAACATTCACAACTAGTCTGGTTCTGATCATTTTTCCAAACTTCCATACTTATGGTGTTTCTCTTGTAGTATTTGGTATTATTGATGTGATTCCTACCTTGAGTTTTTTTCTCTTTGGTGTGTGATTTAGCAATTCTGCTTGTGCCGTTCAAAATCCTCGGCATCGAAATGGGCAGAACGTATTCGCCAAGTTTTGGTATTAAATGAATTAAAATTACGTCCACAAAATTGAATCCATTTCTCACGAATAGACTCATCTTGTGGAAATTAATGGAAACACAAACTGAATTCACTAGTCTTATTACACTTGTACGAATTTTAACAAAAAGTGACCGAACAAATTATCATTTTTACATTTTTAAGTTCAAAATGGTTCAAATATTCGAAAATACTGACAACTGTCAACTCAATAATTGGCGCCGGCGTACATATCATACACGAAGTGTACGAAAGTGCTACACTTTTCGTGCAAAAGAAAGGGCCTATTACGTCATGAGTTACTCAAGGTTACTCGCGGGGTGCGATCGAGGCAACCTTCCTCTACAAAATAGTCATCAGTTCTACCAACCTTGGGTTCTCCCTCTTTTGCTGCTGTGATTTTCAGTTTCTCTAATGGTATGAAGGAGATAGTTGACTTTTTGGCTTTGTTCTTAATGGAAACAGGACTGGTACCCTTACGAGGAGAGTACCGACTCTTGGCATCTATAATGTCTGTTTAATACAAAATACGTTTAGAAGATTTAGGGAAAGCTAGTGTTCTCCATGAATAAGGATAAACATCTGGTGGATAATGAAAAATACATGAATGATATTTGAGTGATATTACCTCTGGTGATTATTTCAGGTGTGGGTGATGTCTGCCCATCCTACGTCTTACTGGATATCGGGCTTCAATTTCACAAATGCACGCCAGAATGATGCAACCTCCAAAATATCTAAAATTTTTAATTCCTCGGTTCTCCCTCTTTTGCTGCTGTGATTTTCAGTTTCCTCAATGGTGTGAAAGAGACTTTTCGGCTTTGTTCTTAATGGAAACAGGACAGGTACCCATACGAGGAGAGGGTACCGACTCTTGGCATTTATAATGTCTGTTTAATACAATAATACACGTTTTCTACTTTAAAGTTTTAGGTGATTTAGGTGAAGCTAAAGTGTGAAGAATAAACATTTGGCGGATAATGAAGAATTCATCAATGATATTACCTCTGATGATTATTTCAGATGTGGGTTAGATATGGCCACCCTACGTCTTACTGGATATCGGGCTTCTATTTCCCGCAAGGTTTTCTGACAGGTGCTTTACAAACGCACGCTAGAAAGTATAATTTGCCGATCGACGAACTCAAATTCGATTTCGTCTTGCACAACTTCGTGATCGATCAAGAGGATGTGAAGAAAGTACACGAAGAGGAAGAAAAAGAGGTAACGTTGAATAATGCGACAGTTCGTTCGTTGCTAAGGACATTTCTTGAAGAATTTTTCAGTGTACATTTTGGAAGAATGTCCCAAAGATGGTGTGGTAATCCATGGGTTATTCATTGATGCTGGTAGGTGGGATAATGCGACGAGGAAATTGGTGGATCCTAAACCAGGTACCCAATTTATTGTTTTCACCACTAATCTGACAAATCGCCATCATTCAATGATTCTCTCTAATTGATTGATTGATTGTCTTTGAATAAACTGGGAAAAACATAGTGTTATACATACAATTATGAAATTATAATAAGATATAACAAGTAAAAAAAAAATGCAAATAATCATGCAATATCAACCTAGTCTTTTATAAGTAGGTATTCAAATTGGAAATGGAATTATCAAAGTCTGTGAAGCAGATATTTTTTCAAGTTCATTTTGAATCGAGTTATGCTTCCTGTATATTCCTCAAATATTAGGCCCATTTTCGAAGAGATCAGATTTTGAGAACCGTTTAAGAGAACCTGCTGCTGCATTGACAAAACACACCAGGTATTTAAAAAAAATCTATTATTATCTTCACACGAGATGAAAAAACAAAATTATCATGAAGAGGAATGGATTGCAAAACTACGCAATGGAATTCAAAATTTAAGAACGATATTGAGGTAATCAAGTAAATTGCAACATGGTAGCTATATCATTGAATGGCGTTTTCAATACCGACCGAACAAGCTATAAGTAAATCCATATATTATGTGTCTATTTTTTCATAATAAAATGTTGTTACATGCATTCTTTTCATTTTTGAACTGCTGTTCTGCGAAGTGCCGTATCGCTATATATTGAAGTGGGTGTTTGTACCCTATTTCTATTCGCCATGTACGGCTATGATTGATTTTAACAGAAAATCTAACCTCTAAAATCGTATCTGACAATCGACCGACCCTGGAGGTAAAACATTGAAACACAACCTTACTTTTCGGTAAGACATGAAACACAACATCACTTTTCTCATTTGTTCGAAAAGGAAGCAAATGACTGAAATAGTTTTTCACTATATTTTGGGATAGGAATTGTGTTTTTTGGGCTATTCATTAATCCGAGCATACCATCACAATATGATTTTTCAGGTAAATAGTGATCTCACATGGTTTTCATTATGCAATTTTGTCATTTCTCATTATAATTCCTTCTGCCACTTCTGCAATAGAAGCTAATACTGCTAATAGATTGAAAATGTCTACAACACACACGATCATATTTCGTCAACAGGTCAGACCAGACCTCCCGTTTGATTTTTTTCTATGTTATGGTTCTCACGAAAAGGGATATCCTGTAATGTTCAGAGAACATCGTGAGAACCAAGGGAAATAAGGTAGGAATTGGTGCTCTTCTTGAATTTCTGGAGGTTATATGCCTCGGGGAACACCTCCCTTGGCGATGTGTTCCAGAGCCTCGCTGTTCGTTGAAAGAACGAGTGTTTGAAAAGAGATGTTCTGCAGGTCTCCAAAGTAACCACGAAGGGGTGCGAGGCCTCAACTCGACGGGTCAATCTCGCGGGGACTGCCAAGGGAGGAACAATTGTTGATATTCCAGAAGAGCATCGTCCATGAAAATATCTATAAGATAGAGCCATATCGACAACTCTTCTACGGTGTTCCAGAGAAGTGAGTGAGTTTGTGAGCGAGGCATCACCCACGAGACGGATTGCCCTTTTTTGGACAGAATCCAACAGTTTTAGGGTATGTTTGGGTGCTGCACTCCAAATATGGGAATAGTAATCCAGGACAGGTTGGATCTATGCCTTATAGATTATAAGCAGCTGACTGGAAGTGAAATAGCTCCTGGCCCGAAACAGAAAACCAAGTTTTTGGGATGCACTTTCAGCAATTGATCACACGTGATTTTCCCAAGAAAGGTTATTGCTGATAGTAATACCAAGCATCGAAATGGATGTCTTCAAAGGTATGTTTACTCCTGAGAAGCTTATGTTGGGCACAGCGAGATCGACTTCTTTCAGATCAGAAACTTCACGAGTATTTCTATTAACTCATATTGCAGAAGGAATAACAATGAGAAATGACAAAATTTCAGAATGAAAACTATATGTGAGTGACTACAGTACATTCAGATCACAATGTACCTACGTCACCTACCTGAAAAATCGGATTCCTTCGTCTCTCGCTGCATTTTTTGTGCATTGTACATCAGCACAATGTGATGGCATGCTTGAATTATTGAATAGCCGAAAAACACGATTCTTATACCAAAATAATTGAGAAAAACTATTCCAATTTTCAATCCTTTGTAAGCAAATTAGAAAAGTGAGGTTATAATTCAATGTTTTACCTCCAGGGTCTTGCACGCACGCAACTCATTAGGGAAATTGAAAAGACAAAGAGCAGAATATATGTCTTATTCTTTTATTCATTCAAACCATTGTAATATAGAGAATAATAGAGAAGTACAGAAGTTCAGCTGTGTCCGAACTCTTATCTGACTACATTATGCTGACTATTACCATCCAGTGACTCTAGCTCTTATGGGACATTCCATATATGACGGAATAGATATTCGCACTAGTTACACGACCAACTATTCCAGGTGAGGTGAATCCACCACTGCCCGCGATATGGCTGAACCCCAAAACGGAAATGCCGGAGTACGACCCGCGATACGAGGCCCCCCTGTACAAAACCTCCATACGCGCCGGCGTGCTGTCCACCACTGGTCACAGCACGAATTTCGTGGTGGCAGTTCTGCTGCCCAGCATGGAGAAACCGAGCTATTGGATTCTGAAGGGAACGGCTCTGTTGACGCAAATCACCGATTAGACAGAGCTTTTTTTTATAGGTGAAGTGATAAAAAGTACATTTTTTACATGCAGTTGATTATATATTTTATTGTTGCATTGATTGATATGTTTATGGAAAAATATAAGTGGTGATAGTTGATTTTCTTGTATACTTGAAACTTAATAATAATATCATTAATTGATCCAAAGAAACATACAATGTTTATAGAGCGAAACAAAAAAAATAAATCAAATATGCAATACAAAAAAAAAATAAAAATATCCAACTTGAACTTTACTGAAGTAAATACAATTCATACCCATGCAACGAGACAGTTGAATTCATTAATAGCAAAACCATATAACTCCATCATTGGCAAACAATCAGTATTCTACAACGGAATCATTTTATATAATTCATTACCTTATGATTTGAAACATATTGATGATGAAACAAGATTCAAAGTCAATATGAAAAAATATATACTCATGACACAATAAACGGAGCAATTTATTCTCATTTGAATACTTGGAATGGTTTTATTTTAATTATTATGTTATATTGTTTATTGTTTTATATATATACATAAATATATCATATGTTTATGTATCCCTATTATAAACAAATATGTTTCTTGGGGTAATAAAGAACAACAACAACAATAAACAGTTCGATCGGAATTAATCGATACAAGAAGAGAGTAAAATTAATTAAATATATTTCTTCAGTTCTCACTTAAATCTTGTGAGGGACATAATAGATTTTATTCTATACTGGGTTTTTCACGATGTGCGTTTTAATTAGACGTTTCTGGCAAACCTAGCAGCAGATGATTCTTCAAATTTGATGGTATGGATAAATTGACATGATCTACACGTCTAAAATATTACGAACGATGCGGCGATGCCGCTTCCACTAGAAAGTAGCAGCAACTCTGATTTTTCAAATAGATCTCCTTGTATTTCATTGCATTCTTATATTTTTTTTTTTTTTTTTGAGCATTTTTATTTATTTTTTATTTCAGTTATTGCATTACATTCTTTTCTTCATTGATACATTTCATACAAATAATATATAAAGTATAATGTAATCACACTTGGGGTCTAGCGGGATTGATTACAAAGATAGAGGGTGTTCAAAATCGATATTTTTCAACTTTAGGATTTTTTTATGTCGAAACACTCGAAACTATTCATTATCGGTCAAAACGGCTTTCATGTCCCTCTATCAACTTTTGATTTATTATCTACTGATATTTAATCGGAACAAATACATGGTTCAAGACTCAGAATTCTGATCACCCTGTATCTGTTCCTCTCAAATGCCAGTAGATAGTAAATCGAAAGTTCGACACAAAAAATTCTAAAGTAGAAAAATCTTGATTTTGAACACCTTATATCTCTGAAATCATTCCCGCTAGTCCCCAAGTGTGATACATTGATGAAATCAGCTCTTCAGAGGAAAAATCTAAAAATAAAAAGAAGTAGTGGTTATTCTGTTTGAAAAATGAAAGTTGCTGCTACTTTCCAGTAGAAGCGGCGACGCCGCATCATTTGAAAAATTTCATGTCCCTAAAACGTCTTTACAAAAAACTGCGCTAGTTGCTTACTCAGTACGAAAAAATAGCTGATTCAAATTTGTTTCGTCGTTAAATCTTCAAATACGTGAAAATGAAGTTTTAGATGTACTAAAAAAATGAAGTTCAACGTCTATGGAATGATATTCATCACGGTTATTACGTGTAGTGAGGGCAAACCAGATGGTTTGCCCCAAAAAGTCTATACGTTGAAAGATATTTCTATTAAAAAGCCTAAAGGAAATCTCATGTGCTTGTCAGTGACCATTTGTTTTGGAAAAGGTTTGTAGTAGACATATATAGATACATAGAAATATATCAGATTTTCACTTATCTTTGATGCATGTTGCGGGAACGAACCTGCTCCCGTTTTCAACATAAAAATGGAAAATATTTGTCTAGCAAATTCGTCACGTAGTCGTTTTGGTGACGTTGGAAAGCAAATGAGTCACGGGATGTTTTCATTAATTAATCTTGTCCTCATTACACATATATTGAAATAATACTCATATTTCTATTTTATAGAAACGTGGAGAAAATAACAAAAAATCTGGAAAAATAAATATACCATTTCCTGGATTAACCTACAGACAGTATTTATACTTCTTCCACTTCTTTATCCACTCGGCCTCTTCCTATATATTTTTCTCAATTAATGTAAAAATTGCGCATGAAGTTCTATATTAAGATAAAAAAAAAACTCATTGTTTTGGTCTGGGGAATATGTGGTAAGTTTTTGTAAATACCTTTAGGGACACGAATCGACTATCCATTTTGATTGATTGATTGTCTTTATTACCCCAAGAAACATTTCTGTTTATGATAGGGATACATAAATACATATAAAAAAAAAATAATAAAGGGTTAACTGTGCAGAGAATTGAACGGCCATAATTGACAAAAACATAATGGAAACTGGTACACAAGTTATGAGGCACATTGACGGTACCATATGGTGCCGGTAGGCACTGATGGGTTTCGAATTTATTCCTTCTTCTACACCGGATTGTTCCTTCAAGGTTGCCGTTACTCTATGTCCAAGACATATTATGAATAGAATTTTTGAAACGTATAATAAATATAATTCATAATGAGATAATACAATATGAAACGAATACAAATATATAATATGTTAGATCACATAGTTTTTATCAATATTCATGTGAAATCAAGCATAATGCTTCTTACCAATAAGGCTTGTCACAGTTTTCTTTATATCAATGTGCTGCTGTAGGTGAACACAGAGTTTGTTGAATATGCAGTATTTCCCTAGGTAAGCATTCCCTGTAAAATTGCCTGGATTCCTCTGAATAATTGGTGTAAATTTCCAAGAATCTGATGCTGAGCACAACTTCCGGCGCAAGTTCAGTGGTCCTGAGGCTGAAACCGATCGGATATTTCAGAAAGTCCGTGTATAATTTCAAGGTCAATATTCACCTGTTATTTTGTTTCATGAGTTGCTGAGAATAGTCAGAGAGACGTTTAATGAAATCCTTGTTAACGCTCGAATGGAACTGCTTCAAAATGGTGTGAATGCCAACTGCAAATGCAGTACCGTCTATTTGGTCAGGTGCTTTTCTGTAGCCACTTCCTAGAAATTTGAATGATAGTCATTGGGCATTACCAAAGTTTCCTTTCCATACATTCTCATCAAATTAGTTTGAAAAATACAAAAATCTCAAAGTAATTTCCACACAATGTTCATAAAATGATCAACAATGGTAGATTTCGAAAAAAAAACTACTTTCCTGACTAATGAACATTGAACAGAACATTGAATTACAATTGATTCTTTCCTGAATGCCTATTGATTTCGATTCAGCCAGGCCACACTAGACACCTACAGACCGGTTTCGAGCTCTTTGACTCTTATCAGTGCAGGACAGTCTCCTGCCAGCAGTCCTAAGATCGCCGACTAAGCGTATCCTAGCCAAACAAAAATCAAGTCGGCATTATATTCCCTCAGAGTCGTGCTCTATAGAGAATATGAGAGCAACGCCATCTGAGTAGAAAAGAAGGAGAAACACTCCAAAACCAAAATTCTTATGCGGTAGTGGCTGGTTGTCCGAAGCCAGAATTTTGGTTTTGGAGTGTATCTTTCCTTCTTTTCTACTCAGATGGCGTTGCTCCCATATTGTCTATCGAGGACGCCTCTTGAGGGAATATAATGCCGACTCGATTTTTGTTTGGCTAGGCTACGCTTAGTCGGCGGTCTTAGGACTGCTGACTGAAGACTGTCCTGCACTGATGAGAGTCAAAGGGCTCGAAACCGGTCTGTAGGTGTCTAGCGTGGCCTGGCTAAATCGAAATCAATAGGCATTCAGAAAAGAATCACTTGAATCAGTGTTCAGTTTTCGTTTATGGGTGTCGATGCATAGATATCGGGAGGATGTATTTCAATGTTCTAAATAAGTGAGTAAGTAAGTGAGTAGTTCATTATCATTTTGACATTTAACATGTATAGGAAATAGTCAATCAATTTATGTTAGTACAAATACAAGGAATTGTGAATAATTTAGCATTGAATGAAAAGATAAAATTGAAACATACAATGAATATAAGACATACAATAAAATGTTATTAAAAAAATACAATATGAGTGTGTTTAACACACGTTATCAGTCAATAAAAATTCGTTTATATTATAAAACGACTTATCTGCTAGAAATAGTTCAAGTCACCTTTTAAAGAGTATTAGGGAGTCACAATAATAATAAAACAAAAATCTCATGAAAAGTACATTTTGACATGATGAAATAAATTAATGAATGAGAAATCATTCACTCAGGTTTGATTTTCTCTTTGCAAGAGAATATGTTTCTTGACTTTAATTTTGAATTGGGTGATATTTGTGCAACTTTTGGTAATTTATTGAATTTTGAGATAGCTCCGTGAGTGAACTTTTTTGCCAAGTGTAGAATTAGCAGTATCAAGATGAAACAAGTTACATTCGAGGTGTTTGTAGATGATATCAAAAGAAATTTTGAGAGTATTTATCACAAAGTGCTCTTCCAAAGAAAATGTATTTGTTTCTTCATAAAGTTGATTTGATGGGGTGTCATATGGAAGACGATAAATTCCTAACTCCTGGCTCAGATTGAAATTTAAACATGTTTCCCGTAGTTTTTATATCATCGCTTCGTCAGATGATGACCTTTGCTACCGCGAAGAGCAATTAAGAAATTTTCAGTCAGAAAACAATCGTAAACTATGAATCTAGAATGAATATAGGTATATATGAGTTTTGCTGCACGTAATTCAAAATACCAACAAGCCCGAACTGAAAACGAAAGGAAAATTATCAGAAGAAGAATGCATAGCCTTCTGGGTGAGAAACATAAAACATAAACAATCTCCTATCAACTATAATAATCACAGTTAACGAATGAATAAACAAATACAACCGGAACAGCGCAAACAGCTACCGGAGAAATCAAGGAAGACAGTATAATAGTCATTCATGAATTAGTAATCCGAGAAGGTGATTAAATATCCGGAATCTGTAATAGTAACAAAATAAGAGACTATTAGGTCATCAAGGTGAATAGATAATAAAATATCACCTGTATTTTGCGGTAGAAATAATTTCTGGAGATGCGCTATCATGAATACAAATAAGGTAATTGAGTAATCCAGATCGTTTTTCGATGTTATGTAGATTTTATTCAACGGTTGATTCAGACCAGCATAATCGAAATAACTGGAGAGAGTTTGAAGGAAATTTTCGCTGGGGTGGTACCTCTCATTTTTTATGTCTATCAGCAAAGACCTGAAAGAAATACGAGATATAATTGAGTGGAAACATTAATAGCGATTTCCACTCGCCGATTTACAGAGCGCACTAGCACAGTGCAAGTACAGGCTATTCCACAGAACATGGGCCACTAGAATAGATTGAACAGGAATTGAGGATTGAATTTGTATATGGATAATCCGGTATAGTTGGCATTATCTGAAAAAGAGGAATCATATGACTATAAACAACTCAGATTCCCAATTTTGTTCGTATCTCTTGAACTTCTCAGTTTACTAGATAATGGGCTGGCCCATGTTATGTGGGATACCCTGTACAAGTGGCACTGGCTCGGTTCTTCCAGAAAGTGCCGTTCCAGCACAGAGCAGTGGAATAGAAATGAGTCGCGTGCACGAAGACCGACCCTGGAGGTAAAATATTGAAACACAATCTCACTTTCCTGTAAAACATTGAAACACAACCTCACTTTTTTATTCGTTTACAGAGGAATCAAAGGATTGAAATGGTTTTTCACAATATTGTGGCGTACGAATCGTGTTTTTTGCGCTATTCATTATTTCAAGCACGCCTTCTCATTGCACAAAAAATGCAGCAAGAAACGAAGGAATAGGATTTTTCCGGTAAACAGTAATCTCACATAGTTTTCATTGTGAAACTTTGTCATTTCTTATTCAAATTCCATCTGCCACTTCTGCGATAGAAGCTAATACTGCTAATAGATTGAAAATGTCTACAGCACACACGATCATATTTCGTCAGCATGTCAGACCAGTCCTCCCGTTTGATTGCTTGAATCCAATCTTGCATCATTTTAGAAATCTCACGAGTATTTCTATTAGTTCCTATTGCAGAAAGAATTCCGATGAGAAATCAGAGAAATAACAAATTTCACAAATGAAAACTATATTTGAGTGACTATAGTAGGTACTTACTTTTAAATCTTGATGTACCAACCGGATTCCTTCGTCTCCCGCTGCATTTTTTGTGCATTGTACAACAGCACAATGTGATGGCATGCACAAATTAGAGAATAGCCGAAAAACACGATTCGTATGCCAAAATGATTGTGAAAAACTATTTAAATCACTTGTAATGAACAAATAAGAAAAGTGAGGTTGTGTGTCAATGTTTCAACTCCAGGGTCGGCGGTCATCTGACAGTTCTTGCACGCAACCTATAGAGATGAGTTGGTGCGACCTTCTTGTCATCAGAAATGTCAGAATAATTGTTTTGTCAATGAAAAAGTTGAATTGAAAGTACATTTGGATCCGTTGGTCCACATGAAATGGATTCATCTACCTCTTATTGTGGTTTCCCTGTGAAAACTGCCAGAAACCAGGCAGAAACAGTTTTATATTATATGAATGTTCATTGTCAATGATATCCAATGGGCGTGTACACCTTAGTAGAACTTTTAACTCAAACCATGTTTATAATGATCCTTTTATACATAAATAATGATTGACGACATAATTCGATCGAAAAATTAACTGGAATGTTTTATTTTTGGACATAAATAATAGTACCTTCTGAAAACGGACCCTCTTATGACGTATAAACCTCATCTCGCCATAATTAAAAGAAAATACCAAACGCCCGAAGGAAGACTGAGGCAACTGATATATTAATTATTTCAACTGTGATCTCGCGCTAATTCACTCTGTCAAAAATCATGTATCATTCATCTCTGTCTGGAATAGTCTTGTTTCAGTATCAGGGTTTTGACGTCACATCATCGCCTCGTTTTCAGAGGTCCGAAAATCGTCCAATTACAGGAGTATATAACAAAAGAAGAATGTGCATCACACAATCATCTAAGCTTGGCATAACACTATGACTATAACATAAACATTCAGAGTGACCCACTTCTAATGAAAACACCCCTGTATCTTACGTAATCGTTGGGTAAGGATCCTGAAATTTGCTGGGAGCGAGAGATATACCAAAAATGCACTCTATGACCAAGTGCTCGCCAACAGTCATGGAAAATGATATTAGGAGTCAAAATAGGTTGAAAATCACTTCGGATTCGGAATCAGGACGCCCAATTCACTAACTTTTCATAGTTTTCCTAGGAAATTTTCAGTTCAGAAAAATTAAATTTTGTCTCATTTTCTTGTGGAAGCACCCCCGTATCTCACGTAATTATTGAGGTAGGGTTCTGAAATTTGCAGGAGGAAGGAAAAGTCCAAAGATAAAGTCAATTACGTGAGATACGGGGGTGCTTCCGTAAAAAGTGCGACAAAATTTAATTTCTCAGAACTGTAAATTTTCCAGGACAAATATGAATAGTTAGTGAATTGGGCATCCTGATTCCGAATTTGAACTAATTTTCGACCTATTCTGACTCCTAATATCATTTTCCGGAAATTGGGGTGGTTCCATGGCTGTTGGCGAGCAGTGTATATCACTGAAGATGACCCCACTAGGTCGTAGAGTGCATTTTTGGTATATCTCTTGCTTCAGCAAATTTCAGGATCCTTACCCAACGATTACGTAAGATACAGAGGTGTTTCCATTAGAAGTGGGTCACACTGTATATGAGTATGATAATGAACAGAAAAAAAAACACTATTTTAACCAATTATTATGTTAGTTTGATATGAGCCTACACAAAGCTTTTTCGAAGTGACCTGAACCCAAAGAGAAAATATCTACTGAGAGTAAATTATTGAAACATCTACACATATAATTAATACCATTTTGAAAATGATGCTGCGAATTAGGTACATCAATATGGAAAGTTAGGCTAGTTCTAGAGACTGTGCGAGGTACATTGAAATTCAAGAAAGACAGCTTTTGAAAATGATGCTGCGAATTAGGTACATCAATATGGAAAGTTAGGCTAGTTCTAGAGACTGAGCGAGGTACATTGAAATTCAAGAAAGACAGCAGAGTTGATGAATCGATTTCATTGTGGATAAGTTTATGAATGAAGGGGACGCACCGTGGTACAAGAAAAGTTCTGAAAACTCAAACTCTGAGCGGGCATCGAGCAAGTTTGAAAGCCTGTGGAATCATTTCTCGACAAAAGTTTGCTCTTGAAATTCTTAGTGGACCATCAAGAACGCATTCAGTGCCGAAAAAGTTCGAGCTAGTGCGACGAGTGGAAAACGTTATAAGTGTGCTTACTTGTTTAGTGACTGAAGCGATGATTCGAGGTTTTTCGCATTGAATTTGCAGGACGTGTTCAAATAGAATGCTATCAATCGTCTGATCAACTGAAGTTGACCAATGAACAAAGTGTTCTCTAGGAAATCCTGCCAAATTTTCGTACACCTATTGATGTAGGTCTGGTAGGTTTTGGAAGGATTCGGGGGTTCCCGTGATTGTTTAATTTCCTTCTGTATTGCCGGTATAATGTTCGTCCAAGCTTGCATTTTTATATTTTTATTCTCTAAGTAGGCTGAAATTACAGGAACGTATAATGGTGATAGTATCATGAAAAATTGAGCGGAGAAAAATACCTGATATTTTTTGTAGGGCAGTCACAATCATGAAGGAAAATAGCCTGTCCAATCCAACTAAACCTGCTATCTCAATCGCTGTAGCGATTGAGGCAAATACGTCTTTACTTAGAATGGGTTTATGAGTTTTTGTGTCATACCATGCCAGAGTTTGATCCAAATATAAATAATTCCTAAAAATGATAGATACTTTCAATGTAAGGAACATTTTAAACATTTTTTCTGAGCTTCTGCTTTTCTGCCTAGTAGAACAATATTTATTTGAAAATTCTGAATATTTTATTTCTGATGTTTTTGGCCTTTGAAAATTCCCTGCCACAGTTTACAAAAACCATATGCTGGATGAACTCTTCGATATATACTTGACTAGCAACATTTTTCAAAAACGGTCCTGGATTTTCCCGATTCTGAATAAATCAGTCGTTCAGAGAGTAGTAGCAAAACATTCCATGAAAAATTTAGACAAGTCGAAGAAGCTGTTGAAAAGATATGACCAAAAGATGTTTTTGGCAAATTGATTGATTGTCGTTATTACCCCAAGAAATACCATTGTTTATAATAGGGATATACCGGGTGGCTACGGAAGTATTGCCTACGGAATATCTCAGTTATTGTATGAAGTAGGTTTGTAAAATTTGGAGCGTCGATATAATGACATTAGAGCTAGAATTTGAGCATATTGACATGTCTAAGTTAACTTCCGGTCTGACCGGAAGTAACATCAACTTTCTTATTTTAAATAGAAACCCTATTTTTTTTTCTTTTCGCTTTATTCAGCAATCAATTCCCTTTCTAATGACATATCACAAATTGGTATCGAATCAGAAACTAGATCAGAAAAAAATTATTATTGAAATTCACCGAGTAGGCCGTGGAAGCAAAATGAAAGCCAAAAAATGACTTTCTATTTCATCATTAGAAAGGAATGGTTATGCTGAATAGTACAGGCAAGAAAAAGTCGTATGTTCCTATTTAAGTTATGGACCTACAGAGTATTGTTTTTTTCCCAATTTTTCCAATATTTTTTTTGGCGGCTTTTTATAACGCCGACGAATGAAAATAAAATATCACAGTAGTAACAACTGTTATCAAGTGACGTATGGTTTCCATAGTCAACTTTTCAATTTTTGGCTTTCATTTTGCTTCCACGGCCTACTCGGTGAATTTCAATAATAATTTTTTTCTGATCTAGTTTCTGGTTAGATATCAACTTGTGATATGTCATTAGAAAGGGAATTGAATGCTGAATAAAGCGAAAGGAAAAAAAAATAGGGTTTCCATTTAAAATAAGAAAGTTGATGTTACTTCCGGTCAGACCGGAAGTTAACTTCGACATGTCAATATGCTCAAATTCTAGCTCTTATGGCATTATATCGACGCTCCAAATTTCACAAACCTACTTCATACAATAACTGAGATATTCCGTAGGCAATACTTCCGTAGCCACCCGGTATACAACAAAACATACATATTATAACATAATAAATCCCACAAATCACCCTATATATTAGTGACGAAGTAGAGGCCTCCATTCGTGGTAGGAGTATGTACATACAGTTCCTTACGCTGTAGTGAAATCAGTTCCGAGTTTTCAATACATTTTTGTCAATAAAAAATTGGTAAGTTGCGTTGATGTGTGGTCACCTTAGAGTAACTAGTTGAAAGAAGAGATTAATTTTGCTTATTTCGATGTCTATCTATTGTTATTTAGTCTGAGATCATCCCCACCATTCGCGATTTCATTCGTTCATCCGTGTTTATCGTTTAAAATTTTTTGGCGTATACTCTTCAATGATTTATGAATGTATCGCGATTTCTATCAATTCTTATTTAGTCTGAGATTATCCCCACCATTCACGTTTCCATTCATCCGTGTTTGGCATTTAGGATACTCTTCAATGATTTATTAATGAATTGCAGTGTCTATTTATTTCATTCATCCATCCATGTTTGGCGTTTGGGATTGTTGGCGTATACTTTTCAATGATTCATGATTAATCGCGTTGTCTATTGTTATTTAGTCTGTGAGATAATCCCCACCATTCGTCATTTCAGTCATCCGTGTATGGCGTTTAGGATACTTTTCAATGATTTATTAATGAATCACAGTGTGTCTATTTATCGTAATTTAATCTGAAGTTGTCACCTTGGATCTGTCAGTCTTATGACCTCCTTAGCAAGTCTCCCGATGAAGTTGACACTCTGATCTGTCGGCATATACAAGGGAATCGGTACGTATCGACTTTGGAAGACGCTCTGCCACGGATGTATCTTGTTACGGAGGAACCCGTTGCACTCTTGTTCCACATTGAAATTTATGATGCGTGTCACTTCTTCTTGCCAAATTTTCAGACCGTTGATATTGATGTAATCCTGAAAGATGTCTGATCAATGTAACCCCGTATATCTTGTATTTAAGTGCTCAAAGAAACTAGTGGACCACTCAAATCAGTTTAGGAGCTCCCATATTCCCCAGGAATTTTGCCTTCCTTCTGCAAATCATATTTCTCGCATCTTCAAGACAATATCTCGAAATTGTTTTGGAATTTCAGACCTTCCTAACACAGGATGTGAAATATCGACATTGTTCGATATTCTATTTTTCCATGCATTACTGAGGAGACGATATTCAAACCATACTGCACTGCAATACGATCGAATTCATTCCTGGAAGAAATACTCCCCTGATGGCTTTACGAGCATCAGGAATTTCGACAACAACAAAATAAGCATTTTTCAAATAATGTGTGAGATTTTGTGGAATTGTCTGTTGTCATGTTGGTGGTGCTCAATTCAATCAGATGGATTGTCCCAGTCAATTTCTAGATTTTTTATTAAGTCAATGGGGGACTTTGCTCCAAGTTGCCAACCTAAAAACCCCTTCCAATGTGGAAGCAACATTATGGAAGTTTTATTACTCAAATAGCTTTATTTTGATGAAATCTGATTGTAGGAGTCTACTCAGCTCACGAATAGAAGTGATTCAGAATAGAAATTAATTTTTGTAAACGCCAGTTCTGATAAGTTGAAAATTATGTTGATGCACCTGCTGTCATTATGAAAAATGTCATATAGTCGTCAATTTCATTTATTGTCACATTTTTGTTACATATTTGAGATTATTTTATTTATGGACAACACTATTATTTATCATCATTTGTGAAGTTTGATCGTTGCAGTAGGAAGTAGGAATATATTTCATTTGAGTGCTAAACATCGATCCAGACATGACTTGGTAAGAATAAAATAATGAAGTTTTAACCTACTGAAATGAAGGATAACCCTAGGAAGTGTCTTTGAGTGGATGGTACCTTAGCTGTTTGGAAACAAAGAAATCACAGTGGATATCATTAATAAAAATATTAACATACCTGTGTAATAATAATCGTTTTTCTAGTAAAAAAATAGCAATAGGAAAAAGAAATCGTTCAATAAATACTATTTAAGCTTACATGACTCACCTTGGATAAAAACTGGTCAAAGTTTCCAATAGGAGAGATACATATTATCACAAATGTCGGAATAGAACAATATTAAAATAAGATACCTTTATTCAAATAATTAGACAGAGATAGTCTATTGGTAGCACAAATCACAAGACTATTCGAATATCATAATATTTATTATATAATGATATACCTATTATGGGTAGTGAGGAAATACGAATGAACAACAATGAATATACAGGGTAACTAACGGTCGATGGTACGTTAGACGTTTATGGAGAACGGGACATGGGATCGTTCTGAAATTTTGGTTACTCACGTAGTTGCTCTTGGTCTATCGATCTAAAATATTTTCAGCTCTGCGGCGTTGCCGCTTCTATCGAAAAGTAGTAACAACTTTGTTATTTTAAATGGAACACCCTGTATTTTATTGCATTTTCAGATTCTCTCTGAAGAGCTGATTTCATCGATCTATCATACTTGGGGTCTAGCGGAAATGATTACAGAGATATAGGGTGTGAAAAATCGTAATTTTTCAACTTTAGTAATTTTTTTTGTCGAAACTATTCATTATTGGTCAAAACGGCTTACATGTCCCTATCTAAACTTTTGATTAACTATCTACTGATTTTTAATTGGGACATATACCGGGTGATCAAGATTCTGAATTCTGCACCACCCTGTATTTGTTTCAATTAAATGTCAGTAGATAGTTGATCAAAAGTTGAGATAGGGACATGTGAGCCGTTTTGACCAATAATGAATAGTTTCGACAAAAAAAAATCCCAAAGTTGAAAAATGTCGATTTTTCACACCCTATATCTCTGTAATCATTTCCGCTAGACCCCAAGTGTGATACATCGATGAAATCAGCTCTTCAGAGAGAATCTGAAAATGCAATAAAATACAGGGAGTTCCATTTAAAATAACAAAATTGTTGCTACTTTTCGATAGAAGCGGCAACGCCGCAGAGCTGAAAATATTTTAGATCGATAGACCAAGAGCAACTACGTGAGTAACCAAAATTTCAGAATGATCCTATGTCCCGTTCTCCATAAACGTCTAACGTACCATCGACCGTGAGTTACCCTGTATAGACATGATAACAATGTTATGTTGATTACCATTACGACGAGTAGAGAGTAGCACCAGACCAGAAAACTTTGGAACCCTCACATCCAGTTTATTATAGGTTTGCACGTTTCTCATGAGATTTTCTCGATCATTATTCGAAAGTTCTGACGTGATTCTGATTTAGTGATTCAATGATATACCATTTTTTGTTGAATGTGAAGTTAACAAAAACTAATTTTTCTTCTGAATGAGTTTCATTAGAAAGATGAGTAGACGCCTACAATCAAATTGCACCAAAATAAAGCTATTTCAGTAATCAAACTTTCATTATATTGCTTCTACAGAGGTAGAGGTCCTTAGGTTGGCAACTTGGAGCGGAGCCCCCCATTGCAGGGGCGGCAAGGGTTTTAATGTCATTTTGAGAAAAATATAATTTGCAGAAGGATGAAAAGTTTCCTGGGGATTACGGGAGCTTCTAAACTCTTACAATTATGTAACAGTATTTTTGATCACTTATTGGCACATCATAACTGAACAATTTTGATAAGTTTTGAAAAATGAAGTTTGGACAGAAAGGACGCATTTTTATTCCCAAAAAAGTTATCGTATCTTGAAGACCATCAAGAATTTGAGTGGTCCACTTGGTTCATAAGGCACTTTATTTGCTTACCTGGATGTACTCAAAAGACCGTTTATATCCGTCCATTATTCGAACTAGCGTTTTCAGTTTTTGTTGGAGATCGTCTGGTTTGGATTTTGTGTTGAAGATCAGTTCAGTGTGTAAGGCTTTGGAAATATGGCGGACCAGTTCTTTTCTTAGTCCGTCTTCCAGGAGTTGTTTCGGGTCCAATCTCACTACCCCAACCAGGGTACTTTTCATCATTCTCATTCCTAATAAATCGTCCAATGAGTGGTGATTATAAATATACAGGGTAGTATTATTTCAAGAGTTGGTGTGCCTATTGTAACATTTTTATTGAATCCTGTATAATAGGACTTGGATGTTTTTACGTTAGTTTGACTTTTAGATTTCTTTCTATTTTGCAATAAAACAGTATATATCAAAATATAAAAGATATTTTTCTGCAACCGACACAAAAGTGGTCCATTTTGATACCAAAATTAGCTCTCAAATTGACGTTTCTATTACTGACACAAAAATAGGTATGTTGCTAGGCAACATATTTAGTTCCTAGGAGCTAAAGTTGAATTTTAGTTCCTAGGAGCTAAAGTTGAACTTTAGCTCCTAGGAACTAAAAAGGATCTACTGAACGTCATCAAGAATAAACAACATTGTGACGGTTGGTTATTTGGGTTGAGACGCATACCTGATTTGTTTCCGATTTCAGCAGATTTGGCATTTCATGCCCATGCTGGAGAAATAAATACACCTTATTATAGTTTAATATTGGAATTATAAACATCTCAGTTAAGTATTTTTGTTTTGATCAGGGAAGCCTTCAAGATTCAAATACTTGCTTGATCTATATTTCATTCGTTATTCTCGGGATGGATAACTTGTTTTTGAATAATCACGGCAAGCAATAGTTTTTTTGTCTCAAACAACGATATTGTTTAGCTTCATTTGATTATCAAGTCAAACACAGTGTAGTATGGAGAGGAATAAATAATCACTATTATCATTGTTGATATGCTCACTAACCTAACATTTTCCACGTCTTGTTACTATAGCTGGCACTGGCGCGGTATTTGCCATTAGGGCACCTGGTCCATACAAAAATATGCCACTCTGTGGTTGTATTTATATTGAAACTACAATTCGAACATCCTAGAAAACCTAACCTGCTGTTAATGCAGGTAGAATATTCTCACCACATGGATTATTTGTCAATATTTGTTGCATTGCATACATATGGCACGGCATTGGTGGTTACTTCACATGTTAATTTGAGTTAATTGTTTCGGTTGCAGAAAAAATAGCATGTTTCATTCGGATCAAAAGTGACTTTGTTCGACTCGCAAATTTTGCTTTCGCTCGGCTTCGCTAAACGCTCCGCCTCGCAAATGCAAAATTCGCTTGTCAAACAAAGTGTCACTTTTGATCCTAATAAAACAATCTACTATTTTATCTAGGGTAGTTATTGAGGAATCAATAAAAATTCGGCTTGACTCCAAATTTTAATGTAGCTGTTTTCAAGACTTCCAATGAGATTACTCAATAACCCCAATTACAATTATTTTGAAATGATGGGGCTTTCTCAGTCTGCAACCATACTGAATTCTGACACCATGAGAGCATATACAGGGGGGGTTAGAAATGAAAACAATTAATACTTCCAACTTCAACATCCTGTATATCAAACACGGAGCGAGTTAGGACACATGTTCATATAAACTTTATTTGCAAGACTATCACAAGGAAACACCCCTTGATTTTTTTCGGCGTTATTTAGATACTAATGAAACATCGAGAAAAATATTACGGATTACTATTCATGCATGTCATACAGGGTGATTAGAAAAATTGGCCAACAAAGATGAAATCTCTCTCTCTCTCACCTTGGCTGAAAACAGAGATGGAATGTGTCAACTCGGCAAACTCGTGCCGTTCCTCTAGCTGCGTGTAATCCTTGATTTTGTCCTTGTCTATCCTGGTCGGCAACTCCTTCAAAACTGTCGTCTGCATCTGGATGATTCTCGCCAATTTCTCGAACATCATGCTCGGAATGATGTGCAACACTTTTCGCACGTAAATCTCGAGTTCCTTGCTGTAATATTGCGAGACGGATATCAGATCGTCGCTGCGAGATTGGTTGATGCGCAAAAGAGGTATTTCCAATGCGGAGGACAGCTTGAGAAAGACAGCTCGTAATTTGATTACCAACGTTGGTTCCTTCCTGATACCTGGAACATTGTCGATTTGAATAAAAACCTAGTAGGCAACCTAGTGCGAGGCGGTAGTGAATTGTTTACGTGCACGGAATAAAAGTGACTTCCTACGATGCTTGGTATTACTATCAGCAATAACCTTTCTTGGGAAAATCACGAGAGATCAATTGCTAAAAGTGCATCCCAAAAACTTGGTTTTCTGTTTCGGGCCAGGAGCTATATTTCACTTCCAGTCAGCTGCTAATGATGTATAAGGCACAGATCCGACCTGTCCTGGAATACTATTCCCATACTTGGAGTGCAGCACCCAAACATACCCTGAAACTGTTGGATTCTGTCCAAAAAAGGGCAATTCGTCTCGTGGGTGATGCCTCGCTCACAAACTCACTCACTTCTCTGGAACACCGAAGAAAAGTTTGCGATCTGGCTCTATTTTATAGATATTTTCATGGACGATGCTCTTCGGAAATATCAACAATTGTTCCTCCCTCCCGCGAGATTAACCCGTCGAGTTGAGGCTTCGCACCCCTTGGTGGTCATTTTGGAGACCTGCAGAACATCTCTTTCCAAAAACTCGTTTTTTCAACGAACAGCGAGGCTCTGAAACACATTGCCAAGGGAGGTGTTTCCCGAGGCATATAACCTCCAGAAATTTAAGAAGAACACAAATTCCTACTTTATTTCCCTTGGTTCTCACGATGTTCTCTGAACATTAAAGGATATCCCTTTTCGTGGGAACCAGAACATAAATAAAAGAACGAAGTTTGCAGCATGAGCCATAGATATTCGACTAGATTTACGTATGCCATAAGTAAGACGAACACACGATGTTTGCACTTTTTGTATTCGGCGAGCATCTACTACAGTAGTTGAAATGTGAGAGAACCGATGAGTCACAGAGCAGTTCAAGTCTTTCCATAACTTGGGGTTTTCGATTTGTTCAAATATTCTACATCATTGTTATTTGTTTCCTAATATTATCGATAAAACAGGCCACAGCTTTTAGGGCTACCTGCCAAAATTTTGGGATTTTTCACTTTGACATTGACCTCACGTTTCAGTAACGCCAACTGGTGAGCCTGAAAATTCAAGATCTCATTTGAAGTTAGTTAGTTAGTCAGTATATCATTCTGTGCTGGTTGATTTTCATCTGATTGAGCTCTGGGAAGGTGAGTGAGAAAGAACATACTGAAATTGGAGGTGGAAAAACTTTTAGCATCTCTAGCCGAGTTCGGCAATTCCAGTCGAGATGCGAGGGATTTATCTGTCATGTGACCACGGATTAAAAAGATTAATTGGAATAAACGAACGATGCAGAGCGCTGCCATGATAAATCTGCATAAAGTATTTTAATTTTTGTTAAGACATATATTACTCAACGGATTTATGGGGTTAGATTTGTTGTTTAACATTAATTTTCTCAAGAAATTCACAAAAAGTGAATAATAAAATAAAATTTGAACAATTTAACACTTAACCACCACAAATTCAGACTGATCGCTTTGCTCGGTCAAAATTCTCGGAGCATGAAGATCGTCTTCGGATCGCTCCGATTTAAATTCCCGAACGGATGAGATTTACCTACTTCCCCTACATCTAGATGTCATAAACGAACGACACAGATTGGGCGTGTTTTTCATTCCATCGAAGAAAGTGCGCACTGATAGATACGGTTTTTTGTCGTGACGTCACCAATTGTTCTGTTGGAATTTATGCTGGAAGGATTGAACAATGGTTTATACAACACATTGATGGAAACACGGATTTTATTGTGTGCCAGTCATCATGTATCTTGAGAATCAGAAAAGGCTAATTCGACTTTATTGATTAACACTGACTCTTTCTTCTAAAATCTCTCAAGAATCTCAAAAATCCTCAATAATAATAATATTAATTGTTTTCTATCAAATCAAAACAAAAAACAATACTAAAATGTGTCAACTGTCATGTCAATCTCCTCCAAACTGCTGGATTCTCGAAATGCGACTTAAAAGTGCGCATTTTATTACAACAGTTTGATGGATGTCCATCAACATTCCAGCGGAATTTTGCAACAGTTTGATGGTTTCTTCGATTCATGCGCATGATAAAATGTTGGAATGAAAAACGCACCCATTGATCGGAGCAGTCTGATGTCAATACCGAACTCAACTAATTGTTGATTATTAATTGAAGACTGAGTCATACATACTTTTGTTTCGACATACCATATTTTTTACAGTTCTTTTGTAGGAAGTTATTCATAGTTTTCAGCTGTGTGGGAATCATATTATTCAGATTGGGTCCATAGAAATGAATGAGAATTACTTTTCCTCATGAAGGGTGCATTAACTGATAAGCCTTCTGTGAATCTGGTGGAACGTTCATGATTCATAGGGAAATATTTCTTTCCTTTGAACATCCAGATTAAACACTGGCAGAGATATTTGTAATCTTGAAGAGATTGAGTTCTTCAAATAGAGCTTGAGTACAGTAGCGTCTCTTTTTATTGAACATTATTTTAAAAATTGAGTTTTGAGCAAACTGGACATTTTTCAAATGGTTATTGTAAAGCCCACCCCAGACACGTTGTGTCATTGTTTGAATTCGAAACTCACCGTGTTGCATGATGTTGGTGTAATAATCTATAAGTTCCCATGCATAGCTGATATCGCCGATGATTTGCAAGTTGATCAGCACGTCTTCTTTGATGTTCGCCGTCCTGATCATCTGATCCAACTGCTTTCTTGTTTCCGCCAAGAATTGTATCACTTGCATATTGTTATCTAACGAATGGAATTCCTGGACTTCTTCCAGAGCCTGGATCAACTGAACGATTTTTCTGGATGATCCATTGTCATCCTGAAAATTCAAGTAATATGTCAAAAAAAAAATTCACTCTGTATCTCAATTGATTAGTGAAGATCGAGGTTCAGACTAAATTTTCGTCTTCAGGAAAACTTGAACCATTTTTATGTTTTGTGATATAATCGGACTTCCTTATTCTGTTTATACAATGTGCTCTTATTCAACTTCCTATAATCATCAATTTTTATATTTGAAAAAAAATACTTAGTCGCGTTGTTAAATAAGTGTTTTTTCTACCTAAAACTTTTTTGTGAACTCTGGCAGGGTTGAAAGTCTATGAATTCGACACGCTACTGTGTAATTCTTCTTCAGATATATATACCCAAAAACTATTTCGGATGGAAATGAGACGCCCTGTATATACAATCAATTGTTTCGCGGTCCTAGGCCCTAGAGATATTGATTCAACAGTAGATTTTTGTATTGCATAGATACTTTTCAAGCTATCTCGAGGATTGAATATGTTCTTTGAATCTTGGTTCTATATTTTTGCGTGCATGTCCAACATATTTCTTGTTAGTTATTCCGTTTTATGGACCGTATCATTGGGTGAAAAAATTGTACAATCAAAATGATACCTCTACGAAATCCTTGGAAAAGATTACGTTCTAGTGACATGGTAGCGTCCTTTTGCTGTGTTAGGGAAAAATATGGTGTTTCAGGTCAGAAAAACTTGAGTTAATGACATGTAAGTAGTGGAACCATTACTATAATGTAAATGTATGCTGCTACGGGTATGTATGTATATTATGGAAAATTCCTGATGTGAACTGGTTTCAAATTAAAATGTGGGCGCGGTACCATATATCATTTACTAGTCTTGGAAATGATGAAAATAATCGACTCCGAAATTTTTAAAGTTAGAATCTCAGTTCAATTCCAAAGTTTGAATTTTAGTTCAATTCTAAAAAATATGTATACAATGTTTTTTCATAAACTTCACAAAAATTAAAATCCGAATAAAGAAAACTTTCGCAAGTGCCACCAAATAACATACTACTGCTCTCACTCTCACGATAGATTTGGCTGTAGCGAATGGATTGCGTGCAAGAACTGTCAGATGACCGACCCTGGAGGTGAAACATTTGAACACAACCTCACTTTTCTTATTTGTTTACAAATGATTGAAATAGTTTTTCACAATTATTTTGGCATACGAATCGTGTTTTTCGGCTATTCATTGATTGAAACGTGCCATCACATTGTGCTGTTGTACAATGCACAAAAAAAGCAGCGAGAGACGAAGGAATCCGGTTAGTACATTATGATTCGAAAGTAAGTACCTACTATAGTCACTCACATATAGTTTTCATTTTGAAATTTGGTAATTTCTCTGATTTCTCATCGAAATTCCTTTTGCACTAGAAACTAATAGAAATACTCTCTTCTGAAAGAATGCAAGAAGATTGGATTCATGCAATCAAACGGGAGGACTGGTCTGACATGCTGACGAAATATGATCGTGTGTGTTGTAGACATTTTCAATCTTTCAGCAGTATTAGCTTGTATTGCAGAAGTGGCAGAAAACTATGTGAGATTACTATTTACCTGAAAAATTATATTCCTTCGTCTCTCGCTGCATTTTTCTGTATTGTACAACAGCACAATGAGAAAAGGCATGCTTGATTCAATAAATAGCGCAAAAAACACGATTCGTATGCCAAAATATTGTGAAAAACCATTTCAATCCTTTGATTCCTCTGTAAACAAATAAAAAAGTGAGGTTGTGTTTCAAAGTTTTACAGAAAAGTGAGGTTGTGTTTCAATATTTTACCTCCAGGGTCGGTCATCGTGCACGCGACCTATAGATTCGCAAAGAGTATAATAAACATGGTAAGTTGACTGTTCAAATAAGACAACATTTCCCTTGAATATTTTTATAGTTTGCAGATATCCCCATCAGGTATCCAAACAAATGTACACTAACCTGGCTCAAGGACTTCACTTGTTTAGCTATCTCCACGAACCACCTTTGCAACTTTTCGTTCTTCTCTATCCTCGACAGGGGCTTCGTGCCTCCGAACACATCCGACAGCTCCTCCAACCTCCCGAAGCTCTCCTCTTTCAGCCACTCCCACTGTGCCTCCTTATCCGAAAGCAGCTGTTTGTACAGATCTTTGACGACGAGCTCCAATTGGGCGGTATTCGATAGCAATTTGAACAAGGAGTTCGGCTCGCATTTAGACTCGGAGATGACTAGCTCGCGCAGCTGTTTGGATCTATAAGGGATATTTCATTCATATTACCCGCCATGGTTGAAACCATATATCTACTATATCTTCTTCATATTCGGTATATGGTTTCATCTTCCACTGGTTCATTTTTTGACCAGAAAGACATTCCGAGAATTTTATCCAGAGGTGCGCTACAGGGGGTTGTGAAAACTTTTCCGCTCATATTTTCTACGCCACTGATGAAATTCAACTTCATTTATTCAACTTTTGATATTCAAATGGGACACCCTGTATTTTTTTCATAATCGGTTGGGGATTATCATAACGAATTTAACGATACCGGGTTTGATTGGTTTATTTCGAACGATTTCAAGATTCAGAATTCTGATTACCCTGCATCTGTTCCAATTAAATATCAGTAAATAGTGAATCAGCGTCAGTTGTTGCTGAAAATATTTCAGAACGATGTCCTCCTCCTCGAAAATATAGCTGAGGTGTTTCAGCGTTTATAAATAATCCGCTTCTGTCGACCTAAAGATCCGCTATTTCGTTTTCACTGCCCCACCCTGTATATTCTCAAATGTGATATTTTTTAAACGAAAATTGTTTGCCTGTATGTCATTATGGTGAATTGTTTCTCGACTTGTATGTGAGAAGCGTTCGATTTCTCCACTACATAGATAGATAGATAAGATAGATAAACTTTATTTTCCTTTTTAGACAATTACATTTCATATTGTATAGGAATCGTCAATAGGTCTTACAAACTAAAGGGACATATACTCATCTACACTATAAAAACAGTTATGTAGCAGAAACTCTTTCAATCTTCTTTTAAACACAACCAATGTTTCACAGTTTTTTATGTTGATTGGCAGTAAGTTGAAAATTCGTGGGGCCATGAGATTAGGAGAATTGTATGCTAATTTACATTTACCAAATGGGACATATACATCATTTTTTTGCCGGGTATTCACATTATGTTTGGATTTGTTGAGAACAAAATATTCATCATAATTTTTGAAAACAAATACACAATATTCAAATATTAAAAGACAAGGTAATGTTAAAATTTTATAGTTGATGAATATATTTCTGCAGGATTCTCTCATAGGAACACCTATCATTATTCGTACTATTCTTTTTTGAGCTATAAAAACATCTTTCCAGTGTGTAGATAGGCCCCAGAAACATAAACCATACCTAAGTCTAGAGTCAATCTGTGCGTAATACAAGGTCAACAATTGATCAATATTCAAAACTTGTTTCAAGTTTCTCAATTGATATGATATTGTGTTCAATTTCTTTGTTAATAGTGCACAATGGTTATGCCACCCCAAACATTGGTCGATAGAGAGTCCCAGAAATTTGGTGCTTACACTATCTGTAATAACGAGATCAGAATTTTCCTTTGCCTGGAAAGTGATAAAGTCACAACTTTTCTGACGATTGTGGAATCGAATGGAAACTGTTTTATCAACATTCAAGTAAAGGTTATTTGCAGAAAACCATCTATTCAAATCTTGAAAAACTTGATTGCATTTATCGTTGAGGGCTGAATCATTCTTATCAGAGATAATTATGGACGTATCATCTGCATACATGGTCATAGATGTATCAATTGACTTATCGAGGTCATTAACATAGAATAGAAATAATACAGGTCCCAAAATTGATCCTTGTGGAACCCCTAATTCTGTTGAAATGAAGTCAGATGGTGTTTTGTTGATTTCAACAAATTGTTTCCTCAAAGAAAGGTAGTCTGCTATCCAGGCCAGTGGAGTACCACGAATACCATACCTGAAGAGTTTATTTAAGAGAATGTTATGGTCAACGCAATCAAATGCCCTGCTGAGATCACAGAAAATCCCAACAGGGCATTCTCCCGCCTCAATAAATCTAATTATCTCACTATAATAGGAGTGAATGGCTGTGGTAGTTGATTTATTGTCCAGGAATCCGTGCTGATTCGTTGTGAAAAGATTGTGAATATGACAGAATGGAAGTAATCTGTTTAAAAAAGCATATTCAAATACTTTTGAAAAGCAGGATGGAATCGTGACTGGTCGATAGTTTTCTAATGAATGCGGACTATTCTTCTTGTGAATTGGTATTATTCTTCCAGTTTTCAACAAGCTCGGAAATGTACCTGTAGTGAAAGTTAAATTTACCAGGAAGAGTAAAGGTGCAATAATAACTGAAAGACATTTTTTCAGAACGAACATTGGAAGCTCATCAAATCCCGAGGATGATTTATTTTTCAATTTACTCTGAAGAAGATTATAAAGTTCCACCTCTGTATAATGATTGAGGAATAGTGAATTTATCGGTGATTTGATGTTTTTCAAAAAACATTGATAATCAAGATTTTCTTTATTGATCCGAGTTGTTATCTCTTTTGGAGCTTCTCTAAAGTAATTATTAAACATACTGTCCGGTTGAATTCTCTCATATCACGAGAGATTTTTGTAAAAGATATATTTTCAGCCTGTGGTGAATTCTTTCATAATATCTTGGGAGACTTTCTAAAAAAAATCCACCACTCTCCGTGTTAAATTCTTCATCTGGTATTTTGTATACTATAGAGGGTGTTTGGTTCACCGAACCGACATATATCTGAAAGGTAATGATAGGTAAGAACATTTCGAATATATTTTACCATGTAGAATATTATACAAAGTGTTACGAACTTTGAGATATATCCGTTTGGTCGAACATTTCATCTGATTGTAATTTCTTCTTTTTCAAGAGTTGGATACGATTCTCATAGACATTGAACAAGAAATGGGATACAAATGTGATAAAAACATTTTCGTCCTCAGAATTCTGAAAACGAGTTTCGATTTCTTTAAAAATGTAACACTTTGTATAACAGAAAATATGTTTAAATATTTTCAGAATCACATCACATACCACCCAGATATACGGCGGTGAACCAAACATATATTTTCCCCGTATAATTTCATTATCATCATTAGTCATAGACTCGGCCATAGATGAATCATTTGTTCGGAAATTAATCAGTTAGTCTCTTATTAGATGTCATCACGTACGGTTGAATTTTGTGACAGGCATTGACAAATACGTGAAAGGAATAATTAATAATCATTCCAAACAGAGTGTTCACTAAAAAATGAGTGATAGTATCGTGTTTTTGTGTTTCTCATTCAAATCAGTGATAACATAATCGCGATCGTGTGTTGTTTTGGTGTTTCCTGCTGAGGAAAATAAAAAATTTCAAACAATGATATAGCAGAAGTGGACAATTTTATACAAATTCATTTTGTTTTCACACTGGTGAGTGTTATTTTCATTATTCAATTTCTGAATGCCATTTCTCCTCTCTTTCTAGCTATATTCCTTAAATTTGAAAAATCGAATATATGCTCACTAGAGGGCACCTTTTATCACATTTGAGGATTTTTTTTCATCGTCCAGTTTCCCTGTTTTCGCGATGAGCGTTAATTAGACGGATCTAAAAATTTGATTATACAGGGTGTCAATTTGAAAACTTCCCACCCTTAATATCTCCCTCCAAGTCGATAATATGGAAAAACGAAAAGACAGGTCGATTTTATTTTCGAGGGGGACATGGTTCTAAAATATTTTCAGCCCCGCGGCGTTGCCGCTTCTAACGAAAAGAAGCAACATATTTGTTATTTCAAATGGAACACCCTGTATTTTATTGCATTTTTAGATTCTCACTGGAAAGCTGATTTCATCAATGTATCACACTTGGGGTCTAGCAGGAATGATTACAGAGATATAGGGTGTTCAAAATCGAGATTTTACAACTATAGGATTTTTTTGAGTCGAAACTATTCATTATTGGTCAAAACGGCTTTTATGTCCCTATCTCAACTTTTGATTTACTATCTACTGACATTTATTTGAAACAAATACAGGGTGATCAAAAGTCTGAATCTTGAACCACCCTGTATTTGTTTCAAATAAATGTCAGTAGATAGTAAATCAAAAGTTGAGATAGGGACATAAGTTTGTGTATGTTGTGATCATGATGTATGATCTTATGTGCATTCATGTACTTATCTTAGCTTTAGCTTAGTGTAGGTCTAGGATAGTGTTGTCTCTGTTTTTTTTTTACCTTGCATGTAATTACCCCTTTGGGGTGTTTGTAAGAAGTACATAAAATAAAAATAAAATAAAATAAAAGCCGTTTTGACCAATAATGAATAGTTTCGACTCAAAAAAATCCTAAAGTTGTAAAATCTCGATTTTGAACACCCTATATCTCTGTAATCATTCCTGCTAGACCCCAAGTGTGATACATTGATGAAATCAGCTTTTCAGTGAGAATCTAAAAATGCAATAAAATACAGGGTGTTCCATTTGAAATAACAAAGTTGTTGCTTCTTTTCGTTAGAAGCGGCAACGCCGCGGGGCTGAAAATATTTTAGAACCATGTCCCCCTCGAAAATAAAATCGACCTGTCTTTTCGTTTTTCCATATTATCGACTTGGAGGGAGATATTGAGGGTGGGAAGTTTTCAAATTGACACCCTGTATGTATGAATTTACATGATCAATACGTCTCATATATTTTTAACGATGCGGCGTTGCCGCTTCTACTAGTTAGTAGCAGCAACTTCAATTTTTCAAATGGAACACCCTGTATTGCATTTTTGTATTCTCCATGGAGATCATATTTCATCAATGCATCACTCTTGGGGGCAAGCGGGGATGATTACAGAGATATAGAGTGTTCAAAATCGAGAATCCTCAATTTTAGGAATCTTTTGTGTCAAAACGGCTTCCATGTCCCTGTCTTAATTTCTGATTTACTATTTATTGACATTGAATGGGGGAGACCACTGATTTTTAAAAAAATGACATTATCGTGAACTCTATACTGAAAAACTACCAGTGAATTAATTTTGAATTTTTTCATACATGCTAAGACGATGAAAAATAGTTATTTATTATACAAGGGAAAAAAGTAGTAGATTTTAGCTCCAGGTTGTGTTGTCTCCCGACGCGTAGCGGAGGGAGACAAAAAACCGTGAGCTAAAATCTAATATTTTTCCC